TAATATTACAGGCCTGTAGCTAAAACACCTACTCTAATGGGTATTTGTTGTTGTTTGTTTTGGGGCTGTTTTTCAGCTAATTAATTACTTTATAAATTTGTCTTTTTAGGGGGTGGAAGGTGCTAGAGATTAAAACCCGGGGCCTTGTTCATGCTAAGCACATGCTCTACCACTGAGTCATACCTCTAGTTCCCTCTAAATTTGTTTTTTAGCTACACAGAGCTATGAAATATTTTCTTTTTTTTTTCTTACTCATTTATTCACATGTGCATACATTGTTTGGGTCATTTCTCTCCCCTTCCCCCCTTCCCCCTCCCCGAAATATTTTCAAGACAGTTTTGTGAGCATAAGATTTATGTGCCAAGGTGTCTTGTTTTAGGTGGTACCTTGGCGCTTTGGTCTCTGCTATGCCTGTTGTTGTAGTTATGGGAGGTCTAAGTCAAGCCTGGGATAGCTGTATCTCTGGCCACATTAAGAGAAAGGCTGGCCAAGTGCCGGTGGCTTATACCTGTAATCTTAGCTACTTGGGAGGCTGAGATAGGGAGGATCTTGGTTCAAAGCCAGCCCAGGCAAATAGTTTATGAGACCTCCATCTCTAAAAGAACCAGAGAAAAACGGACTGAAGATGTAGCTCAAGCAGTTGAGTGCCTGCTTTGCAAGTGTGAAGCCCTGAGTTCAAACTTCAATACTGCCAAAAAAAAAAAAAGTAAAGTTTTTCTATTTAGATTGAGATTCTTTGAGAAGTTTTATTTGAGTAGGAGTTGTTTTATTGATGTTAAGATGTTGGAATTAAGCCGGATGCCAGTGACTAATGCCTGTAATCCTAGCTGCCTAGAAGACTAAGACTGAGAGGATAGCATTTCAAGGCCAGTCTCTGGGCATAGTAGTTTGTGAGACTCTCGTCTCTAAAATAACCAAAGCAAAATGGGCTGGAGGTATGGCTCAGGTGGTAGAGTGCCTATTTTGCAAGTGTGAAGCCCTGAGTTCAAATACCAATCTACCAAAAAAAAAAAAAGATGTTAGTGTTAAGGACTTTATATAACTGTTGTGTATTGTGGAGAGTGCATTATGAGAAGCCTATGAGAACTGGACATAAGTAAGGTCAGATGCAGCTCAGTTGCTTTTCCTAAGATGTTTATCTGTAGGCCAAAATTGGCATGGCCGGGCCACAGAAAAGGGAAATGCAGAAAAGCTGCTTCTCCTAAATTGTTTATGTTCAGAGAAGCAGGAATGCAGGTTTCTCCTGTTACAATGTCATGCCCCTCTCCGAGAACCGCTGCTCCACCCTGTTTACCACTAGATATAAAAGACTCACTGAAGGAAGACACGAGGCTTTTGCTTTGGGGGCTTTTTGCTTTGGGCTTTTGCTTTGAGGCTTTTGCTTTGGGCTTTTGCTTGAGGCAGGCATTTGGAAGGGAAAAGGATTGCTGAGTGGAAAGGATTGCTGAAGGAGAATTGCTAAAGGGGAATTGCTAGCAAGCCTGAGGGCTGAGACTTTAAGAAAGCTAAAGAGAACATGGGACAGTGCAAGTCTGCACCAAGAACTTTATGCATAGGTTTTAGAAAAGCTAAGCTAAAGAAAAGCTAAAAAGAACATGGGACAGAGCGAGTCTAAGAAAAGAGGTTTTAGAGAATAGTGAAGCAAAGTTTTAAAGAAGACTTTAAAGCAAGGTTTTAAAGAACTGTAATGGAGTAAGGCCTTAAAGAATAAAGATAGAGATAAGAAGCAGAGTGAAAAAGAAGCAATGAGGGTTGTGCATCGCCACCCAAGCACCCAACACACCTGATCCCACTTTCTGTCTGTCTATCCTGTGTCCTTTCTGCATCTCCTGTCACCCTCCAGTTAAGCCCAATTAGGTTCAGTAATAACCAGGAACAAGAGAAAGCTCGCTCCAACAAGGGAGCGAAAGAAAGCTCACTCCAGTGTATGAAAACATCTCTTTTACTTGTTTGACCCAGATCTGTAAGTTTTATGTTACTTCTTCGTTTTTAGGTTATCCAAATTCTATTTTTGAAATATTACAAGCTTTTCTCTTATTTTCTTAGCTCATGAATATAAAGGTTATTGTCCTTTCAAAAATAAGATTTACAAGCCAGGCACAGTGGCTCTTGCCTGTAAACCTAGTTAGTTACTTGGAGGCTGAGATCAGGAGGATCAAAGTTCAAGGCTAGTCAGCAGTTAACAAACAGTTAGGGAGGTCCTACTTCAATCAATAAAAAGCTGGCCATGGTAGCACATATCTGTTATCCCAAGCTATACAGGGGACTGAGATAGGGAGGATTGAGGTTCCAGGCCAGCCTGGGGAAAAGAGATTGTGACACTCCATCTCAACAGAAAAAAGCTGGACATGGTAGCATATGCTTATCATCCCAGTTAAGGGGGAAGCATAAAATAGGATTGAGCCCAGGAATTGGAGACCAGTCTGGGCAACATAGACTCTTTAAACAAAAAGGGTGGGAGGCTGGCAAAGTGGCTCAAGTGGTAGAGCACCTGCTTAGCATTCAAGAGGCCATGAGTCAAACCTCAATATTGCCCCCAAATCTCCAAATACCTGAGATAATGAACTCATAAAGAGAAAATGTTTATTTTAGCTCATAGTCTTAGAGGGTCTAGTCCATGATTAGTTGGCCCCATGGCCTTGGGCCTGTGGCAAGGCATCATGGCAGGTATGCATGGCAGAGCAGAGTTGTTCACCTCATGACCAGGAAGCACTCAGCCATGACCTAAAGACTTCCCACTTAGCCCCGCCTCTTATAGGTTCTACCTCCTCTTAACAGTGTCTAACCAAGCCTTTAACACATTGTCTTTTAGGGGGCATTCAAGATCCAAATAATACTAAATTGAACTTTATAAAAGCATTTGTGTGTGTGTGTTGCTGGGGACCAGCCCTGGGTCCTTGCACAGTCTAGGCAAGTGCTTTACCTCTGTGAGGCCTTGCTCCCAGTCTGAAAGCATTGCTTTTGTAGGTCAGGTAGTTGAATATCCACAATTTCATGTGGATAAAGTGATCAAGTGGCGGAATTGCTTATTGGAATGTTGAATATTTAGACGGCCTCCAGTTTTTAAATTTATATATACAGCATGTTAATAAATGTATTTCTACATCATTTTTATCTGAGCTTCTAATTATTATTTGTTTATAGTCAGTCATTCCTGGAAAGAAAATTATTAGGGAAAAGAATGTTGCTTCTCTTCTTAAAAGATGCTTTTAAGTGTGTTACTGGTTTGCATTTGCCTGTTTAAAATCTAAGCTAACAAAAGCAATTCATTGTCTTTTAAAAATTACAGAGGCAATTTCATAATGCATTTTCAGGGTACACATCAAGCAGTACACCACATACTGTTAAAACATGCTACTGCAACCATTTGAATGTCAGTAAGTGACTTTTCATTGAGACTACTACAGACCAGGAAGGTCAGGGCCTCCTGGTGTTTCTTACTGCTTTGCTCAGAGTTTTTTGTGGTAAGAGTCTCAAGATTGGCATCACCTATAGTCCTACTCATATTAAGTCCAGGTTTTTTGGTTCCTTTTAGACAGACATTTGCTGTTGGTTTGTTTTGAAGATAATCCTAATTTTTCCATATGTTCTGTAATTTGCTGATTTACTGCCTTGCTTTGCCTTCTACTAGTCACTTTTGCAGCATATCTAGTAACAATAGGTGTAGTTACTTAGCATGCACTAACTATGAGTTGTTCACAATCCCAATGCTTTAAACACTTTTTTTTTCCTTTCTGAATAATGGGGATTGAACTCACAGTCTCCTGCTTGTCAGGCAAGTGCTTTACTGCTTTAGCCATGTCCCCAGTCCCACATTTAGTTTTTAAAAGAAGCCTCAGATGAAGTATTGTTACTGCAGGTGGCTGTGGGTAACCTGCCAAGGGCACCATGAGGGAGTGGGCACTCCAGCTGTCCTGGCATTGAAACATCTATTTTAGACATTGAGCCTTGCCTCTTCTCTGTATATGTTATTTTAACCCTCAGCTCACATTCCTCAGATAGTATATATTTTGGGGTCATATGTATGTTTATTTTAGCAGCTGGAAATGTTCTTTTTATGATTTTTTAAAATTATTATTTTGTTGGGGCTGGGGCTTGAACTCAGGGCTTCATACTTGCAAAACAGGTGTTCTACCTCTTGAACCACACCTCTAGTCCATTTTGCTCTGGTTATTTTGAAGATGGAGCCTTGCAAACTGTTTGCCTGGGCTGGCCTTGAACTGCAGTCTTCTTGAGCTTAGTCTCCTAAGTAGCTAGGATTACAGGCATGAGCCACCTGACGTGATTTTTTTTTTTTTCTTTTTTTGAGAAAGGGTCTTGCTATGTAGCCTAGGCTGGCCTGAAGCTCAAGATCCTCTTGCCTCTGCCTCCCAAATGCTGGGATCGTAAGTGTTTATTACCATGCCTGGCTCTTTATGATTTGTTTTCTTTTGGTGTACTGGGGCTTGAACTCAGGATCTCTTCCTTGCTAGGCAAGTGTTCTACCACCTGAGCCTTGACTCCAGCTATGGTTTTTTAAACATTTTTATATTATTTTATATTAGTTGTACAACTATTTTATATTACAACTATTTTATATTAGTTGTACAGAGGGCTTTCATTGCGACTCTTGCAATTTGTCTTAGATTACTCCCCCTCCATCATTCTCCCTATTTTTATGATTTTTAAGACAGGTTTTTACAGCTTCCTTTGTGGGGGCTGGCTTCAAACTTGTGATTCTCTCACTTCTGTCTCCCAAGTGTCTGGTATCACGGGCATGGGTCATCACACCCAGCTGTTTGTTGAGACAGGATCTCTCTACTTTTGCCTAGGGCCAGCCTCAAACTCTTGAACCTCTTGTCTCTGCCTCCTGAGAAGCTAGGGTTAAAGGTATGCACCACGCTAGGCCTAATGACTTATTTGTTACATATATTCACATACATCTATGGGACTGGTTTATTTCTGAATGTGGTCTTATATTTTCTGAAGGTATGGTTTTATTTTTTTATCTCATTTTCTAGGTTCAAAAGCTGCTTTGCATGTGCCCAGTAGATTTCCATGGAATCTTCCAACTAGATGAAAGACGGAGAGATGCTGTGATTGCCTTGGGCATTTTTCTCATCGAATCTGATCTTCAGGTAAGTCTTTATTAAATTTAGAATTTCTGCACTGTAAAAGGGGTTATAATAAGAATTTGTATCCACTTACATTTACCTAATGGCAATACTGGAAGAGTGTATCGCAACCTAATCAAAGTGATTAAGGTGAGAGTGAGATAGGATAGATGGAACAGGTGGGAATGAGTCTTTCTTAGGAGATCTACTTTTTTTTTTTAAACTGTGTAATTATATTAAGTTTTTTCTTTTCAGGAAATAAATTAAAATTTTTTTGAGATGTTAATTGTGTGCCCTCCAGAGTAGGCTTGGATTTTAGTCTTAGGTAAAATTCTCATCAGTCAGACTCAAGGATATCATTTTTTTTCTTTTGAAAGGACAGAATCACTTGAGATAATTTTGGTATAACATTTTTTTAAAAGCTGTGAGAGAAATAAATTTTTAGAGTACATTTAATGTGTTATTATAATGTATTATTAATAATAATGATAATAACTATATAATTATCATTATTATATATAATATATATATTATATATATATAGTGATATAATATAATAATGATAATAATAATTACTATTAATAATAATAATGCCAGTGGGACTGGGGTTTGAACTCAGGGCTTTCTGGTTGCAAAGAAGGCACTCTATACCACTTAAGCCACACCTCCAGTTCAGTTTTACTTTGGTTATTTTGGAGGTGGCGTCTCCTGAACTATCTGCCCATGGTGGCCTTGAACTACCTTCCTCCCATTGTCAGTCTCCCAAGTAGCCAGGATTATAGGTTTGAGCCACCAGTGCCTGGTTCATTTATATACTTTTGATAGGGATTAAACAACAAAGCTAATTGAAGCAAATGATTGATCCTTAGATGTAGACTATTTTTTATTTTTTATCATTGTCATATACCATTTTTTTTTCTTGCTGGTAGTGGGGTTTGAACTCAGCCTCACACTTGCTAGGCAGGTGTTCTACCACTTGAGCCACTCCACCACTCCAACACACTTTTTTGTGTTGAGTGTCTTTGAGATAGGGTCTCTTAAACTATTTGCCTGGGCTAGCTTCGAACTGTGATCCTCCTGATCTGTTTCTCCAGTAGCTAGTAATACAGGCATGAGCCACCAGTGCCCAGCTAGCAGATACCTTTTTAAAATTCCAAGTTTAATCATGCTATGTTAGAAAAATAAAGATGCTATGTATATGAAAAATCATCTAAAATGTTAGCTTGCACTGGGAGCCAGTGGCTTATGCCTGTAATCCTAGCTACTTGGGAGGCTGAGATAGGGAGGATCATAGTTTGAGACCAGCCTAGGCATATAGTTCATGAGACCCTCATCTCCAAAATAACCAAAGCAAATTGGACTGGAGATGTGGCTCAAGCAACACAGCATCCACTTTGTAGGCATGAAATCTTGAGTTCAAACCACAGTCTGACTCCCCCCCAAAAAAATTAGCTTGTACTTCCTAGAAATTTTACTTCAATAAGTATTAATATTTTGGGCAGAGTATTTAACATTTTTCTTTGGGTCTGGTTCTCAAACTCAGAGCCTTACACAAGCTAGGCAGACACTTTACAACTGAGCCATATCCCCAGCCCGTGTTATACTCTGGAAAAAAATAAACATTAAAAAAATTTTTTTTTTGATGGTGCTGGGGTTTGAACTTGGGGCCTTGTACTTGCTAGGCAGGCACTCTACTTCTGGAGCCACACCTCCTGCCTAAAAATAAGCATTTTAATTATAGAGCAACATTTTAATAAATAAGGTTGCCTAACCAAGGTCACAAAATTAGATACATAGCTTAATTTTAGTTTTTCTTCTGTGTACCTATTTATAAACATGAAAAGAAAGAAAGCCGTTTTACTTTATTGTATGTGTGGTGCTAGGGATTGAACCAGAGCCTTGCACTTGCTAAGCAAGCACTTCTACTCTCTGTTTGAGAAATCCTACTTAAATATAAAATTAATTATACAGGACCAAAAAGAATTTTTAAACTACTGCTATTGAGGCCCTGAGTTCAAACCCCAATACCACCAAAAACTACTGCCATTCACATGTGTACTACTTGAAAATAGCTTTGGAAAATGCATCACTTTATAGATGTACCTACAAGTCCCCAAATTTTGTACTTGGAATAGACTTTTTAAGCTGGTAAGAAGGGTTGAGTACAAATTACCTTTGATATAGTTTGGGTTCTTATCCGGTGCCACATGACATCCCTCGGACCGTACAGTTTGCCTGTGCTCTCAGGGAAGCCTACTGACCTCATGAGTACAAGGAGAGGAACCCAGCTTACTTCATCAGCCCTTTAGGAATGCCTTAGGGGCCAGTTTTCTCTTGGTATTCCTTGATTACATCCAGGATGGGTTGATGTTGGTCTTCTTTCTGTCCAGTTCAAGGGCTTCCCTGGCAGCTGCTGTGGCCAGAGTGCCTTATAGTTATTCCATACTACTACAGCCATCATAGTTTATATGGGGGAGAGACAGCCAGGGGCAACTTCTTCCACAGGGGATGCAGTGCAAGCCCTTTGGAGTTTTGTGCTTTTCAGTCCACCAGGATCCTGGACAGATGTTCTAGGAAGCTGCTTTTTATCAGTTACAAGAGTTTTTTTTGCTTATGAATCTGCATTTAGAGCTCAGAAGAGTGGCTATCTCTAGTCCATTGGGCACCAGCTGGGTACAATTGAGGGTCTAAGCCAGGTGTAATCCTAGCACTGAGGAGGCTGAGGCAGGTAAATCTTTGAAGTCAGTTTATACTTCACAGTGATACAATGTTTCAGAAAGAAAAAAAGGAAAAGAAAATCTGGGAGCTGGAATCACCTGAAGCCTGTTCATGCATATTCTGGGGTTCACCCATGTGTACGTGACCTTTCCATGTGGCCTGGGCCTTGTCATAATACTGTGTTTGGGTTCCAGATCTAGTATCCTGAGAAAGAACCAAGTGGAAGCTGCATTGCTTTCTAGTCTGGAAGTTAGAGTTATATTTATGCTACTTTCTATCTAAACTAGTAGCAAATCCCTAAGGGCGGTGAATTAGACTCCACCTTTGGGTGGGAGGAGCATTAAGGAATTTGTGGCCATGTTTTAAAAATCATCCCATGCTTTTTTTAGTATTTTAGAATATCAGATCCCCTTCTCCTGTGTAATCCCCAACTGAAGCAGCTGTAGACAGGGAAGTAACCCCAAAAAGCTAATGATGGACGATGATGGAGCTGTACGTTACGGGCTTATTTGGAATGAAAGGAGTTTTTCATTTGGCTAATGTTGGCCATAAAGTCTAACGCTTCACTTGAGAGGAGCAAAAGGAAGCATGAAGTGGAAAGTTTCACAAAAGAGGAAAAGAGGACAAGGACGTGAACAACAACAAAGCATCCTCAAGTTGAGATGTTTGTGACTGTGAGCGCCTTTCCAGTCCCGAGGATCTTATCTGGGATCCATAGGTGGGGTTTGGGTGATCTGTACCCATTTTGCTGAAGGCAGCTTTGTATGTGTACCACATACCTTATGAAGAGGCCCTCCTCCCTCGAGGAGACCCAAGCAGGCTGGACATTCAGGTTTGAGCCCTTTTCTTTGGTCCCCGAGGTGCAGGCTGATGATACTTCTTCTGTACTCTGTTGTGTAGAAACAGGACATGTGATGCCATGTGAACTTACTCATACTTTACATTATCTCTAGAGAATCTCTAAGTTTATTAGAATGTGGATATGCTTTGCTTTAAGTTTAAGCTTAAGCTGTGAGAAAAAGCCTACTAGTCACTTATTAAATATACTTTTTTTTAAAGCACAAAGACTGTGTGGTTCCTTACCTTCTTCGACTTCTCAAAGGTCTTCCAAAAGTGTATTGGGTTGAAGAAAGCACGGCTCGGAAAGGCAGAGGTAATTTTATATATTTTTCCTGAATACAAAGAAAAGTATGTTTAGCATCTTTATGGATCAAGTGTTTATTCATAGTAACATAGTTACTATGATACATAGTTAGGATGCTTGTAGCTGGTCCCACTCCTGGCCAGAACAACTAACTGCTTCCAGCAATGTGGGCTGAGCTTACTATTGTGCAAACCCCATGAACAAGGGGGGAAGTAGAAGATGGGCTGGGCTGACAGTTTTCTATTGCTCTCTTTTTAGAAAGAGCAAGCACTCTGAGACTTTTAGGAAATTTTTTCTCTTAATGTCATTAGCCAGAATTGGATATCTGCCATATCCCCAAACCATTCATACTGCCCTTTGAGTAGGAGACTCATTCACAGAGGGAGGTCAGTTCTCTACATTGCATTACCCTGTTCCAAAATGGTGAGATGGGTATTAGGGACTCAACCATAAATGGCTCACTATAAATGATTTTATCAATCTGTTGCTGTTACTAAGTTTTTGTTATTTGCACCTTTAGGGATGGAATAAATTCATGTGTATTTTCTTTTAACTTATATTTTATTTTGATCTCTTTTTAGGGTCAAAATGAGAGTAGTAGTCTTTGCCTCTCCTCTTCTCCACTGCTTTCCTTTCCCTTCCTCCCTCCTTACCTTCCTTCTTCTGAAATATTCACATAGGTCCACTGTGTGCCAAGCATTGTACTAAGCACTTAAAACACAGATGTTCTTGTATACTGATTTCCTAAGGCTCCTAAACTAGTTTGGTACATGTTTTAGGGTTTAGGACCCATGTGACTCAAGTTTCTTTGAAACATATCTCTGTAAGGCCTCATATAGCACCTTTGTATGTATGTGTACCATCAGGCCCAGGTTTTAGTTGTAGAAATAGGGTCTGACTAACTTTTTGCCTGGGCTGGCCTCAAACTGATAACATCTGGATCTCTACTTCCCAGTAGCTAGAATTATAGGCATGAAGCCACCAAGCCCAGTCTAAACTCCGCCCCCCCCCCTTTTTTTTTTGACAATAGTAGGGTTTGAGCTTGGTTTCATGCTTGCAAAATAGGTACTGTACTGCTTGAGCCACATCTCCTGTCCTAAATTTTCATTTTAAAGTAACATTTGACTTTTCTTTTAAAGGCAGTATTACTTATGCTATTAAATTCTAGAACAGAAGTTCTCAAAGTGTTGTCACTGGGCCATCAGCATCACCAGGGAACTTGTCAGAATTGCACATTGACAGACCCTGCTTTAGAGCTAGTGAATCAGAGCTCTGGGCCTGAGATGTGGAAGCTCTCAGGTGATTCTGATGCACAGGCAAATGTGAGAATGACCTAGAGCTGCACTTTAAAGACCTTCTGCCATGTACTATGAGTGTACCCAGAGAATAGTTGGCACTCTTACGTCCTTGGTGTTAGATTGATTAAGTATTAAGGTTGATTTCCTATTTAATCCTGATCGAACCAAATGGCAAGTGGTTCTTGTGTTTGAAGGTATGTGTGGTAAAAAGGCTGCATAGCTTTTGGCCTTTTAGATAGGTTACTTCCTCCAGTCCTGTAGTTCCTAAGAGCTACCCTAGTAGGAGGCTTAGCATTGGAAGAACTTAAAAACTTATGGGGCATGGCTGTGGTTGTAGTTCAGTTGTGCTTAGCATTCATGAGGCTCTGGGTTCAATCCCCAATACAAACAAACAAAACAGAAGCTGTGTGTGTGTTACAGGGGTTTGAACTCAGTGCTTTGAGCTTGGTCGGCAGTTGCTCTCCAGTTGAGCCACATCCTCAGCCCAATAAAAACATTTTTAAAAAGAAGCTTTTGAGATATAGAGAAAAGCTTTGGAGCTCTTGTCAGGGTTTTCCCCACTTGCCAAAAAAACCAGAAAAGAAAATGTAAACATTCCATTCTTCTTAAAGTAATACTAATATGTATTTCCCATTTAGCTTTCCTGTACTAGCTCTATCAAGATTGATTTCTCATTTTTATTTAGGTAGAGAATAAAAAATCGAATTTGTCATGTCAACAACTTCTATAATCTCAAAGTGTACATTGGCTCAGAAAACAATTAAGTTTATTGAACTGAATGATTTTACTTAAAAAGAGTAGAGATCTGTCTCAGCAAAAATGTTGGGCCAATATCTGTTTTATTAGGACTCCATGGGAGAGCAGCAACTTTAAGCTGGTCCATTGGCAGACTGTGTGAATACTGAATTGGATGGCCAGCATGTGTAGTTTAGTGTTTTGTTTCTGATGATCTGGTTTATGTCTTCACATTTTCCAGGTGCCCTCCCTATTGCAGAGAGCTTCAGCTTCTGCCTGGTAACTTTGCTGTCTGATGTGGCTTATAGGGACCCCTCACTTAGGGATGAAGTAAGTATAAGGTATCTTGTTGTGCATGGCTATTAGATTAAAAAAAAAAAATCCCCAAGTTATAAAAAGGGAAAAAACTTGAAATGTGACTGGATTGTTTATATTGATTTCATTATTAATAGCAAACTTAAAAAATGTTTCATACTTGATTATAGTATTTTTCAGCTTACAGACTCTAATGAGTCTTTTTTCTTTTTGGCAGTATTAGGGTTTGAACTCAGGGCTTTGTGCTTGTGAGGCAGGTGCTCTACTGCTTGAGCTATGCCTCCTGCCCTTCATGAGTCATATCTTATTCAACAATCCCCAGAGCCCTGTGAATTTGGCAGGAAAAGACAGACAGCTCATTGGGGATTGAAGTCATTTGCAGAAGAGAATTTTCTTTCTTTCTTTCTTTTTATTTATTTATTTGTTTGTTTGTTTGTTTGTTTATTTATTTATTGGCAGTATTAGAGTTTGAACTCTCAGAGCCTTGAGATTGCTAGGTAGGCACTCAACTACTTGAGCCACACTTTCAGCCCTGTTTACTTTATTTTTTCAATAGGGTCTTGTATTTTTGCCCCAAACCAACCTAAGACCGTAATTCTCCAACCTATGCTCCCCAGCTGGAATCGCAGGGGCATGCCACCACACCTAGCTTATTGGTTAAGATGGATCTGGCTAACTTTTTTGCCCAACCTGGCCTTGAACCTTGATCTTCCCAATCTCCACCTCCCAAGTAGCTGGAATTACAGGCATGTACCACCACATTTGGTTCCAGAAGAGAATCTTCTGTGTAGGCGACGCTGTTACCTTTCAGTGCCCAAACTTTTGCTTGTAGTTAATTTTGTTGGAAATGTTGCCAACATGTATTTCATACTTCCCTCCTCCCCCAACCCCTGCCACAGCAGTTCTGGGGTTTGAACTCAGGGTCTCATACTTGCTAGGCAGGTACTCTGCCACTTGAACCATACCCCAGCCCTTTAAAAAAATTTTAGTTATTTTTCAAAGAGAGACTCCTGCTTATCCCCGGGCTGGCCCACATCCTCCTATTTATGCTTCCCACATAGCTGAAATGACAGGCACTCACCAACATGTCCATTGATTGGTTGAGATGGTGTCTCAATGAATGAACTTTTTGCCTTTCAATGAATGAACTTTTTGCTTTGAACCATGACCCTCATGATTTCCCCCTCCCAAGTAGCTAGGATTATAGACATGAGCCACTGCACTCAGCCTAAACTTTTTTTTTCAGGGGGTAGGTGTATAGGGGATAGAACTCAGGGCCTTATGCTTGCCATGTAACTGCTCTACCACTTGAGCCCTAGTCTAAACTTCTTAATCAGATTTATAATAGAAAATCAGTTTTTTTTGTGCTAATGAGATTTGAACTCAGGGCCCTTCACTTGCTAGGCAGGAGCTCTACCACTTGACCAAACCACAGCTCTTTTTGCTTTAGTTATTTTTTTGAATAAGATCTCTAGTTTATGCCTGGTCTGGCCTGGACTGCGATCTTCCCATGTAGCCGGGACAAAAGGCACATATCACCACTCTCAGCTATTTTTGATTGAGATGGAGTCTCCTGAGCTTTTTGCCTGTGCTGGCCTTAAACCTCCATCCTGATCTCTGCCTCCTGAGTTGCTAAGATTATGAGGCATAGGCCACTGTACCTAGCTGAAAAATCCATTTTTATATACTACTATAGTTAGGTCCTGCTCAGTTGTCTGCCTATATGCTAAATATACCCAGCTAGCAATACTTTTTTAGTTTTTCAAATTTAGATTCTTTCTTTTTTAGTGGTACTGGGGTTTGAACTCAGAGCTTCACACTTGTGAGGCAAGCACTCTACCACTTGAGTGGAGCCATGCCTCCAACCCATAATTTAGATTCTTCATTTATTTGTAGGTTGGCTAAAGAAATAACTACATATGTTAGAATTGTGTATTTTATTTAAAAAAAATAGACAGTAAGACCTTTTATATTAATAAAATGCATCAAAATAAAGAGGCCAACAATCAAGATGACAAAATGACTTTAATGTATGGAATGGGAAAAAATACAGGTTGAGTACCCCTTAAAATCCAATCTGAAAGGCTCCACAATCTAAAACCTTTTGAGTACTAGCATGACTTGACAAGTGGAAAATTCTACTTCTAATCTCATGTAACAGGCTGCAATCAAAATATAGGCACATTTAAAATATTGTATAAAATTACTTTCAGGCCAGATATGGTGTCATACGCCTATGATTACAGCTACTTGGAAGGAGGATCATAGTCTGAGGCTAGTCTGAGGTCAGCTGGGCAAAAGCATGAGACCCTATCTGAAAAACAAACTAAAAACAAAAGAACTTGGGGTGTGGCTCAAGTGGTAGAGTGCTTGCTTAGCAAGGGTGAGGCCCTGAGTTCATTCCTCAGTACCACCCCCCCCAGAAAAATTACTTTTAGGCTATGTGTATAAGATGTATCCAAAACACAAGTAAATGTCATGTTTAGACCTGGGTTCTGTCCCCAGGGTATCCACTAGATAGGATGCAAATATTCCAAAAATCTGAAAAAGTCTGAAGTCTGAAACACTTCTGGCCTCAAGCATTGTGGATAAGGGATACTCAACCTATATTGCTTTTCAGGCATTTATAGGTTATTTAGTATTATTTCAACATTAGGAAGATATAGGAAATTTGTTCGTAATCAAGTCATGTTAGACCAACTTCATTGCCTGGGTTTTCTTATAGAATAGGCCAATCTTTTCTTTCTTTCTTTTTAAAATTTTTTCTATGTAGCCTAGGCTGGTCCTCGACCTTATTCATAATCCCCTACCTCAGCCCCCTGACTGCTGAGGATACAGATGTATGCCACCTTGCCCTTTGTCTGGGTAGTTGAGAGAAATGAGGTAGATGTTCTATGTAGTTGATCTTAATGAAAACATTGAACAAGTACCCTTCCTGATATACTGGATCAGTTAAATGGTCTGAGTGCTAAAATGATTCATAGGGTTTGTGGAATTTCCTGATGGATGATCTGTGAGATCCTGGCCTGGCAGGAGCTCCTGTGGCCTCCTCCAACCATTGGAACAAAAAAAACCAGTGATTTGAATGAAGATCTAGAAAACAAGTTGATTTTATTTATAGAAGGCACAAAACCAGGATTGAAGACCAGTCCAACACACTAAAACTAACACCACAAACTTTTGTAGGGATAAATGAAAAGTTAAAAATACCAACTATGTAAGTAGAGACTTCATAGCTTAAGAGCAACATGTGCAAAAAGAATTTAAGTATTTTTATCTGGAAGCTCTTTGAGCCAGCAATGTGAAGTGGCTACTGAAAAGTTAATGGTCGTACAAAGAAATCTAGTCCGTATTGAATTTGGTTATTACTCTGGGTAAGTTCCTGCATCTCTGTTATATTCATAGATTTTATTCTGAGCACCATACTTCTAGACAGATGTAGACAAACTGGACTACGGTACAGTCATAAGCAACATCATAAATAAGCTGTGATCGTAAGGAATAATGTTGAAAAGAACTAAGACTTTTTACCCATGAAATATAATTTGGGGACCTAGCACCTGTTTAGAGACTCTGGAGGAAGAAATGGCCCCAAGGGCCATGGAAGGCCCAGGAAGTCAACATTGGCCCAGTGTTAGGATCTTGGTACCAGTCAGAAGAGGGAGAGTTTGTTCCTGAAGGTCAGCTGGTTGGATACTTGGCACAGCCATTGTGGAGGGGGAGGGATATATGGAATCTCTCAGGATAATATCTAAAGCGCTTTCAAATTTTGATTTAGTTTTGTAATATTTATCTGATTTGTTTGTAAGTTTGTTTGTTTCCTTGACTGTTGCAGATTTTAGAGGCACTTTTGCAGGTTTTGCATGTCCTTTTGGGAATGTGCCAGGCCTTAGAGATTCAAGAAAAAGGTATGATTATGTATCTTTAAGATATCTTTCTTTCTTTCCTTCCTCCTTCCCTTCCCTGCCCCCTCCCCTTCCCCCTTTTCCCCCTTCTCCCCTTTCCCTCTTCTCCCCGTTCCCTTCCTCTCCCCTTTGTAGTTATTCTTTGCTTGTTTTTTTCCTAGTCTTTGCTCTGTTCTTGGTACCTAATCTGCACCTAGTAGAAGAAAACCTTTTTATTATTAGGTTACATTTGTTACATGCTATTATACTGAGAGGCCACATGAGTTCATAAGCACAGTTCTGTACACAAATGCCAAGTGTCCTTGAGCAAGTGACTCCACTCTTCTGAGCCTCAGTTTCTCACCCATAATGTATGTGGGTACTTCAGTTGACTTCCAAAGGTCATTTTTTCTATTAGTGTAAATAAGTTTACCAATATAAATTACTGATTTGGAAGTGACATGAACAGATCAAGACCTGCCAAGGAGAGCAGCTATGATAGAGACACAAACTGACATTATTGGTTATGACAGTTTGAAAATGTCCTGTTTAGCCCTTTGGGTTGACTGTGTTACTGTGACCTTTTCTCAGCTTTCACAGTTATTAGTGCATGGGTTGTGAAATGTTAGTCAGTGTTACAATTCGGTACAACATGTGGGGAGTTTGACTTTCACTGTACCTGTTGTAACATTCTCCCTTGGTCTTCTAGAATACCTTTGCAAGTACGCAATCCCATGCCTGATAGGAATCTCTCGAGCATTTGGGCGTTACAGCAACACAGAAGAGTCTCTTCTCTCTAAGCTCTTTCCCAAAGTCCTTCCTCATTCCCTTCGAGTTCCAGAAGAACTAGAAGGTGTCCGAAGGCGTTCCTTCAATGACTTCCGCTCCATCCTTCCAAGCAATCTGCTGACTGTCTGTCAGGAGGGCACCCTGAAGAGAAAAACCAGCAGTGTGTCCAGCATCTCTCAGGTGGGGCTGGCCTTCCGGGAGAAGAAACCAGGAAGGAGGATTTCATTAAGTGCTATTGAGTGTGAAGAAAATACCACTTGTGTGTAGTTTGAGGAAACTTTAACATGAAAGATTCTCACTAGAATTCTCTTTAATACATTTTAATACAAAGACTTATCTCTTAAAGGTTTTTTGTTTTTTTGGTTTTTTTAAGACAAGGTCTTGCTAAATAGTCCAGGCTGGCCTGAAATTCTCTCTATAGACCCGGTTGATCTCAAACTCCTGATCTTCCTGCCTCTGCTTTCTGGATGCTGTGCCACCAAACCCAGCTTCTTTTTAAGATTCATAAGTCATTTCACAGTTGTGAAATGCTTTGCTTCATAGCAATTAGGTGTCAGACTCTATTCTGAATGCGAGATACATAGAAAGTATATAATTGAGCTGAGCAAAGTGGCACATGTCTGTAATCCCAGTATTCAGGAGAGGCAGGAAGATCATGAATTTGATGCAGCCTGGGCTACATAACAAGACCTTGTCTCAAAAATATAAAAAAGAAAGAGTGGAAGGAAGGCGGGAGAGAAGGAGGAAGGAAAGAGAAAAAAATATGTAATTGAGGGCTGACATGTAGCTTAGTGATAGAGAACTTGCCTGGCACTATAAACAAAAAATGGGCTTGGGCATGACTCAAGTGGTAGAGTGCCTACCTATGTATACTTGAGGCCCCGAGTTCAAATCCCATTACTACCCAAAAAAAGTATATCATTGATTCATGGAGAAAAGATTAAAACACCAAAAACACACAAAAAATTTAGATCAGTAATAGCTGGGTGAGGTGGATCATGCTTATAATTCCAGCTACTCTACTTGGGAGGCAGAGATCAGGAGGATTGTGGCTCATGGCTAGCTTGAGCAAAAAGTTAGTAAGACCCCATCTCAATTAATAAACTGCTCATGGTAGTACATGAATGTCATTGCAGCAAAGTGGAAGGCTATATATAGGTCTGAGGCTGGTCTGAGGCACACACAAATAACTCAAGTACAAAGGGCTGGGAGTTAGAGTGCCTGAGTAGCAAGTTCAAACCCCAGTACTGCAAAAAAAAAAAAAAAAAAAAATCAGATGAATAATCAAGAACAAAATATATGGCTAGACACAAAGACTAGTAAGTAACACAATATGTAGTAGAGAATGTTGTGCTGTTGCTTTTGTGGGCTTCAGGGAGGGGTAAGGCTTGAAGCAAGACTTCAAGTGCAGATGCTGGGCTGGCAGAGAGAACCATACCTAAGATGAACCTGACTAGGTTCCACTAGCCTGTTCTGATCTGTAACTGTGGTTGTATGTTTTAGGTCAGCCCGGAACGTGGCATGCCACCTCCTAGCTCCCCTGGAGGATCCACTTTTCACTACTTTGAAGGTGAGCTTCACCTCTCTGCCAAGAATACCGACTACTACTTGGATAGCTGGCTCACAATGACTTCCTGTGATGTGAGGGATGCCGGTACTGACTCTCCATTGCCGTGGATCTAGAGTAGTGAGCTTTTAGAAACCATTTATTCTGTTTTCATTTAAATTTCTCTCTCTTCCCCTGTGTTGGCTGGAGCCCAGGGCCTTTCACATGCTAGGCAAGTGCTCTAGCACTGAAATACATTCCCATTCTTCAAGTTCATAAAATTTACTTTTCAAAAAAAATTTTTTTTTTTTTTTTGGTGAGACTGGAGTTTGAACTTAGAGTTTTGCACTTGCAAAGCAGGCACTTTACCACTTGAGCCCATCTCCAGTCTGTTTTACTCTGGTTATTTTTTTGGGGTAGTACTGGGGTTTGAACTTAGGTCCTCATACTTGTTAGGCAGTCACTCTACCACTTGAGTCACTTTTCCAGGCCTTTTTGTGTTGGGTATTTGCCCAGGCTTGCTTCCAACTACAATCCTCCTGATCTCTGCCTCTTAAGTAAGATTACAGTCACAAGCTATCATCTCCCAGTTGGTCTGGTTATTTTTGCAGATGGGGGTCTCTCTAACTATTTGTCCAGGCAGGCCTCAAACTGGGATCCTTCCCATTTTAGCTGCCCAAGTAGCTAGGTTACAGGTGTGAGCGACTGGCACCAAGCGCAAATATTCTGTACCTAGAGAAAAGAACAGAAAATAATTTATAGATCTCCAAATGCCCACAATCAAATTTTTGGGGGAGGGGTGTCCTGAGGTTTGAACTCAGGGCCTTGAACTTGCCAGGCAGGCATTCTAGCACTTGAACCACTTCCTTAGCCTGAAATTTTGTATATTAACTGGTTTTCAGGAGAAGGATTTTTTAAGGTTACCAAGTTTATAGGTAATGTTAGAGAATATAGTAACCAGGTATGGTGGCACACATCTGTAATCCTAGCACTTGGAAGGCTGACTCAGAAAGATGGTAAGTTGGAGGCCAGACTGGGCTACATAGCAAGACCTTGACTCAAAAAAAGAGTCAAGGTCTCTCTCTCCCAAAAAAAGAACGTAGTCATATTATTTTTTATGAAGCTTTGCTAGTCACAAAGTACTTCCATATAATTACTGCATTTTATTCATGTGAACACCTTGTGCAATGCCAAACACATATTAAAATTACTCCCACCTTATCTTTCAGGGACATGAGACCCAGATTAAATGATAGGAAATGGAGAAACCAGAATTCCATATCTCATAATAGAGTCTGTTTCATTTTTGGGTGATGCTAATTGTTAAAAGAGCATGTTTCAAAAGATGATCTTAAGAGATGTGAGGGAAATTTTTAAAAAGGAGGAAGGTTGTATCTAAACACAAGAAAATGTGAGCACCTTTGTGTATAGTATGTGAGACTGTGATGTATGTGTACATGAGAACGAAAGGCTATATTCAAACACCTCAGAAATCTCACCTGCCTAAGAAAACCATGTGCTCAAATGTAGAGCCACAGTCTCTAGGCTTTAAAACCCTTTGCCACCTGCCTCCCTTCAGGACATCTGAAGACAGCCATCATTCTCTTTCCCTGCTAAGTAGCTCTGGGCCCACCTTCTGTGGCAAGGAAATCTACATGACATTAGGCCATTAAGCCTCACTTTCTCTTCTTCCCAGCCCCTGGCAAACACCATCTACTGTCTCTATGATTTTTGACACTAAGTATCTCATAGAAGTGGCTCATGCAGATTTATGTTTTTATCGACTTCACTTAATTGTTCTGATTTTGAAACTCCTTAGTTGTGTGTATTTTTGTTCTAATTTTGGTAAAACATCCTTGGGGCCCTGTGGCCCTCAAACTTTCAAATCTCAACCTTAAAAAGGTATTATTCTAGCTTGGCGCCAGTGGCTTACACCTGTAATCCCAACTACTTGGGAGGTTGAGATGGGGAGGACTGAGGTTTGAGGCCACCCTGGGCAAATAGTTCACAAGACCCAATCTCCAAAATAACCAGAGCAAAATGGACTAGAGGCTCTAGTGGTAGAGTGCCTGTTTTGCAAGTGCAAAGCCTGAGTTCAAACCCCAGTCCAACACAAAAAAGTTATTATTTTTTCCCCTCCCACACATTAGGTTTTTTATTGTCTGGCTTGGAAATACTAGGACATGATCGTTTCTGAGCCTTTCACCTGAAACACCTGAGAGGTGTCCTACTTGACAGCTGGTGATCCAGACTTCTTAATTTAAAAACAAGCAAGGAATTGGGAGTGGCATCAAAACCAAAATGTATGCCTTTTTTGGTTATTGGGGGACTCCTCTTGAGGAAGGGTCCCTGTTGTATGTGCTCATATGTCTTTTTTGGTTTTTTTTCTCCCCCAGCCTCCTCTTGTCTGCCTGATGGGACCACCCTGGAGCCAGAGTACTATTTCTCCACCATCAGCTCCAGCTTCTCAGTCTCTCCCCTGTTCAATGGCATCACCTACAAAGAGTTCAGTATTCCACTAGAAATGCTTCGGGAGCTCTTAAATTTGGTAAGCACAGTGCTGATGGATAGACTGAGGGGATATTGCTCAGTGAAATTGGCAGTGGTAGGAGCCTAGTTTTCTTTTTTTCTTTTTTTTTTTTTGAAACAGGGTCTTTCTTTGTAGCCCAGGCTGGTCTCAAACTCAAAATTCTGCCTCAGCCTCCCAAGTGCTGGAATTAAAGGTGTGCACCATCATGTCCATGCAAACCTGAGAAAAGCTTGGAGTACATGTTGAATATCTCTCATCCAAAGTGCTTGAGACTAGAAATATTTTGTATTTTGGGGGGAATTTTAGAATTTTGCATATATGTAATAAGATATCTTGGGATACCCAAGTCTAAACATGAAATTCATTTGTGTTTCATGTATAGTTTATAAACATAGTGTAAAAGGTAATTTTATACAATTTTGTTTTTTGAAAAGTGGTCTTGCCTATGTTGTTGAGGCTGACCTTGAACTCCTCTTCTCAAGTGATCCTCTTGTCTTAGCCTCTTGAGTCACTGGGCTACACTGTGCTTAACTTATAATTTTAAAAGTAATTTTGTGTGACCCATTACATGAAGTCAGGTGTGGAATTTTCCCCTTGTGGCAATATGTTGGCACCAAAAATGTTTCAAATTTTGAAGCATTTCAAATTTTAGGTATTCAGAACAGCAAAGTCTGTACCAGTATTTCCAAGTACAATTTAGAAGTCATGAATTGGCAGATTGAAGAAGGAAAAAGGGTAGCATTCCTGGAGCTATTGTGCAGTATCTTCTTATGTAGTCTGCATAGCAAGCACATGGGGAAGACCCCTAGACATCTCCATTTAGAAGTAAAGAAATCAGTGTTCAGTACATCAAAGGTGTGCAGGACAACAGCAGTGCTGAGCTTAGTCCAAGAACTCAGACTCAAATTCCAGTGCATTCTCATTATACCTGACTCCTTGTGAAAGGTTGCTCTATTGGATTAATATAAAACCTAAGTTTTTCTTATTTGGGTACCTTTCTGTGACATCACAGGTGACATCAGAGAAAGCATTGGTGTCATTGTTTAAGTCCTGAAATGGACAGATCTTTGGTTAGGGCGAGGGACCCTGAAGTTGTTATGATAGAGCTGAATAGTTCAATACAGGTTTGATTTTTTTTCTTTTTTCAGTTGTGGGGATCCAACCCCAGGTTCTTATGCATGCTAGGCAAGCTCTCTAACACTTAACTACCTTGCTAGATCAATACAAGTTTGAGTAGGTCAGAGTGATGATATTAGACTATAAAGTTGGACTTTCTGTTTTGGAAACAAGAAGGAACCAGAGCAATGCCAAAAGTGTGGAGCATGTACTAGAGAGAGCACATCTCCCTGCCATGTGTAGGAGAACAGAAATTACTCAGGGAATGACTTTATTTAAACTGAAGGTGTAAGAAAACATTAAAACCTAAGGACTAGGGCTAGGGGTGTAGCTTAGAGGTAGAGTGCTTACTTAGCAAATGTGAGATCCTGGGTTTAAATATCACAAAACAAAATCAAGGGGGTAATTAAAAAGAATGGAGTCATAATGACTTAGTAAACGGTCTTAGTTGTGTTTGAGGTTGTTGTCAAGAAAGAAAATAAGGATAAGGTTAAGATGGTCCATGGCCTTTGTGGATGGCTCTTCCTAGTGCCATGTTAGTAATCCTAACTGAGGACTAAATGCTTAATGTCCTTTCTTGGGGTAAATTTTTTTTCAAGCATTTTTTATTTTTGGTAGTACTGGAATTTGAACTCAGGTTCTCACACTTGCTAGGCAGGTGTTCTTACTGCTTGAGCCACTTCATCAGCCCTTTTTTTTTGTGATTATTTTTTTCAAGACAGGGTCTGGTGAACTATTTGTCCAGTCTGGCTTTGAACCATGATCCTGCTGATCTCTGCCTCCTGAGTAACTAGAATTATAGGCGTGAGCCACCGGTGCCCAGCTGTGTTGAGTGTTTTCGAAATAGGGCCTCATGAACCATTTGCCTGGACTGGCTTTGAACTGTGATCCTCCTGATCTCTGCTTCATATATTTTAATTTTTTAAGTATGGGTTTTCTTTCTTTTTTTCTTTTTGGTTTTTTGAGACAGGGTCTTGCTGTGTAGCCCAGCTTGGTCTGGAACTCATGATCCTCCACCTCAGCCTCAAGTAGTTTAGATTTGTTTTGTAGTCAATTTTTATTTCTTCTCTTGGTATGTTATCATTGTCATTTTGAAAATGACCTTCATCTAATACTACAGTTACAGTGGTTAAGCAGTTTTATCAAGTCCATTCCTATGCTAAATGTGACACAGAGAACAGGTGAAAATAAATTGCTTCTATTAGAAACTTGTCTAGGTATGGTGATGCATGCCTGTGGGAGGCTGAGGCAGAAGGATTTCTTGAGGCCAAGAATTTGAGGCTAGCCTGGGAAGCATAGCAAGACCTTATGTCCCCCCAAAAAATAAATGACTAGAGGCATGATTCAGGCATTAAGCCCTGAGTTCAAACCCCAATACTACCCCCAAAAATGAGTACATGGGTATTGTGGCTGAGGATGTAGCTCAGTAGTAGAGTGCTTGCTTAGCACTTACAAGGCCCTGGGTTCTATCTCTAGCACTACTACTACCACTACCACCAAAAATAAAAAAGTTAAGATTTATGATGTGTGCTCCAGTTTGAATATTTGGGCATCTTTGGAAGAGCTAGTGCACCAGGCTACTGGGAGGAGGGAGGAGCCATCATTGCCTGAGAAATAGTGCCCTAGATGTCTGGGAGGGGCTTACAAGAGGATTTCCCATGGGTGTACTTGTTAACTTTGAGTGGGTGAAATGTCAGCGATGCCTGGAGCCTGAACACTCTCACATCCTGGAGATGGAAATCTAACACCAGCAAGGCTGAGGAAGTTGGTTGGTTCCTTTTTTTTTTTTTTTTTTTCTGGCAGTTCTGGGGTTTGAATTCAGGGCCTTGCACTTGCCAGGCAGGCACTCCACCCCTTGAGTCCAGGATAAGAAAAGAAGTCCCAAACTGATACTAGCTTTGTTCCTCTAGTTTGATTAATTTCCAATTTTGTATGTTGTTGACCACGCATTCACCCATCACATTTATCACCACAAGTTATTTATATATCTATTTTCAATGCCATGGATTGAACCCATGACCTTGGACCTGCTAAGCCCACACTTTACCACCAAGCTGTACCCCACCCTATTAATGGGTTTTATCTGTCAACATTTGACTTGTCCTTTGGTGGAAGGAGCTAGCGTTCCTATCTGTCTCATTGTGTCAGTTGCTTCATGAGGATTTGTCTCCTTGACAGGTGAAGAAGATTGTTGAGGAGCCTGTTCTCAAATCCTTGGATGCAGTTGTAGCCAGCGTGATAGAGGTACATCTCTTCTGAGGGCATTAGCACAAAATTTGCCTGATTTAAGCATTCTCAGGGAGAAAGGAGGAAAAGTTCATGTGGGGATTGGAGTGAAAGGGGTTTGGCAGTGATAGAAATCTAGTGTTGGCATGTCTGAGGGAGTTGGTTGGTTCTCATTTACTTTAGCACTCGTCCTGTGTAATAATAAGATGCCTGCTCCTGAGCACCTGCTCTGTGCCTGGCTCTTTTGAGTACATCACTTCACAGTGCTTCTGACTGGCAGTCAGTGTCTCCATTTCATAGCTGGAAGGTAGAGGTTCTTGGTGCCAATTAATGTGCCCATGTCACACACTGTGAAAGCTGGGAGTCTAGCCTGAGTCAGTCTGACTATTTATCTTGCTCCTTTGGTATTTCCAATGCTGCTCCTTTAGGCTGAGAACTACACTTTCTAGATACATGCAAGCCCTGGCTTGGGAATTTTGTCTTTAATATACTTGTAACCTAGGCCTACAGCTTTATTTACAAAATCATTACATGTTTGTGATGGGAATTCTCAAAATCTTAGTGGACATTTGAGTTAGGACCCTTGAGAGGGTGAAGATACGGAGAGATTGCTTTTTGTCAACCTGATTATTGGAATGGTTGTATGCTAGACCCAGATTTCTATTTAAGCTGGTACACTTTCTCTACCCTAATTCTGATACAGACAGTGCCTCATACTGCTGGGGCTCAGCTATGAAGCAGGGAGGGAACTCCAGGGACCTTCATGTGCTGCAGACTGTGTCTCCTTCTGTCCTGCATCTGCTGACAGTATGATGTTGGCAGATGTCAATGTATGCTGTGGGTGTGGTTTGCTCTGGGTTAGTCTTGACTAAGGAATGCTAAATTGCAGTCTGGCACTTCCTACCTTGTCTTTGATCCTTTTCAGGTTGTCCTGTGTCAGCTCACTTACCTCTTACTGTAGACTGAACTTGCCATGTCAGAGGCCTCTTAGTTTCTGTTATTAGTACATGTAACTGAGAGAATATTAGGGAGACCAGGGCTAGAGACTTGTTGGGTCTGCCCCAACAGGTCAGTGTGGGTCCTAAGGAAAGAGTCGATGCTCCCTGGTATCCCCTTTAGGACTTGTTGTAATAGGTGGGGACCTTTCTCCCCTATGAACCAGAGCACTTTCTTTTTTCTTGGTTGTACTGGGCTTTGTACTCAAGGCCTCATGCTTGCTAGGCTACTACTTGAGCCACTCCACCACCCCTTTTTTGTGTTGTGTATTTTTGAGATCGGGTCTTGTGAACTATTTGCCCAAGCTGGCTTTGAACCACAATCCTCCTGATTTCTGCCTCCTGAGTAGCTAGGATTACAGACGTAGGCTACCAGTGCCTGCTCCAGAGCAGTATTTGATATTTTTGTTTTTTTAATTTGGACTTTAGTTTAAATATCTATTTAAAGAAATAGTTTTGTGTCTCCAAAAATAAAAAGTTGTCTAAAATGCTAGCCTAGAGTTATTACAATATGTTAATTATTCATGATCACTATAGTAGTTACTGGCAGTTATCTTGTTCTTATTACATGTCAGATACTGTGATAGGACTTTACTCTCATCTTAAATCACACAATAATCCTCAGTTTACTGGTAGAAAACAGGGTTACAGAGCTAAGGAACCTTAAGAGGGATAGCTAATGAGAATCGGAGCCAGGCTACAGATGTGGTCAGTAGACTCCAAAGCCCTCATGCTTCACACTACATTATCTGGGCTGCCAGTGTGAGACTTCTGTGATGCTGTCACTTCTCTTAGTCTTGTTTCTTCATCTGTGCACTGCATGGGTGTTGTAAGGACTGTGTGAGGTGATGTCTGTAAAACCATTATTGCAGAGCCCATCATTGGTGTTTAGTTAATGGCACCTCTCATTTTCAGTAACCATCTTGAAACTCTCACTTTCATGCATAAAAATTTTTTTTCCTATGTTCTTTCCTCATATTTAAATGTTTTTCATAAACATGTTTTGACTCTCACACCCTCCACCTCATTCTTGTGTTCTTCATGTGACCCTTTTTTTTTTTTTTTTTGGGCACTGGGGTTTGAACTCAGGGCCTCATGCTTGCTAGGCAGGTGCTGTTACCACATGAGCCACTCCACCAGCCCTTCATGTGACTCTTACTCGCTCAATGGGATGCATGCCTCCCCACCAGCCTCACACAGCTTGCTGCCCATCCCATCTCTAGCCCCTTTAAGCTGAGAATGCACATACCTTAAGGACTACATGTTGCTTAACTCAGTAGACCTGTGTGAAATTTTTCCCCAGTGCTACCTTTCTGATTAGATTGCTAAAGAATAATTTACAGTGAGTTTAATTACAAAATGTGAGCTGAATCAGAAGGTGCTGTAGCTGACTGTAGTGTCTACTTCTAGAGTGATAAACAAAGTTGGATCCCTTGGTCTAGTGACCTCTTGGCTCTCTTACTCCTCCTTCTTTTCCCATGTCCCTCTTCAGGCCAATGGTGGTGAGCACAAAAAGGCAGTTGTTCATTTGAGAGCACAAATGACTCCTCCCTGCAGGCATCAGTGCACTGCATGAGCCTCCTATTTTTCTTGGCCTTTTGCTTAAGTGGTTGAAGAGAGTAATTAAAGTGTCTTGAGTGATAAGTCATGATAAATGGTTGCTCCGTCTAGATTACTAAGTCACAAATATAATACTCCTGGCTTCCACATGCAAGGCCAAGGCATTCTGAAGAGAGTTTTTGCTCTGTTGTCATAAGCCTGTCTCCTTTGTAGGCCAACCCCAGTGCTGATCTCTATTATACAGCCTTCAGTGACCCACTCTACCTGACCATGTTCAAGATGCTACGTGACACTCTGTACTACATGAGAGGTGAGGACTGTTGATGTACGTGGGTGAGTGTGGGAGGATGGCCTCCCTGGCTGCTGTCAAAGGCTGCCACTTACTTTCTTCTGGAGCCACTTAAAAAGCATGTATGAAGCCAGGAGCAGTGGCACATCTTGTCATCTCAGTTACTTGGGAGAGTGAGATGGGAGGATCACTTGAGCCTAGGAGTTGGCTATAGGCAATATAGCGAGCCCCTGTCTCAAAACAAAACAAAACAAAAAGCGCATAGGTTAACATGATCACATGATTGAACTTTTAGGAAAAAAGCAAATAAGAGAAAACTTCTGTGCGTGATTCTATGACCCTAGTACTATCAAAGATGGCTTCTTTCATGGATTTATTTCCTAAGCCATTTTTCTAAAACGTACACATTATATTGTCTGTTTCATGCATGGAGTTTTACATTTGCCATTTAGACGTTTAGAAAAATCAGATGAGGGACTCATATAATCTTTAGACTTAGAGATAATATCTTAATTGTTTTGCATGCACACACAAAAATTTGGTGTTTCCTTCTAGTCTCACTTTCATGCATAAAAACTTTTTTTCCTATGTTCTTTCCTCATATTTAAATGTTTTTCATAAACATGTTTTGATGACCACATAATATTCTATGATGTAGATAACACTATAATTTTTTTCTGATATGGCATAATTTAATTAAACATTCCTAATCTGACTTGGAGGGCTTCTGGGAAACTGAGCTTATCAGGGTCACAATAGTCAGGGTTTGGGTTCACCCAGGAAGAGCATTAGGGATATGTCAGGTCAACCTAACCTTTAGGAGCTCCCAAATCTTTCCACCTGGGCTACGTGTTGCTGGCTTCCTCGGCTAATCTGACCTATGCCTGTCACAGTAGTTCTCCTGAATTTTGCAGGCCAAAAGGATGAGAGTTTGAAAAGTCTACAAACTCTGGGTGCTCCAAAGCTTCAGGGAATTCTCCTCTGGATGCAACTACTTTTTACTTTTGTCCTATAACTTCCTGTAACTAGCCACCTTTTTTTTTTTTAACACGACAAAAGTATTTCCTATTTTCAATTGAATCAGTTCCAGTAATAATATACCCTTTTTATATGTTTCAGATATTTAGGTTTAGTATGTTGGCTGTTTAAAACACAGCATGTTAGACAGGGAGCGTATGTAGCTCAGTGGTAGAGTGTTTGCCTAGAGTGCATGATGCCTTGGGTTTGCTCCTTAGCACTGCCAAAACCAACCAACCAAAAAACTAAAACAAATCAAAAATAAATACAGCATGTCTCTGGCTTCTCTGAGGAATTATTTCCTCTCGAAAATATGCAGATGAAGTACTACTGCAAACAGCCTATCTAAGCTCTTTCCTGCAGGCATTCTTAGAACCACAGTAGCCAGCATCAAACATTACTCATCTTTTTGTTAGAGAGGGAAATTAATAGTTATTGAGAGGCATTGCCTGTGTTCTGGTGCAGTTTTGTTTCCAGCTATGCCCCCACCCCTGTCTTTCCTACAGACCTCCCCACCTCCTTTGTAAAGGAGATCCATGATTTTGTACTGGAGCAGTTCAACACCAGCCAAGGGGAACTCCAGAAGATTCTGCACGATGCGGACCGGATCCACAATGAGCTGAGCCCCCTCAAACTGCGCTGCCAGGCGAATGCTGCCTGTGTGGACCTCATGGTGTGGGCCGTGAAGGACGAGCAGGGTGAGCCCAAGCTGCCTTTCTGACAACTCAGATAGCAGACTGCCTTCCTTGCCCTGCGAGCTTTGGGCATGCCCCAGGACCTTTCTTCCCATGAGTTCCCCAGAGTGACTTCTAGAATGCTGACTGTTACTGGCATAGGCAGTCACATTAGAAATGGCCTCCTCCTAAGCGTATGTAGAGCTGAGCATCAGCTTCTGCTATAGCCTGAATATTTGCTGTCCTGTCCTGCAATGAAGGACACATAGACTTGTGAGGAGAGTGAAGGCCTCACAGGTTCTTTTGGCTTTTCTGTGGTGAGGTAAAGATTCAGAGCTGGAGGGTGAGGGGGTTCTGTTCAGGGGACGAGAAGAATGGTAAGCATTAAGAGAAGGAAAAGTAGTTCTGCATGGTGCAGTGCAGGATGCCTGCCTCCAAACTCTGGTGTGTCCTCTCCTGTTAATGAACCTGCAGCTAGTGTTTCTCCAGGGTTTAATTGTGTCATTAACCAGTGAGAAGGTATTTTGTGAATGTTGAACTTTTCTGATCATTTGTACCCTTTTCTGATTTTGAATTAAGGTGCAGAAAATCTTTGCATCAAGCTATCTGAAAAGCTGCAGTCTAAGACATCCAGCAAAATCATCATTGCCCATTTGCCCTTGCTTATCTGTTGCCTGCAGGTCAGTCTCACTGATGTTTGAGACACTTGATTCCCATCCACAGAGTGTCTCTCTTGTCATGTTCCTCAGGCTGTGGTTGGTTCTCCCACAGCAACAAGGGTCCTTATAGTCTGAGCTGTTTTCTTTAAGAACCCATTAGAGTCTGTTGTGGGCACAGGTCATCAATGAGCATGAGCTCCCCCTACAGTATGCCAGGAATTTCTGCAAGTGGTATCCAAGAGCCACTTGCCTTGAAGAGGGTCTCAGTTCCTCCTCTGTTGAGAGGCTGCCCAGCATCTTTTGGAAAGTGCCCAAGGTCAGCAGGTGAAGAGTTTTAGACACATGCCATAGGGCCTCACCAGATGTCTGTCACAGAGCTTAGTTCTGCTCTGCTGAGACTCCCTTCTTGATGTAGATCAAACTGACTCCACATCTGCCGTTGTTTAATAAGTACATTTTGTACCTTAATTGGTTTCCAAAAGAAATAAACACATTTAACAATATATATTCACCTTAAATGGGGAAGAGTCAGGACCACCCCCCTTCCCTGCCTTTACCTGATGAGCAAGTGACTTCTAGGAACTTTGATCTTGAAAGTTTTGGTCACATTTGGCATCGGAAGGGTTGAGCATCTCACTGCTCAGGTTCTGCTCAGATGGTCCTTCCTGGGTTGCATGATGGGCCGATGGTGTATTGCAGGGTTTGGGCCGTCTGTGTGAGAGGTTCCCAGTGGTGGTGCACTCAGTGACGCCATCCTTGCGAGACTTCCTGGTCATCCCATCCCCGGTGCTGGTGAAGCTCTATAAGTACCACAGTCAGTATCACACAGGTAATAGACGACTGCAGCTGAGGCCGTCTCCTCAGCATCCAATCCTATGTGCCTTTGAGGTCCTAAGAAAGGGACCACTTAACCATGTATGAACTCCACATGAGTTCTGTAACTGTACTTGGGCTCATTCCTCCTCCACATCTTTCCTTCGATCTTTCCCTGCAGATGCCTCATTACCCATGTTTTTCAGGCCTTTCATCTCCCTACCTGCCCACTGAAGGTTCCTTTTAGTCCTGTTTTCTTTTTGGTGTCTGCTCTCACTGCAGTAGTCTGTGAGCCCTGACTGTCTCAGTGCTGGACTAGGAACTTCATATATAATAACCTCATCTGGTCCTCACTGCCCTGTGAGGGACATGGGGTCAGAGCTGATCTGTGAACGTAACAGTAATTAACATGGATTAAACAGCTACTGTGTGTAAGAAGTGCTCATATTACTCATATAGAGATGGACATTTTATCTTTTCCCTTCAGATGAAAAAACTCAACCTCACAGCAACTGAAAGATTTCTCAGTCCTCATAATGGGGAGGGGTATCTCAGGCCCCTGCTGACTCATTTGTCCCCAACGTTACCTGCTTGGTGCATATCACATTACTCCCAGGATAGGACTGTGCCACACTCACTGTCAGAGCTGCATTCATATGGATGTTTGTCAACACTTCTGAATGATGTATTAAGAAATTGCTGGTTTTACCTACATATCACGTTGTCATTTAGTCTCATTCTTTTGATTTAAACATATTCCTTTCATCCTTTCTGTTGGTCTCAGACTCTTTGTTTCTGAAGTGTTTGGTCAGATGCTTTTACAAGCTTTATAAAAATGACCACTTATTCTCTTGTTTTTTGAATGACAAAGAAGGGGAATGGAAAGTGAAAACCAAACACAGGTTTGAATTTTTACATTTAGTTGCTGGCAATGATATAAAAATCAGTGTCACCAATGAGCATTCTGAGGCAACCCTGAATGTCATGTCGGGCAAGAAGAGCCAGCCCTCCATGTATGAGCAGCTCCGGGACATCGCCATCGACAACATCTGCAGGTGGGAGGCTGGGGAGAGGGAGGCCTGACCTGGGAAGGGGGAAACAGTGCTTTAACAGAGGTTTATTACAAAATAAGAGACCTTATAATTTTTAAAGCGTGTTTCTGATTATTCAAAATGTACTTGATCTAAAAAGAGGAATTACTGCATTTTTTAAAAGGTAAAGCTTTCTTCCTTTCTTTTCCTGACCATAAAAATAATTTTAAAATACTTATGAAAGAAAATTTGTAATATGTAGAAAGAAGAGAATGACCCATTAGCCCACCATCCAGAGTAACATGTTGTCATGTTTTTTTTCTTTTAATATGAATGAGAATTTTTTAAAAATATGACTGAGTATCCTTGCTCCTGAGACTTTTTATGGGAGAGGCAGCACTGGGGTTTGAACTGAGGGCCTCATGCTTGCTAGGCAGGTGCTCTTACTGCTTGAGCCATTCTGCCAGTTTGCTGCTGAGACTCTTGATATGTGGAATCTTTTTCTCCCAACTTAAGAACCAAAGAACCAAATACTTTTTTTTTTTTTTTTTTTGAGACAGCATCCCCAATCTTGAGATCCTTCTGCCTCAGCCTGTAAGTGCTGGGATTACAGGAGTGTATCATCATGCTCAAATAGAGAACCAAATACCTTCTGATTTCCATGAAAATGTGTTTCTTCCCTGAATTCTTGCTACTCATTCTCAAAAGCCAACTTTTGAGACAGTAACTTGGTCTGGTTCAGGAGCTAAACAAATGTGGAAAGTAAGATATAACTTGTAAGATTTTATGTTCTTAGGGGATTTAAAATTTTCCCTTTTTTGTATAGCATAAGAATTTCTCTTTTTTTTTTATTTATATTTTTGGTACTGGGGTTTGAAGTCAGTCCCTCACGCTTGCTAGGAAAGTGCTCTTATCACCTGAGCCATGCCTCTCAGCCCAGCATTTCTCCTTACTATTAGAACCTTGATAAGGGTTGGAGGTGTGTAGCTCAGTGGTAGAGTACTGTGCTTAGCATTTGCAAAGACCTGGGTTCAGTTACATGTGCCAAAAACAACAGCAGCAACAACTGGGAAAAAAAAATCCTTGATCTATGATTGTACGTTCCCTCAACTCTCTTGGAACCATCTGTCTTTTGAATCAATCATTATAATTTTAAGAAGAGTACAAGAAATTTAAATGGAATTAAGGTGAAGTTGATATTCTGAAGGGAACTCCCTTCAGAACAGGCAAAATAATGAAGTTATTATTTCCAGCTGGGATATTATCAAGTGGGTAAAATCTGCAGTAATTCTTTGATTTTGTTCTATGTAATGACTTTTCATTCAGATTTCTAGGGCCCATACTTCAGAGCAGTTCTTCAAATGTTGTAGACCTAAGAAATGGAAAAACAAAAAAGGAAAACCCCATCTCATTGTTTTGATACCTAATGTCATGTGGATTTCCTTGTTGTTCAGGTGCCTGAAGGCTGGCTTAACAGTGGACCCGGTGATTGTGGAGGCCTTCCTGGCCAGCCTCTCCAACCGGCTCTACATCTCCCAGGAGAGTGACAAGTATGTTCCCATCCTTTAGGGCAACCATTTGTTCTCAACAGGCTAAGGTGGGGCAGTGTGCATCTCTGTTCCTCTTTTTTTGTCACAGAGTATAGGCATGCATTGTCCTTGGTTTAAGGTCAGAATGTACTCCTAGATCACTAGGAGTTGAGAAAGATCTTTGTTCTCTAGTCCAGGGCCTATGGCTTTGTGTTTCTGCTGGTGGTTAAAGATCCCAGATGTCCTTCAGATGAATGCTTCATCAAGGCTGTGGGAAATCAAGGTCTAGATCGTAGCCTCTGCATTTTATTTTGCTACTACTTGCCGGAGGACTGTTCTTAAGGCACCTCTGTCCTTCCTTCCTGTAGAGATGCTCACTTGATTCCTGACCACACCATTCGAGCCTTGGGACACATTGCAGTGGCCCTAAGGGATACTCCAAAGGTCATGGAGCCAATTCTGCAGATCCTGCAGCAGAAATTCTGCCAGCCCCCCTCACCCCTTGATGTGCTCATCATCGACCAGCTGGGCTGCCTGGTTATCACTGGAAATGTAAGGAAATGTCTGGCATGTAGTGAGGCCAAAGCCATAAAATCCACTAACCCTTTTCGAGCTTTATTAACTCTTGGACTATAAAGAATGTAAAATTATACCATAAATTTACCTTGCAACTGAGCTAAATGCTCACAACTATTTAAACACTGAATAGTGACAATAGTGTAATGGTTTCATTAGTGCTGGGGAAAAAGGTTTAAGCTAATTTCTTTTCATGTAAATAACATCAAATAGGATTTAAATGAAAGCTACCTCCCTTTTAACTTTTAATTTGAGGTTTTCTTGAAGCTTTAGAAATGGATCCCGTTGATGATCTTTTATGGTCATCTCTGGCTGATGACAAGAGGGACCTTCATGTTCTAGGAGGGACTTCAGAAGTCAAGATTGGTGACAATGCTTCTTGCTTTTTTCCAGCAATACATTTATCAGGAAGTGTGGAATCTCTTCCAGCAGATCAGTGTGAAGGCCAGCTCGGTCGTGTATTCGGCCACCAAAGATTACAAGGACCATGGCTATAGGTAATTTTTCTGCACCTCATTATCATTTTGGATCCTGATGGTATTTTAACTCCTTTTGAAAATGTGAGTTTGGCAATTTGTTTTATTTATTTGGTGGTACTAGATTTTTAACTTAGGATGGTAATTTGTCTTTTAAATAAACCTTTCTTCTTACAAAAGCACTATATGCTACAAATCAGTGCACACACAGGTAGGAAGGGAAAACACACATTTGGCTGCCACCTGGAGCTGACCTGCTATGTGTCTCAGTGCATGTGGCCCCAGTCCCTCCCTCTTCCTTCTGAACATGTGCAAACTGTACACCCAGTTAGCCTGCTTCTTCATGGAACAACATGTCAGCTTTGCCATAAATGTTCTTCTGCATATCACCTTTAATAGCTGTGTAGTAACCTATTATATAACTGTGCAAAGATTTATCTAATGCCTTTAGCTTGGATGTGGTTTTTCTGACAGTACGTGCTACATTGCATAACCTAATAGCTATGTATCTATGAGTATCTTTTTTATTTATTTATTTGTGTGGTACAGGGGTTTGAACTCAGGGCCTCAGACTTGCTAGGCAGGCACTCTACCACATGAGCCACTCTGCCAGCCCTCTGTGAGTGTCTTTGATGCTTTCCTTAAGTTTGATTCAGAAAAGTAGGGTTTGAAGGGTTCAAATTTTATATCATTTTATATCCTTTATATTTTATATCATTTTATGTCATTTATATTTTATATCCTTTATATTTTATATCCTTTATATTTGTACAAAGTCTGGCCAGTTCTCCCTGGCAGACTGAAAGCTACTTTCTTGTCTGTTCCTTACCTTTATCTGGGAATGCCTTGAGGAAGGCATATGTCTGGAGGATCTCACAAGGTTTTGTTCAGATCAGTGAAAGAGGGAGAGACGGGAATGGAAGTCAGACAGGAGGTTAATAGAGAGAAGAGAGTCCCTTTGTTGGCGTTCTTGGTCACTGTGTTCTTCCCTTTCTGACTATTAAAACCATGCCATTCTCTCAGATTCTCTCCAAGTCAGTTTTGTGGTCAGGAGTGCTGCTGCATGGTCTTAGAAGGTGCTCAATCTCTCTGTGCCTCAGTTTCCTCACCTGCCAAAGAGCATCTGTCTCCACCCACAGGTTGAAAATAATTGGGAGAAGAAAACTGTGTCTATACTGAACATGTGCAGACTTTTTCCTTGTCATCATTCATACAATACAGCTAAAGAAGTACTTTCAGGGCGGGGCACGGTGGTATACTTCTGTAATTCTAGCACTCAGAAGGCTAAGGCTGGGAGATTTCAAGTTCAAGACTAGTCTGGGCTTCATGGTGAGTTCAAGGCCAGCCTGGGCTACATAGGGAGTATCTCAAGAAAAAAAAAAAAAAAGAAAGCTGGGCATAGTTGTGCACGTCTATAACCTCAGCACCTGAGAGGCTAAGGCAGGAGGTTCATGAGTTTGAGACCAGTCTGGGCTACATAATGAGAAAAAAAAGTATTTTCATAACATTTACATTATATCAGATATTACAGGAAACCTAGGTATACTTAAATTATGTAGAAGTAGATACATAGCTTATATGCAAATACAATGTCAGTTTATTTATTTACATTTTGTGGTGTTGTTTTTGAAACAGGATCTTGCTATGTAGCCTGGCCTTGAACTCTCCATCCTCCTGTCTCATCCCTCTGAGTGCTAGAATTACTAGTATGTACCATCATACTTGGCTACCACACTATTTTTTATAAGGATTTGAGCATACACAGATTTTGACATCTATGGGGGGGTCCTGGAACAAGTGCCCCATGGGTAGTGACGGACGATTGTACTTCATTATTTTCTCACTGCTACTGCTGTGAGCCCAGGCTTCTTGAACAACCTGAGGACTAGGTTGGGTACTTGGCCAGGCTTACCTCTCCTTCCTTCTTTACGTCGTGGTCTCTGCAATAGAACTGACACTCAGACAAAATAGTTCTTTCCCTATGTTGCCTCCTTGCTCTGAAACTCTGTTGGGCCTCTCTTCTGGTACCTCCTACTTCTTGTCCTTGCCCCTGCTGGCTTCCTTCTGACCTTCACATTCATCTTGCTTCTCTTTACCCATACTGTATGCAGTACCTCTTAGTCTTCATCCTATCAGTTCTTCAGCTTCTGGCTCAGATTGCCTCTTCTTCCTTAAAGCCTCTTCTCTTATTGCCATCAAAATGATTTGTCAGGCCATGAGTAGTGGCATATGCCTATAGTCCCAGTTACTCAGGAGGGGGAGGTATGAGGATCTCAGTCTGAGGCCTGCTTGGGCAAAAGCACAAGACTGCTATCTGAAAAATAAACTAAAAACAAAAGACTGGGGGTGTGACTAAAGTGGTGACCCTGAATTCAATCCCCAGCACCACCAAAAAAGAAAGAAAATAAAAAAAGATTTATCCTCTTCTCACCTAATTGGGCAGGGAGTGCTTTTGTCATAGCTGTTGTATGATTTCTGGGGACCAGACGGTATGCTCAGTGTTTCACATGGTGTTTAACTCCTCCCACCTATGAAGAGGGGATTATTAGTCCTTGTTTTACTTAGGAAGAAACTGAGGCTCAGAGACTTAAGCATCTCACTTAGGGTCATGCAATATGGAAGAGGCAGAATGTGACTGACTCCAGGGCTGCAGAAACCTGGTAAAGCATCTAACTGAGTGGACAACCTCAGCTTCATATGTGGGATTTTCAAGGGACCAGACATAATCCTAAAACAATCGGTCCCAGGACCCTTGAGCATTTTCTGAGTGTTCGATGTCCACTGATAGTAACATCAGCTTCGGGGTGGGCAGAAGCTGATCATTAGGTGAAAGTTTTATAGGTGGTAAGTTGTATGAATTAAGGCCATCTATAATTCAAGAAAAACAGGGTCCAAGCAGAAAGAACCTGAAAGTGAGTGCTTTCATGTTCCGCTATGAACTAGGCCCTTGACGTTCACAGGGAAGTGTCCCGGGCCCCCGTAGGCCCCTGGTGTTCAGAGTCCTAGAGCCTAATCCCTTGAAACTCCTCACTGCGCCTCAGAAGAGAGGGCTACAATAATTTCTGCAGCAGTTCACTTTCTTTTAGGGATCATTTGTCACAAAGACAGCATGTCTCTCACCTCCTGAGCGTTCTTTGGTTCACAGATGCTTGCTTCACCTGGAGTCATGCTTCTCCCCTGCATAGTAATCCCTCAGACACAGTTGAGAGCCTGGTGGTCATTATTATTTTGCTACTTCTTCCTCAGGCATTGCTCCCTGGCAGTGATTAATGCCCTGGCCAACATCGCAGCCAACATCCAGGAGGAGCACCTTGTGGACGAGCTGCTTATGAATCTGCTGGAGTTGTTTGTGCAGCTGGGGCTAGAAGGGAAGCGAGCCAGCGAGAGGGCAAGTGAGAAGGGGCCGGCATTAAAGGTAGGAAGGAGGCAACTGCGACTGCTTCCCCCACCATCAGCACTTCTGCCCTGCTGGCTAGGGCTGCTTTGAGGCACTGTCTTGGTGGAAATGTGGTACTTTTTTCATAAAGTGATTTATTTTTAAATGTATTCTTTTTGTGGCTCTGAGGATCAAATCCAGGACCTCACATATGCTAAGTATACATTCCACCAGTAAGCTACAACCCCAGATCCCTGTTAAGGTGATTTTAAGTATACCTGGAGTGAGAAAAAAAAAGTGGTGGGTTCTGTCTTAGGGGTGCTGGCAAGTGTAAGGGGAGAGGATGGCTTCCTCATCAGATTGTATCTGGGTCATGGTAGCCACCTCCCCCACCCCAGGTGACAATATGACAGCAGTCTAGCGTGGACTCCTTCCTTGACCCCCTCTCCCTTTTCTCGTCATGAAGTGGGGCATATGGGGGGATGTCATGTGGACTTTAAGGGCTTATCATTGGAACATAATAATAAGAGAAGGGCCAAATTTGAACTAATCTCAGGCTGTCCAAGAAAGGCAGATCCAGGGGGACAGACAAGATGTCACCTCTTCAGTGCCCAAATAGATTATTTGGGGGTGATTGAGACAGAAAGAGCCTCTTACCCTAATATCTCCCAGTTAACACCACCTGGGTACCAGACCCTCTACCAAATTTCTACTTTCATTCTCCTTTGTTTTTTCTTCTTCTTTCCCTTCCCCACTATGTTCACCCACTATATGCTGCATGCTATCCTAGGTCGAGGGTCATCCCACTGTTTCTATAAAGGATCAGATTGTAAGTATTTTAAATTTTTCAGGCCTAAAATCATCTTTATTACAACAATTCAATTCTGCCATGGTAGCTAAGAGTAGCTGTAGCAAACGTGCTAAGAAAACAGGTGATAGAGCTGGGATTTGACCCATGGGCTACAGTTTCCTGGCTCTTATTCTAGGTGAGGGGATTATGAAAGTAAACAAGACAGGTCACTATGTCTGTGAGGTTTTGTGGGAGACTAGAACAGGGCAGTGTGGCAAGGGGCACTTTAGACTGAGCTGGTCAGGAATGACTGTCTGAAGAAATAATGTCAAGTTGACAACTGCAAGAAGGCGTTTTCTGTGTAAAAGTATTGGCCAAGAGAAGGTAGCTGGTACAAAAAGGGATCCTAAGACCCTTGTCCCTAGTTCAGCCTTGCTCTCCCAGGCCCTCTGACAGTGGTCTGGTGATTAGCTTATCCAGTGTCCTAGGATGATGAAAAGCTGAAGCTTTGTCCGGTGCACAGGAAAGAACCTGTTCCTTGCATCCAGCTGGGCCTTAGGTATCAGGGTGAAGGGGGGTGTTGGCGATGCAAAGAGGTACTCAGCACTTGAGAAGACAGAAGTTGTAACATGTCAGGAGCTGCCTTTCCCCTGGAAATTGGGTCTCAGTGTCCTAAGAGCACCCACTGGGACCTTTGGCTGCTCCTGTCTGCCTCTGATATACCTTTTTCTTTTGGTGGTGCTGTGGGTTGAACTCCAGGCCTTGCGCTTGCTAGGAAAGGGCTCTTCCACTTGAGCCATGACCCTATCCCTTTTTACATTGGTTATGTATTTTTAGGATAGTGTCTCCCATTTTTGCTTGGACCATGATCCTCCTATTTTTACTTTCCACTTAGCTGAGATGATAGGTGCGTGCCATCACACTCAGCTATTGAGAAGGGGGCCTAACTAATTTTTTGCCCAAGCCAGCCTCAAATAATCCTCCTGATCTCTGCCTCCCAAGTAGCTGGAATTACAGGCTTGAAATACTATGCCTGGCTCAATACATCTTTCTTTACAGTCCCAAGACTTTTGGACTTAATGCCTGTTCATAGATTAAGGGGTTGTGCCATGGGAGACAATGTAGGGATTCCCTTTGCTGTCCACTGGGTTCAAAGCCATGTGTTCTGTTCTTTGCAGAGTAGTTGCTTCTTACCAACCAAGTTGTGAGTAAACAAGTTTTTATTGAGCAGCTGCTGTGCTTTTTCCACTGAGCTAGGACCTCCCAAAGCAAGCAGTGGGGGTAGGCGGATATCAGCTCATAACTACCCTGTCGAGGACAAGGATTGTAAATTATAAATTAAGACATGTAGATTGTTTCCCTTCATTGTGCAGCCCTGAGGCTTTCAGCTTCCCAAAGTGGCACGAGTAGGGCCACTGCTCATAGGCTGCAGCCCAGAGAAACAGGTTTAGAATTCTTCCCTGCCACTGAGTGGCTGTGTGGCCTTGGCAAGCTACTTAATCCTGTGAATCTTCTCATCAGAAGTTAATGCAAGCAAAGCACTCAGAACTGTCCCTGACCATTGTGAGCACTCAACACCTTTAGCTGCTTGTCACTATTATAAATACACAGCAAAAGTTAAGTGTGCTTAAGTGCATGCTTCCAGAACTTTGACCAGTCAGTATCTATTGTGGTTTATCTAGCTAGAGAACTTACATTTTATTTAGTTATTAAGTAACCCCCAAATTTCTCCTAACATGGAATGAACACATGTTTATTGTAGAAAAGATGCAGAAACTTATAAATAATAAAGAGCACCCATAACTCTTTTTTTTTTTTTGTGATACTGGAGTTTTTGAACTCAGGCCTTGTGCTTGCTGGGCAAGCATTCTACCACTTGAACCACATCCCCTAGTCCTATAGCATACTCTTAAATCCTGATTTTTTTTTTTTTTTAAACAGTGCTGGAGCTTGAACTTAGGGCCTCATGCTTGCTAGGCAGGTGCTCTGCCACTTTGAGGCACTCCACCAGCCCTTTTTTGTGTTGGTTATTTTTGAGATAGAGTCTCGAGAACTGTTTGCCCTGGCTGGCCTCAGAACCATAATCCTCCTGATCTCTGCCTCCTGAGAAGTTAGGATTATAGGCGGCATGAGCCATTGGCACCTGGCTAACTTTTTTTGTTTTCATTTAATATTTGCTGGGGGCACTTTTCCAAGGTTATTAGATATTTTCCAGAAAGTTGGCTTCTTAATAACTGTGTCATATTCATGCAGAAGCATCACTATGTATGTAATCATTTACATAATCAATGATTTATGCTTGACATTTATGTTGTTTCCATTTTATGCTACTAAAATTATGCTCAGGCCGAAGCTGTAGCTCAGTGATAGAGTGCTTGCCTAGCATATGGGCAGAGTTTAATCCTCAACACCACCTAGAGATAGATAGATAGATAGATAGATAGATAGATAGGTAGCCTGGATGGTGGGCTAGGGCTATAGTTCAGTGCTTAGCATATTCAAGGCACCGGCTTCAATTCCTCAGAACCGGCCAAAAATTTATGCTTGATGAGCATCTTTATCTCTCTCTTTTTTTTTTTTTTGGTGGTACTTGGATTTGAACTCAGGGCCTTCGATTGCCAGGTGGGTGTGCTGCTACCTGAGCCCTACCTCTTGCCCTTTGTGCTGTGGATATTTTTCAAATAGGTTCTCACATTTATGCCCTTGCTGGTCTGGACTGAAATCCTCCTATTTATACTTTCCTCATAGCTGGGACTTCAGACATGTGCCACTATCCCCAGCTTTTATTGGTTGAGATGGGTCTCTCAAACTTTTTGTCTGGGCTGACCTCAAAATACCATCTTCCTAATCTCCTCCTTCCAAGTAGGTAGGATTACAGCTGTCAACCACTGTACCCAGATCACTGTTTCTTTTAAGTTAGGGAATTTCAGGCTCACACCTGTAATCCTAGCAACTTGGGAGGCTGAGATCGGGAGGATTGAGATTTGAGGCTAGTGCAGGAAAATAGTTCATGGAACTCCATCTCTAAAATAACCAGCGCAAAATGGATTAGAGGTGTGCCTCAAGAGATAAAGTGCCTGCTTTGCAAGCACGAAGCCCTGAGTTCAACCCCAGACCCACCGAATAAATAAATAAGTTAGGGAATTTCAGGTATATATAACTCTGTCATGTCTTCTTTCTTTTTTTAATAAACATGTTTGTCAATAACATTAATTCTGTTCTAGGCTTCTAGCAGCGCGGGGAATTTGGGCGTGCTCATTCCTGTAATAGCTGTGGTGAGTATTCATTAATTGAATGGTTTAAAATTGCAGATGCTTAATCATGTTTTGAGTGATGCACAGCAAATTCCTTACAAAAGGGCAGTTTTGAGACTCCAGTGATTCTGTAGATATAGCTGTTCAGCTCTCTGTGACAGTATCATAGATCGGATTCTCTTTTTTGTGTCCTGCTCAGACCCTCTCAGCTGACCAACCGAGAACTTGCTCCAGGTACCCTCTTGTATAGCTCCCAGGTCCTACATCTCACTCCCTCATTCTGTGTCTCACCCTGTATTGGTGCCTCTGATTAATTCTGGGCCTACCCCTGCTTCCTTCCATTCTTGGCCCTTTCCTGTGAGATGAAACCTGAAGGCATCTTGTTGGCACCCAGGCCATTGGAACTGTACCCGTTGGTAGTTTCTGGAAGCCATGTGGGTACAATGGGCACAGGCCCTGTGCCATTGTGGGTATAATGGAACCACCATGGTAGAGAGCCAATTTCCATTTTGTGCCATTTCAACCTGTATCCACTGCTTCCCAAAAGTTCTTTGTGGAAATTGTTTTTCCCATTCAGCTGCAGTCATGGGCCTAGGGCCCCATGTTCTCATATTTGTGCCCATCTCTTAATCTCTACTTTCTTCTTAGCCCATCTTCTAGTCTGTCTTTGCCTCAGCATTCCAGTTTCTTCCCACCTCACCACCCTTAGTGTTCAAGTCTTGATAACTAACTTTGTGCACACCAGAGGGGCCCACCTGGCAGCAGAGCTGCATAGGTAACCTGGAGATGAAGAGGTTGAGCAGACAGGCAGGTGGAGAGTGGGGGCACAGAGACATATCTCTCCCCATCTTTTGTTTTTTTCTTCCCTGAGAGACAGGGTCTCACTCTAGGTTGGCCTGGAATTTGCAATCCTCCTGCCTCTCCTCCATAGTGCTGGGATTATAGGCCTGTGCCAGCATGCCTGGCTGCTCTCTCCCCATCCTAGTGAAGCAGTTTGTATGCTTACACCAGCCTGCATGTTCATCATCATTCTAACCCTTGGGACTTCTGACCTGGCTTACTATTATTAATCTTTAGTAGTAAACATCAAGTGGAATATTCTACTTCCAGGTCACTCTCCTTCCTGTATGTTGTCCTTTTCCCTCCAGTGCCTGCTGTCACTGTATGGCTGATTTAGTATGTGACTGATTGAAAATAGCAAATGGGGTCTGTATCAGGACGCTTATCGATCTGAGGGTGCTGGAGGAGCAAGGTGCTGGGCCTGCACTGCAGTGAATCATAGCTGCCCATGGCTGTGCACTTTCTCCTGGGAACCTTATCACCTTTGAGCCTGCCATCAGCTATACCTACTGCCCTTTGAGAATTTCAGAATTTCTGGGACTCTCTCTACTGTATGTTGATGTATGGAGTTCTTCATCAACACCCTCATTGGTTAATTTTTTTGCCCACACCCTATTCAGTTTTTTAAAACACAGGTTTTTGTACTTTATAATTAATGTCGACCAGTGTACAGTTGTCTTTTAAAAGTGACATTGTATGCTGGAGGTGTGGCTCAAGCAATAGAGTGCCTCCCTAGCAAGTGTGAGGCCTTGAGTTCAAACCCCAGTGCCACCAAAAAAAAAAAAGTAGTGTGATTAAAAAGTGAGGCGCATGAAGCCTGAGCACTCTCTTGACCTGTTGAAGGGAAGACAGGAAGAGGGACAGGCAACCTCTATGAAGGAACAGATTTTAGACAAATAGGGAAGATGCTTGGGGTGGCACTCAATCAGTGAGTACCGGGATCTTTTTTTTTTTTTTCAATACTGGGGTTTGAACTCAAGGCCTACACCTTGAGCCACTCCACCAGCCCTTTTCTTTATGATGGTTTTTTTTTTTTAATTCATTTATTCATATGTGCATACATTGTTTGGGCCATTTCTGCCCCCCCCGCCCCTAACTCACTTCCAGGCAGAACCTCTTCTGCTCTTATCTCCAATTTTGTTGAAGAGGAGACATAAGCAACAATAAGAAAGACAAAGCGTTTTTGCTAGTTGAGATAAGGATAGCTACACAGAGAGATTTCTAGCATTGCTTCCATGCACAAGTGTATTACAACCCGAATTGATTCATCTCTACCTCACCTCTTTAGAATTTCCCGGTCACCTTCCCATATTGACCTCTGTCACTTTAAGGTTACTGTATTAGTTCCTCTGCAGTGAGGACAGCAAACACTTTCAAGTTTTGGGTTTCCTACCTATCCCCCTACCTCCCATATGTGCTCTCCCCTTGTCATGTGACCCAAGTCCAACAACATTGCTGCATTTGCCCTAGATCTAAAGTCCGCATATGAGAGAGAACATGTGATTTTTGGTCTTCTGCATGATGGGTTTTCTCAAGATAGGGTCTCGTGAACTATTTGCCTGGGCTGGCATCAAATCTTGATCCTCCTTCATAGTTAGGATGACAGGCATGAGCCACCAGCACCTGGCCTACTGGGATCTTTGAACGTCAGAATTCTGTAACCTATATTCCTGTGAGCATTCAAGAGTGTTTAGCAGTGGTATTTCTTTTTTTTTTTTTTTGGTGTTACTGCCATTTAGGCTCAGGGCCTCACCCTTGCTAGGCAGGCACTGTACCACTTGAACCACTCCATCTGCCCTTGATGGTCATTTAGAGTTTAATAAATTCATACAAGAAATCTGCCAGGATACTTTGCACTTTGGGGGAGCAATGATGAGTGAAGTTGGTTGGCAGTACATGGGCTTTAGGGTCACAAGGGCAGGTTTGAACTTCTGGTCATGCTTTTGGGACTTTCTGTGAGTGTCTGAGCCTCTCTACACAGGGTCAGTATAGGCATGACCATTATCAGTGACAACTCAGAGCATACTCCCTCAAAGACCTGGAACCTTTTACATGAATAGAATAAGTATTGTATTTTCTTAACAAAAGTTAATGGTTATATTACAGGGGAGGAAGCAAATATTTGGTTTTATTGCTTAACAGAGTACAGGGATCATGGATTCTTGCATTTGCTTTGAGGTTACCCCTTGGACCTTCTGGGAGAAACTGATTTCCAAAGGTAGTAATGAGGTGGGTTTTTTTGTTTGTTTGTTTTGTTTTTGTTTTTGCTTTTGTGTTTGGTACTTCTTTTCTTTTTTAAGAGAAAAATAATCTCTATTTTGAACGTTTAATGATGCAGTGTCTTGATTAGTTTGTTGAGTGAAAGGACTTAGGACAGGAAGCCTGAGTTTTGGTCCTAAAGCAGCTGTTTACAGACTCCTTCCTGCTTAGATTTGGTGATCTTTGTCTTACAATTTGTGAACATATTTCTCCAGAATTATCATTGGTTAAGTTGCATTGTTATATAGCCCATTGTTAACAATTTGAAAGTTATCTAAAGCTTAGAGATGTCATCACTGCATTGTCATAAGGATGTGCTGCTTGCTCGGAAAATGATTCTGTACTCCACAGAGAGCAGGTTTATATCTGTGTCACTGATAGCTTTTTGTGGCCTTGGTTAGGTTACTTATTCTCTCAGTGCCTGTAGATGAGGTCTGCGGATTAACATTTTCTAGGTCACGGACCCTTTTGTAAACTTTGCACTTCTTTTCCATAGAAATGCAGCTATGCTCAAGGTTTTTGCATGCAACCTCAGGAAGTTAAATGGGTCAAACTCATCCAGGGCTCCTAAGTTAGGAGTTGGAAGAGAAACTTTCTAAGATAGGAAATCCTTACTCAGCTCTTGCTAACCTCTAAGAACTAGTCTAGACCCTTTCCAGACATTAATTCCCTTAACCTTCACAACTCTGCTCTTCTCTCTATTTTATAGATGAGGACACTGGGGCACAGAACTTGCTCAAAGTCTCACAGTTACTATATGTTAGAGTGAGGATTTGAACCCAGGCAGCCTGATGCAGAACCTGGGCTCTGAATTAATACTCTACTGCCTTAAGAAATGGTGGCCTATCTTGGGGATATACCCAAAAGACTGTGACACAGGTTACTCCAGAGGCACCTGCACACCCATGTTTATTGCGGCACTATTCACAATAGCCAAGTTATGGAAACAGCCAAGATGCCCCACCACTGATGAATGGATTAAGAAAATGTGGTATCTATACACAATGGAATTTTATGCAGCCATGAAGAAGAACGAAATGTTATCATTTGCTGGTAAATGGATGGAATTGGAGAACATCATTCTGAGTGAGGTTAGCCTGGCCCAAAAGACCAAAAATCATATGTTCTCCCTCATATGTGGACATTAGATCAAGGGCAAACACAACAATGGGATTGGACTTTGAGCACATGATAAAAGTGAGAGCACACAAGGGAGGGGCGAGGATAGGTAAGACACCTAAAAAATTAGCATTTGTTGCCCTTAACGCAGAGAAACTAAAGCAGATACCTTAAAAGCAACTGAGGCCAATAGGAAAAGGGGACCAGGAACTAGAGAAAAGGTTAGATCAAAAAGAATTAACCTAGAAGGTAACACCCACGCACGGGAAATCAATGTGAGTCAATGCCCTGTATAGCTATCCTTATCTCAACCAGCAAAAACCCTTGTTCCTTCCTATTATTGCTTATACTCTCTCTACAACAAAATTAGAGATAAGGGCAAAATGGTTTCTGCTGGGTATTGAGGGGGTGGGGGGCAGAGGGAGGGGCGGAGTGGGTGGTAAGGGAGGGGGTGGGGGCAGGGGGGAGAAATGAACCAAGCCTTGTATGCACATATGAATAATAAAAGAAAAAAAAAAAAAAGAAAAGGGAAAAGTGTCTTAACCCAAAAAAAAAAGAAATGGTGGCCTAATTTCTGTAAGAGAGGATCAGAGAGATTTCACAGATGTAAGTGAACAAAAAACATGGAGACTGGAGGACTCTGGCCTGTACAGGGGCATGGAGGAATCTAGAGAGGCTATAGCAAAGGTAGGAGGGGGTGATTGGAATTAAGATCATTGCCCTTCTGGGAAGGGGACAGACATGGCAAAGGGCTAAAGACCAGGGGTCTTTTTGTTTCTTTTGAGATGAGTGGGCAGTGCAGCAGGGTCAGGGGTCTCACTATGTTACCCAGACTGGCCTCATCCTCCTGAGTAACTGGGACTAGAGGCATGCACCACTATGTCCAGCTTTTTAAGATACAGTTTTTGAGATAACTGTATTTAGAAATGGAAGGAGCAAGATGAACCAGCAACAAGATGAAAAATATAAGACAAGCACCAGAAAGGAATAGTTGCAGCAAATTGGAGAAAGAATGAATCATCAGCAACATCAGGCTCCACTGAGAGTCTAAGAAGTTGTGATGGAGATTTGGCCTCAACCCTGTACTATCCTTTCACAGTAGGGTTAGGATTAGGTTAGTAATGGAGCAAGAGCTGGTGTAGGAAGTTATGAAGGGAGCAGGTGAGGATGGTTAGCAAGGAAAAACAGGCTCTGGGGCCCACCTGTGGGTTTGGATCAACACCTCTACAAATCACTTCCCTCTGTGAGCTTTTGTTGCTCCTCAGCTGTGAAAAAGAGCTGATAACAATGTGGTCCTTCTAGGATTGGTGTGAGTTCTGTGAGGTGATCCACAGGCACATCCGCACAGCACAGTGCCTGCATGTGTGCATTGCAACAAGTGCTCAGCACTCCCTTTCTGCTGCTCCCATTGCTGGTATTGGTCTCATCAGATCAGACATCTTCTATGACGAGACTCCCTGCAAGACCCTGGAGTCAAGTCAGCCTACCCTTGAACCCCAGCCTTACCCCTGTACTGTAGCTGTGCATCTTGGGCAGGTTTCAGTCCTTCCAGTTCTTGTTTTCATCACTTGCAAAGTGGGGTAGATAAAGCTTCTCCTGCCAGACTGTGAGGGTTAGAATGAGACAATCTGCTCATGCAGAGCTTGTGATTGCTGCTCTTATTATGGTTGATGGTCGCCTCACTGAAGGCACACCCTGACTCTTACATTCTGAGCAGTCCTTTTGGGTTTTGGGTGTCTTACCCAGGCAGTGAAGGACCCAGAAACATATTCTTTGGATGTGGTGTGCATTATCAAACTAGACCCCTAGTAGAGTGACTCAAGTGGTAGAGCACCTGCTTAGCAAGCTTGAGGCCCTAAGTTCAAACCAGAAAAATAAAATTTCAGACCCTCTAAAGGACCACACCTGAGGGATGAACGCTGAAGCATGCTTCCCACCTAAAGTCTGTGGTAGTCTCTGGACTTATGACACTTAGAGAACACTGCATCTCAAGAATTCTATATAGCCTCACCCAGGCCTCAGCCCCACACTTCATTCTGGTCCTGAGAATGTGCCCTGATTTAGTAAGTCACTGTATAGATCTTTGTCATTCCTGAAGATGTTGCTCTTTTGAATTTGACCTTTGTTTATTTGCGCTTCAAAAAATAAATACACAGCAATGTGGCTATATTTATTTATCTCTAGAGTGAAAGATGTGTACACAATGCTCTCTGGGTAGCAATGAGGCAAACCGTGAGAGGACAGATGACATTTACTTGGATGAGGAAGGTCAAGCCATGAGAGAATTAAGCCCCAGTCAGGGTCTTGGGCCTCAGGAATGTGCTAGTTGGGCATTCTTTTTGGGAGAGGTGAGAAATTAGTCATGTGACTCATTTCTGTATTCTGTGTGCAGATGAAGGACCTGGATGAGAAAGGCTTTGAGTAATAGAGGCAGATATGTAAGTATGGAGCTAGCAGGGAAGGAGATGCCCATGTATACTGTGTCAGTTTGCTGTGAGGAGGTAGGGGGATGTGAGGTGGTTGGGAGGTGAGGCAGGCTGCCAGTGGCCAAGATTCTCTAGAGAACAGCTGACATGCTAGTTAGTTATACTAAGTCCTATGGACTTACATGTTATTTAGCAGAATTGATCCCAACCAGCTTCTCAGTCTTTGGTGGTAAATTTCTTCTCTCATATGGACCTTGAATTCAGATTGGTAGCATAAATCACAGAAGTCATGAAGCCAAAACATTTCTGTCTTCGTTGTTAGAATGGAAGCAATTACAGAGTGCCCCCAAAACATGCTAGGTGCCCAGACTGCCACCATTAAAACCTAGCAGGGTTGGTCACTCTCCCCATAAAGAGCAGGCAGCTGGTGCGGTGTTCATAGACCAGGAACAGAAAGGGGCGGTCGACAGTGAAACGGACTTGAGTAGACAATGGCATGAATCCCACTGTGGTCACAGCTGCAGCTTGGGTACCCTCCTCATTCACTGTGATGGTGCCTTGGTGCTTGAACTGTTTCAGATAGGAAAGGAAAGACATCAGATTCTGTAGGTTGACACTCGGGAATAGAGCATTTAGCATTTGGTGGAGTCTAATCTCACTCAGAAAATAGGTCCAAAAAACACACATATGACAAAAATTGCACCTAGTCAAAATTACCATTGAAAATCTCTTTTTTTTTTTTCCTGTGGCACTGGGGTTTGAACTCAGGGCTTTATACTTGTGAGGCAGGTGCTGTACTGCTTGAGCCATGCCTCCAGCCTGAAAATATCTTTCATCACCTGTAAAGTGTGGTTAGAGTCTGTGTCTATCACAGTTACTTACCTTTAAACTGTAGAACAACATTCACTCTGTGGCATACCCATAGTCTGGGAGGCTTTGGGAACCAAGACAGCCACCCCAACCCCTTAGCTCCTCAAAGTGTCCACCAGAGAATGGGAACCTGGATCTGCCACAGCCCTTGGCCTGGTATTCTCTGTTTTGCTGAGTTTCTGTTGTTAGTTTGTGCAGTTAAATGAGTATGTTGTGCAGTTTCTCTGTGTGTTAAATGGTGGGCATAGCTGTTTCATAGATAGAAGCACATGTCTTCCCTCACTCCAGTGTCAGCAGGAGTGGAGCTGCACCCCAAGGCTGCTTCCTGTGACCATTCTGCCCACTACACATCTGGCAGTTCCTCTGGCTGGCACCAGCAGAACTGAGCCTGTTGTGTGCCACAGCCAGACCTGGAGAGCAGCCTTGGCAGCCCCCAACCTGGGAAGTCAAACTGGGTAGTGGTGGGCTGGAAGACAGGTGGAGGTGGGGGCCAGTCTGAGGTAGACTCGCAGGACCAGTGCACATGAAGGAGAAATTACCAAGTCGATGGTGATCCTCTGGTCTGAGATTCCTGACATGTTGCTGTTTTTGTCAAACAGTTCTGTGATCCCCATTGACTTCAGGGCCTCCACGAGATTGTAGTTCTTCTCCAGCTTGAATTTAGGCAGAAGCACCTCTCGAGTTCTAGTTGGAGAAGAGGGGGGGGTTCAGTTTTATCAAACCATAAATTATAAAATAATAATGTTTTCCTGGTAAATGTCCACAGCCTACCATGGATTGTATTTACCACAGAATTAACATAACACTTCTTAAAATTTATATCCTGGTACTATAATTTGAGAATTTTGGAAAGACTACCCCACTCTAATTCTAGTTAGAGTCAGTCTGTGGTATCTATGGTGTTACTCATCCACAGGTTCCATCAACCAGAGATTTGAAAGTATTATGGGGAAAAAATGCATCTGTACTGAATATGTACAGACTTTTGTTCTCGTCATTATTCCCTAAACATTACGGTACAACTAATTATATAGCATTTACACTGTATTAGGAATCAAAAGTAAGGTAGAGATGACTTAAAGTATATAGGAGGATGTCCATAGGGTATGTGCAAATATTCTGCCATTTTATATAAGTCCTATAACCAGTCCTCTGAGGATATTAAGGGATGTCTATACATAAAATTGAGATTTTTGGTTCTCTGGCTTCACACATTTTTTTTTTATGGTGCTGGGGTTTGCACTCAGGGCCTACACCTTGAGCCACTCCACTAGCCCTCTTTTTTTTTTTTTGTTATAGGGTCTTGTGCACTATTTGCCTGGGCTGGCTTTGAACCATGATCCTCCTGATCTCTGCCTCCTGAGTAGCTAGGATTACAGGTGTGAGCCACATATTTCTTACTTTGGTAATTAAGGAGTACTTTAAAAAAAAAGAATCCTTGCCATCTGCCAGTGGCTCACGCCTGTAATCCTAGCTACTTGGGAGGCCGAGATTAGAAGGATTGAGGTTTAAAACCAGCCTGGGCAAGTAGTTCATGAGACTGCATCTCCAAAATAATCAGAGCTAAATCAACTGGAGGCATGACTCAAGCTGCAGACTGCGAGCTTTGCAAGCATGAAGCCTGAGTTCAAAACCCAGTCCCCAGTCCTACCCCCTCAAAAAAAAAAAAAAAAGGATCCTTCACTGGGTATGTGGTGGGGCATGCCTGTAATGGCCAGTGCTCAGGAGGCTGAGGGAGGAGGATCAAGAGTCTAAGTCCATCCTGGCTATGTAGTGAGACCCTGTCTCAAAAATAAAAAAAATACAAGATAAAAAACAAGGACTGGGGGTATAGCTCAGTGGTAGAGTACTTGCCATTCATGTGCAAGGGCCTGGATTCTATTCCTGATTATCATAAGAAAAGAAAAAAGAATCCTTTATATAATACCAGACAGTGCTAAAAATTCTCATTTCTTACCTCCAATCATTCAGTCTCTAATGAGGTAAACAGAGACAGTTGTGCCTTTGGGGCCGGCTTTAGATCTTATGAGGGATAAAAGAGACATAAGATATAATCCTCCTTTTCAAGAAGTGTCACATATTTCAAGTGGTAAAAATGTAAAGATGGAATTTTAAGGGGCTGGACTGTAGCTCAGTGGTAGAGCTCTTGCCTAACATGCACCAGGTCTTGGGTTCCATCCCCAGCACCACACCAAAAAAAAAAAAGAAAGAAAGAAAGATGATATATTAATACTATTAGACGGATCTAAGTATTAGTGGAGGACATGGCCTAGAGGGATGCCTGAGGCTTTAGTGATAGAGGTCGGTCACTGTGAACAAAAGCTTGAAGAGACCTCTTCAGTGGGACTTGCTGGAGGGAACAGGAGGTCATGGGTCTGACTGGGGTTGAGAAGGAGAGAAAGAGCTGAGCAGGCCAGAGCAGGAAAGGGGGAATCTGGACCAGGCTGAGAAGCTGGGCCAGCTCCTGGCAGGAGTGGCACAGAGAGTTTCTGAGAAGAGAGAAATGGAAATGGTGAGCTGGGAATGGAACCAGCAGGCTGGGTTGGCCTCCTTGGGTTAGGGTGGAGGTCATGGGCAGGGAGGTTAGGAAGGTTAGAAGGAATCTTTTTAAGGAAAAATTCATAGGGTTTAATAACTGATAATGTTAAACCTGAGGAAATTACCTTCCTCTAAGCCCCTGCTTCTCAGGGCTTTTATTTATTTTTTTTTAATTTTATTTGTTTTGTTTTTCTTTGAATTTTTTGTGGGGGTGCAGGGAGACAGGGTCTAGCATCGTAACCCAGGCTTAACTGTAACTTGTGCGTCTACCTCCCAAGTATGTCACCATGCTCCACTTTGCTTCTCGGTTTTGTTACATTTGTCTATGTTCTTGTCCTATAAAAAGCTCTAAACCAGATTCAGTTCTCATTTGAAACTAACCAGTATCTGGTAAAACAGAAATGTGACTGACGCCTCCATTCTTTCTGCCATAGTCTAGTAATAATCTTAGAAAATATTTAAAATCAACAGTTTTTACTATAGAGAATGATGAATCATTCTCATGATTCCCAGTGAGTTAAGAAGACCTCAGAATTTCCTGGGTGGGGAAGGGGAGAGCTAATCTTTGTTGGACATCTCTTAGGTTCCAGACATTGGGGATGGGAGGGAGCACTCGACTCACTTATTCTATTTTTCTCACTTTGATCCTGGTAAGTACTGTAATTATCCCCTACTTTAGGAATGGTGGAGATGAGGCTCAGAGCCACAGAGCAAATATGTAACGGGGCTGATATTATTTCTAACCGTAAGCCACCTGCCCTTACCTTTGAAACTGCCCCGTGGAGAGCAGATGTGTCGCTCATAGTGCTCTCTGTCTCTTACTGAGCAAGAAATTAGAACTGGCTTAAATGAGAGCAGTCTATATGGCAGTTCTTAAGTAGTTATGCATACTTCCCACATTTTATTTTATTTTTTATTTTTATTTACTTTGGTGGTACTGAAATTTAAACTTAGGGCCTCACACTTACTAGGTAGACCTGAGCTATGCCTCCAGCCCTTTTTTGCTTTTAGTTATTTTTCAGATAGAGTCTCATGTTTTTGCCTAGGACTGGTCTCAGACTGTGATCCTCCTACCTATACCTGCTGTGTAGCTGAGACCACAAGCATGCACCACCATGCCTGCCTTATTGATTGAGATGGGGTCTTGCTAACTTTTTGTCTGGACTGTCCTGAAATTGCAATCTCCACCTCCCAAATTACTGGGATTACATGTGTGAACCACCTTGCCTGGTCCCATACTTTTCCCTTTTTAAAAGAATGACTAGGATCTCAGTATTCCTGGACACCTCCAGCCTCCGGGAACTCAAAAGGACATACACCTGGAAGTACCTGTTTGTCATGCTTTTTTGCCATCTCTCCACCACCTGTGGTGTCAGCTGTGCTTCAACAGTCTTCATTCCGGACAACTTGTGTGGGACCACAATTAGCATGCTGATGCCCCCTACGTACTCCAACTGGAGGATGTCACAGTCAAGCTCCTGGTCATTTGCTGCAAGGAAGTTCCCCTTGGTCTGCATCATGGGGACCTTGACCACCTCTCTCTCACTCAGCCGGAAGTTGTGATTGTGTGTCATTTCCACTGGGAATTTATTCACCCAGGTTCCTGTAAAGTCAAAAGGAGCAGGGCAGTTATTTAGAGTGTTACTTTAGAGCAGTGATCCTCACTCTTCAACATTATCTGAATCCCTTCAAGGGCTCTGCAGGGCCCATCCCTAGTCTCTGATTCTTATGTCTGGTTTGGGCTGAGAATTTGCATTTCTAATAAGAGAAGTTAGCGAGAGGTTGAATAGACTGGAATGGATTATGGGCTAGATTCTGACACTAGTTATTTGACCCTATCAAGACACCTAGCTTGCTTTTGCCTCTACTTCTTTATCTGTATAGTGAATAGCTTAGAGCTTCTTTTGGCTCTGTGTTGGTGGCTTTTGGCCCTTGCCTAATTCTGTAACAATTGCAGTGTTGCCCTCAGAATCTTCCCTGTAGATTTGGGTGCAGAGCTGTGTCTCTAGGGATTAGTCTGTGTCTACTTTAGCTCTGAGATGCTCATAATTAATAATGATTGTTGACTGGTTAACAATTGGCAACATGCCAGGCATCTATCTAAACACCTTCCCTGTATTATCTCATTTTCTGCTCCCATAAGTTATATGAGATGGATGTTTTTTATTTTTATCTCCATTTTATGGATGAGAAAACAGAAACACAATGAGCAGCAGTTCAGGGTTTTGAGCTGCTTGCTTTAGCAGCAAGGATGATATAAATAGGTGTTTTTAGAGGAGGTTTAAATACCAGACAGCTACTGCCTGCATCAGGAGTTGGTTGTAGCTCAGCTGCCTTCTTTGAGTAGTGTTTCTCAACTGTAGCACTGTTGACATTTGGACCAGATAACTGTCTGTGGTGTGGGGACCATCCTGTGCAATGCAGAACTTTTAACAGCATCCCAGCCTCTCTCCCACTAGATACCAGCAGTGCTTTTCTCTCCCCTCAAATGGTGATAACAAATGTCTCCAGACATCTGCCTCGAGCCCATTAGGAATCACTGCTCTTCCCAGCTCTGTTAGGAAAAGGCCTACCAGAAGCTTTAAAAAAGTGATTCTTACACTCAAAATTGAAATCAAATTAGTAACAGAGATTTGAAAGCTAAATATTAAAATTATACTTCTAGAATTTCCTTACCTGTGAGATCTATGATATTCCCTTCCAGTTCCCAGCATTGGATTAAGTGACTATTCCAATGTGATAGGGAAAGGCAATTTATATGTTTGCTACTTTTACACTTTCGTGTAACATAGGTTGCCTGTATTCAAGATATAAACCGGCTGGGTGCCAATGGCTTACGCCTGTAATCCCAGCTACTTGGGAGACAGAGGTCAGGATTGCGATTCAAAGACAGCTTGGGCAAATAGTTCTCGAAACCCTACATCAAAAATACCCAACACAAAAAAGGGCTGGAAGAGTGTCCCAAGTGGTAGGTTGCCTGCCTAGCAAGCTTGAGGCCCTGAATTCAAACCCCAGTCCTGCCAAAAACCCCCAAAAATATATAAACTGATCGTTCCTAGTCACTTCTCCAGTCCCATGCCAACAGAATCCTCTTCCCTTAAACCTCAGCCAGAGATAATGCAGAGGCCTCAAGTAACCTGGGGGCACCCATCAAACTGGTAATACCCATAACTTAAGTGCTGCCAAAATGTCTTCCACTGACCTGTTTTAAAGTTATCACTAAAGCATAGGTTAATTGCTTTTGAAAGTAAAATAAATGTCATTAGCAGTATGGTACATGCTTCATATCGTGTTATCCTTACGTTGTAATCTAGTTTCACTCACTTGGGTTCATTGAGCTCTTGCCATTTGCCACACACTGGACCTAGGGTTGCATTGATGTCTCTTTGGCTTTTCCCACACCCTTTCAGAGTAGCTGTTACTATCTCTGTGATAAAGATGAGGAAACTGAGTCCCAGAGATGTTGAATGACTTGCTGAAGTCACACAAATGAGAAATGGTGAAACCAGGACTTAGATTCCTATTTGCCCAGTTCCAAAACTTGTACTTATGGGCTGGGGATGTAACTCAGTGGTTGAGTGTTTGCCTAGCATGCATGAGGCCTTAGGTACCACTAACAAACAAATAAACAAACAAAAAACATGTACTTATAACCAGCAATGAAAGGATAGGTATATTTTCATCATATATGTATTGTGTGTGTGTATATATATATATCTGTGTGTCTGTCACAAGCCTGTAAGAGACTCAACTTTTGATTCCACTCACTTTGAGGCTGAGGTACCTAGCTCTGGGTTGAAGCTTGGGGATGAGATCTCAGCACTTTAAGCCTCCTCACCTCTTCTCAGTGACCCACCTGGCAGGATGCCTACCTTGTAGAGCTGCTGGAGGCCTAGGCCTGGGCACAGAGAGGGTATGTTAACAGGTCAAGAGGGCCTCTGGCCCCACGTCTGCCAAGCAGAAGTCAAGAAAAGGCCTCTGTCTTTTTCATTCCTAGGCTGCTGTACAATTGCTGGGGCTAACTACCAGGAAATATTGGCCTCCTAACAACTGTGTCTTCGCAGTAACTGGTAGTTGCTGGTGACAAAGGAAATAGTCATGTGCTGCTGTGATTAGTCGTGATGCTGAGCCATCCCTGTGTCTGCCCTTCAGCTTAGAGAAGGAAATAAACATTCTTCTGGTCAGGTTCCACTAAGAGGTTTGGGAATTTCACCTGCAATCAGAGCACTCTGAAGGCAGGAGAAATGTGAGTTCAGGGCCAACCTGAGCTACATAGTGAGATACTGTCTCAAAACTGGATTTTATAAATCCATGCCCCTTCATTACTAGGATTCCAGGGATCCTGTGTGTGTGTGTGTGTGTGTGTGTGTGTGTGTGTGTGTTGGGTTAGACAGTAGCTTCATTAAAAAGTGTCCAGTAACTGACCTGGAACAGTTGCTTGAGAAATACTGGTTTATTTCTCCACCCCCACCTGCCTGTTAGTACAAAAGTATCCTAAAACGGAATCATGGTGTTGGTGTCAGCTGAAACAGTTCCAGACACATTTATTCAGCCTTTTGTCCATATTCTTGCTTACTGATGATTGGGAACGGAAATGAGAAAACGCAAATCCATGCTGGCGAATGCTAAAAAGTTTTTTTGCATTATGTCTTCCAGTTTAATAAACTGCTAGAATAACGATGCTCCTTAAGCTCTGTGCATCGTTGTGGTATCTCTGTGACTGCTCGGCTTTGTCTGGAAAGTGGTAACTATGATGACCTCACATGCAATGAAGATCTAGTGAGTGTATAAAGTTTAGAGCTGTCACTGCATCATGATCATGTCCCTATACCCTAGTCAACCAGTGCTTTGTTTTCCTGAATAAATTGGAGCCAGAATACAGTTCTTGGCACTTACTAAGTCTGCACGTGTACTGAAAGAACATTGTGAGTTTGCTTCGAGAATCATAAAGCTACTTCTTACCTTTGAAGTAGATGCAGTTTAGAATCATCATCTGAGTACCAGGGTCTATATTCTCCAGAGCTTCTTTTATGAGGCCCTTGGTGAGCTTCAGAATGTGGTTGTTGGTTTTTGATATAAAGGCAGGGTCTGAGAAGTTAGCTGCCTGGGCCTCAGCAAAGTAAAACTCTCTCACCTTAGTTTTGAAGTCACCCAGAATGGGAAACTGCTTCTGGACATAAAGGTCATTGACTGACCTCAGCGTGTACCCAAAGTTTCTCCTGAAGAGGCGATGAGTTAGCTTTCGGAACAGGTTGTGAATGGTTGTGATTTCATACTTGCTGCTAGCATTCACAAAGTCTTTAAAATGCAAAACCGAGTGCACTTGTTCATGGGTCTCTCCCCTCAGGCCTAAGGAAATCATCCCCATCGCAGTAGAAATGCCAACAGGTGCAATGAAGATGTTATCAAAAGTGTTGGCCTGGTCCTTCAGTGCTCGGTAAAGGTTGAAGGCAAACTTAGCATTGAGGATGTTAAGACGCTGGATCCGGCTTTTGCCTTGGAAAAGCTGCAGAATGTTCCCAGCACTCAATTCTGAGTCTGTTGGAGAAACCGCATCGATGATGTAAATGTAATCGTCATCTTCGCTGAATAACTTCTCCAGGTCCAGATAGTCATCGTCCTCCTCCCCCTCTGTAATCCAGTCATTGGTGACTGTGTTTTCTTTGTGGAAGTCAGCAGGCAAAAGGGGCATGCTAAGGTTTTTATTATTTATCGGATCAGCAAGGCCTTTACTCCCACCACACACAAATGTTACGATGAGAGAAACAAGAAGAGGGTTGAATGGGTGCTTCATTTTGGCAGAGCTGAAGCTAGGAGGGAAAACAGATGACAAGATAAGAGGCTGCCTAAGTGGCCCCCACCCTTTTGCAGTGTTCAGACAGCAGATTGCTTTGGCCCAGAAAAAGGCCCTCCCTCACAGCATCAGTTTTTTTTTCTTTCTTTCTTTTTTTTTAAATATGAAACACTTCATGAATTTGCATGTCATCGTTTTGTAGGTGACCGCCTTCTCACTATATCCTCCTGTGACCTCTCTGTGGGCACAAATACCTGTCCACATTTCCCCTTTTCATAATGATGCCAGCCAGATTGGGTTAGGTCACGCCCTCAGTAGCCTTTTCATTTAATTACCTCTTTTTATAAGCCTTGTCTCCAACTCTGATCTTCTCTGTATCATTCCAATTTTTGTTTATGTGCTACCAAAACAAGCACATAGCACCAATTCTTTTTTCTTTTTTTTTTTTTTTGTGGTACTAGGGCTTGAACTCAGGTCCTTCTCCTTGAGCCACTCCACCAGCCCTACCAATTCTTAACTAGTTTAGGAGTCTAGACTTGAAGAGAATCTGATAAACATACACCTAATGTTTTGTGTGCTTTATAAATCTCCCATGGAATCCTTGCACTCCTACATGAGAATCCCTTCTTTAAAGGTTTGCAAAACTATAACTTTTTTAAAGATTCCTGGGAACTCAGGAGCCCCTGAGGGAAATTTCTTTTTCATTTATTCACCAAACATCTTTCTGTCTCCAGAAAGCACATCAAGCTTTCTGAAAACCTATATTCTAAAGATACTTGAAATCTGTGCAGTCATTTGAGGTTAATTTGTATAAGATTTAGAAGTTGTCTGTAATGCTATTACTCCCTCAGGACCTCCTGAAATGTGGTTAGTGGTCTGTGCCTCTCTTGGTAACCCTAGAGGCTATTAGGTTATATGATTTGCTGCAGATGTACTTTGCTGTCAGAAGAAACTAAACTTTTTCTACTTTATTGCTTTTGCTCTCACCAAGCAGAAGAGGTCTGTATAAAGCAATGTCAAAAGGCTCTCCCTAAAGGCCTGAGAGGCACTCCTTTTGTTTAAGTAAACAAGGTAAGTTGTTACCTTATCTAGCAAGGTTAGCTTGTCATTATCTACTCATTCCTTGTGTGTTCAAAGAGCATTTAACTTGGCTTGTCAAATCCATTTTGGCGGCTAAATGGTTTTATCTTGCTTTTTTTTTTTTTTTGTGGCAGTACTGCAGTTTTAACTCAAGGCCTCACTCTTGCTAGGCAGGTGCTCTACCACTTGAGCCACTCCACCAGACCTGTTTTGTGTTGGTTACTTTTCAGATAGGGTCTCATGAACTATTTGACCAGGTTATCCTCCAACTGCGATCCTCGTGATCACTACCTCTTGAGTAGCTAGGATTACAGGCATGAGCCACTGGCACCCAGCAGTCTTGCTCTTGTATACTTCCCAGTTACTAACTGCACTTATGGTAGATGCTTCCTCGTTTCACTGGATAGTGGCTGTAGGTGTGTATAATGCTGACCCAGGCAGCTTCGGATCACCCATAAAGGACTGTGTTTTGATTAGGTTTGTTTTGGCCTGTAACCATTTCTTGTTTCAGAATATTTGCTGCCAGTCTAGGCCAAGCAAGAGTTACTGGCTCCTGCTTAAACATGTAAATTTATTAGGCCTTTAGATTGCTAGGCACTAAAATGTTCAGATTCCTCACTTGAAATATTCTCTGTTGATGCTGATAATGGCAATGACTATGACTATTGATGGAGCCTCTGTTGGATGTCAGGCACTGCTGTATAAGGTACTTTGTGTGATGTAACTTCACCCTCCCACCATTTTACACATCAGAAGATTGAGCCTGTCATTGCTGTTACTAATAAGTGGCAGTGGTTTAGGCTGGTAAAGTGCTTGCCTGCCATGCACAAGGCCAGGGTTAAATCTGCAGCATCACAGTGGATGAATGGATGGATGGATGGATGGATGGATGGATGGATGGCTGTGTCTGAATTTGGACCAAGTTGACTGAAGTCCCCACCCCCAGCTTCTCCATGTCAAGTGCTCTGCCTAGAGTGCCAGGATATTCCCAAACTGCCAAGGCTTGGGGAGTAGCTGCTGCCAGTGTCTCCTCCACGTATAGTACAGTTAAAATAATCAACTCAAATATTGTTTTAGTCGCAACTGAGAGACTTTTGAATTGCACATTTGGGAGAGGAAAAGTCACATAGTTTCTGACTTTGAAAATGTATGTTGTCCTTTTTCGACCCTACTTCTTAGCTCCTGGCTGAAGCTGCAGTGGTATACATATAGTCTGCACATGTGAAGCAACTCGTAGAAAGGATTTCTAATGTGTGTGGCTGCAAGTAGATCTGGAGCCAGTTTCCAAATAGAATTGGACCTGAGTATCAATGAGAATACACTTTAAAAAGAAGAGAGGAGGGCTAGAGAGTTGGTTCAAGCAGTAGATCGCCTACCTAACAAGTGCAAAGCCCTGAGTTCAAACCCCAGTACTGCCAAAAAAACAATTTTTGTAAAAGAGGAGAGGAAAAAGCAACTTAATAGAAGTCTACTTGCATTTAAAAGTGTCCTCAGTTAAAAAAAAAAAAAGGTTAAAGGACAAAACAAAATCTAACTTGAATTAATAAGGGAGGTGAATCTTCCTACTGATGTGTTATTTAGTATAATACAAATTGGATAAGGCATTTAAAAACTATCACTAGGTTCTGTTAAATTCAGATTACTATCTTTGAAGAGAAGCAATACTTTTTAAGATAAATCATTCAAACATTTGTTTTTCTGGAAACTTCAAATAGCATTTTCTCATTAGTAGTGGGGAATGGGGTTGGCCTTTTTGGTCATATGTAGAGTAGACAGAGTGGGAGAGAAGTACCTGCTTGAAGTTTGGAAATTTATTTTGAAGTAACTTCAAACTTACAGAAGAGGTGAAATAATAGAGTAGCAAAGCCATCCCCAAATCCCCCTTTGCCAAGATTCGCCAGGTTTTTATATTTTGAAACATTTCTACTTCCTCATATGTATGTATATGTTCGTAAAAGCACACACATTTTTTCACCTGTTTGGAGTTAGATCTCTTATATCATGGCCCTCTAACCTTTAATAATAATACTTCAGAGGAAAATGCCTAAGAACGAGGATATTCTCATTTATACACAGGATAGTTGTCCAATTTGAATAATTTTGGGGGGAAAGTGGGACAGGTTCTTAACATGCAACTCAGGCTGGCCTCAAACTTATTACCCGCCTTCCTCATCCTCCTAACTGCTGGAATTACAGGCATGTGCCACTATACTCAACTTCCAATTAGAATAATTTAACTTAGACACAATACTTTCACTTCTTCCTTACTTCCTATTCCAAATTTGTCAACTGTCCCAATAATATAACTCATAGAATTTTATAATAGATTAAAAAATAAAAATATTTTCCTTTGCTTAGTATAGAAAGCTTCTGAATTTTCTTTGATAAAGCAACCAGTTGCCCATGTTAAACACCAAAAATAAAAATTTATCATCAGCAGAAATGTTAGAAACCAAACTTACCTCTGTACTTCTGAGAAGCCGAGTTACAGAGATGAAATCAGCCAGGGTCTTCAGCAGGGTTCGGTGTGAACTTTGGTGCTGGACTGTTGCTGTGTATTTTCCAAAGTAAATATGCCCCAATTCAAACACCACTCAACTTGCTTTGTCAGCACAAATCACCTTTGCTGTGTCTTTGATCACTGCTTAGAAACTGGCCACTCTCAGAGTCCAGTTCATTTGTCACTAAGGTTTTGATGTGACTACCACTGTGTTGATGTGCAGACACAACCTTGGTACAGGAGCTCTTGCTAAAGCCAGCACAAAACTGAGGCACTGCTCAGAGTTCTGGGCTGGGTTGTATTGGGGGTAGCTGCAGTGTTACCCTGAAAGTAGAGGCCACTTCTGCCCTCCTACAGTTTTCTCCCTCTGGGGTGATCACAGCATCTGATCTCACTCTGGCTTCCAGGGCAGACATAACTGGTTGGCTGCTAGGCAGGAATCTGTGTCCTCCCATGAGCTTATTCCTCAGTGAAAAGTGAAGGTGGAATAAGGTTTGTGGCTTATAGAATAAGGAGACCTGGCACAGAGTCAAGGGTCACTGTGTTCATTGCTAGAATCTTCAGTCCGGCTCTCCTGTCTGTTTTAGGACAGGAAGGGATATTACTGAGCTCTGCTTTCCAATTCCAAATCCATTTAGGCATTCACAGGAATCTGTGGGACTATAGGGTTTTTTTTTATTTGTGTTTTTGGTTTTATGATCTAAGAAGTTACCAGAATATTCTGGATAATCTAGGAGACCACAGAGTACTGCTCCCTGGTTTTGGTACCTGCAAGTGTGTTTGGGAGACTATCTAAAAGAAAAGCATGATTTTCAGGCAGAAGAATCTGCAGGTGTGCAGGGCCTTTCGGCAATCTCTGTGTATTGCTATTTCAGAGATGCTGGTGGCAAAAGACTATTGTGTTCAGCTCATAGAAAGTGGGGTTGAGGTGGGTTCAGTGTAGCAACCTAGCTTTAGTCAGAGCTGTTTCCCAGGGCCTTCCTCTGTCCTACCCAGTGTAAGTCTTCAGCTCAGGAAAACTCTTCCCCAAGTTCAGGTACCTCCTGGAAGCCAGTGGAGCCTTAGCACTCACCATTCATTCTTTCTGCTTGAAGCATCTTCCCTACCAAGTGGAATGTAGCTGCTGCTCTCCCAATCTTCAGGCAGCGGCACTGGCCACCTTGACCATCTACACAAAATCACACTCAGTGTTCCCTCCTCTAAAGTAAGGGTGATAATTAACCTTTCTGTGTTAGAGGACTGTGAAAATTAACTGAGATGATGATGTGGAAAGCCTAAAGACGTACCAGGCACACGTATGGTAAATGTTAGTACTCATTTCACAGAACCTATATATGCATGTCTTTACAAAGAAGGTCAGGTGGAAGACACAGCTTTGATTTTGTACTTGATGTACTTTCTTGCTGGAATTTCTTTTCAAAGTTTGTATTATTATTGTTGTTGTTTTGTTTTGTTTTGCAGTGCTGGAAATTGAACCCAGGGCCATGTATTTATGTGGCAAGTGCTCTGCACTGAGCTACACCCCTAGCCCTCTTTTGTTATTTTTTTAAAATCAGTAGCTAGTAATGTTTCCTATATATCTAGCTTCCTGATCATGTCACCCCCAATTGAAAAATACGAATTTCAGCCCTCCTGACACCTTGATATTTCCCTAGTTAGAGTTAACAAATTGTGCATGTTCTGGTCTTCACTATAAAACAGCACCATCTGTCACCTATACTCTATTGTTTTTGTTCCTGTTTAAGGCTTGCCTTGTGGTTAGATGTTTTTTTCCCTTGTTTTTTTGTGTTCTGCTTTAAACTCAGGGCCTTGTACTTACTAAGCAGGTGCTCTATCACTTGAGCCATGCCACACCCCCAATCTTTTCTCCTTTAGTTATTTTTCAGATAGAATCTCACATTTTTCGCCCAGGGCCAGGCTTGGACTACAGTCCTCTTACCTACACCTTCTACCAGCTGGGATTATAGATACATATCACAACACTCAGCCTGTTTGTTGAGATGGTATCTCACTAACTTTTTGCCTAGACTGTCCTCAAACCACTATCTCTGCCTCCCATGTAGCTAGGGTTATAGGTGTGCACCACTATGCCCAGCTTGTTCCCATTTTCTAATATGAAATTTAGAAAATTTATAGAGAACTTGGAAGAATTGAATAGTGACCATCCATATGCCAGTACAAAACAGTTAGTATTTTGCTGTATCTGCTTAACTACATATATGTGATGGGTGGTGTTTCCTGGGGTATTGGATAGTGAGAGGACATGGCAGTACTTCAGTCCTGGGCATTGGAGCATATGTCTTAAATGGAAGGGTCTCTACCTGGTGCTATGCCAGTGTCCCTGGGAAAAAACCCAGTCTACCTGTGTACCAGATACCTAGTCCAAGTTAGATATCTCTGTGGCTTGAAAAATGTTAGAAATGAATTTGGGATATTGGGGTATCATGAGAGAAATGACACAACTCAGAAGTGAATGGGCAAGGCAAAGTTTACTTCTGCAGAAGGGTGTGCCACAAAGAGTATGGTTAGCAAGCACACCAAATGGGAAGTCTACTCAGGTTTTTACCTCTCCCCTGGATTGGGCAGGTTTTGGGTTCACATCCTATATGGTTGACTAATTGGAAAGGGGACAGGTCAGGAGGGGGGCTTTGAAGTCAAAGAAGTTTAAAAGTTTTAGGTTATCAACTCGGAACCAGGGCATCTAGCGGAATTTTGTCTGAATGAGAATAACAACCCTTTGTTCTTAGTGGAAATTTTTATCAGGTTAAGCAGAGTCCATAAAGCAATTGTATAGGAAGCAAGTTAGTGAGGAGGTTTCTTACTGATTAAGTCCTTTGACAGAAAAGACCCAGCCTACGCTGATTCTTACAAAAAATGTCTCTTACAGCTTTTCTTTTAGTCAGGATTCACGCATTTCCTTTGGCTGTCAAGTCTCTTTAGACTTCTTTATCCACCCCCAAGTCTTCTCACTTGTCCTGACCTTGATTTCTTTTCCAGTCACAAGCAGTTTTTTTGCCATTACAACAAATACTACATTTTTGTGTCTTAAATTAGCTTATTGTTTTGATAGATTCCTAGAGGTAGAATTTTAGGTGAAATGTGTTTGGAAATATTTAAAATTTTGTATACATGTTACCAAATCCCTTTCTGGGAAGTGTTGTGCCAATGTACAGTTCTGTAAGCTGTGTGTGAAAGTGTTCCAGAGATGAGTGTTGTCATCCGACCTCATGCTTCACCCCTGGCCCACACTTGTCACTTGTGTTTGGGTAGCAAAGCTCCTCACTGCAAGTATATGAGAGTTGTCCAGTCCCTGTGCTAGAGCTAAGGGTCGTCTGGGGGTTCTTTGAGGACTGACCTGTCTAGCTGGCCTTTTTGCACAAATTTGACCATTTTACATGACTGATAAGCAATTCTGTGCTTCACACCAGGCAGGATGCTGTCTCAAGCAAGGATGCAGGGAATTCAGCTTCTCATACCTGCTCCCAAGCCACTCCGCTTTGTCCTGTTTTACATATTATGATTCTTTTTCAATATGTTTTGAAAAGTTATGCTGCTAAAAAAAGATTTGAAAACTACTTCTTATGCTCCACCCACAAGATTTCTCATGGTCTTCCTACCACTTCAGTCACATCCCTTCCTCTGAGTGCCATCCCCCATTTATTAAGGTCTCTATGCCCTCCCAGTCCCCAGCTTCTGACCTGATGCTCCTTATATCAGGCCAGGCTGCCATTTCTTCTCTGCCTGGCTAAGTTTTACTCTGAGACCTGTAACAACTTCTCCACTTCAAGGTTTGTCTGCTTGCCTTGAAGTTAGTGAGAATACCCTTTGAGGGCAGGAACAGGTTTTTTACTTCCTAGGCACAGTGCTCACATTAGGTACTCAGTAAATAAGTGAATGAATAAATGAATGAATTAACTGTTATGTATCAACCACTTCTCAGTATACCTTTTCTTACCCAAGTTAACCACTTGAGTCTCTGAGAATACTCACGGAGAATGAGACTGTGCTTGATTTTACACTTAGAGCTTCGTGAGCAAATAATCTCCTTTCTCTCTCTCACCTCAGCTCACCCGACGATTGCCACCCATCAAGGAAGCTAAGCCTCGGTTACAGAAGCTCTTCCGGGACTTCTGGCTCTACTCCGTACTTATGGGATTTGCTGTGGAGGGCTCAGGTAGGGGAATGATCTGTCTCCTGGGAGGGACAGGTTGTGGAGCGGAAACAAGGCTGAGGCCAGACTCAACCGAATTATGAATGCGAGCATGTTTGAAATGAGCCCAAGTGCAGTTATTTCTGTTTAGTTTTGTTTTGCTTTGCTTTTATCTGTACTGGGTTTGAACTCAAGGTCTAGCACTTGCTAGGCAGGTATTTTACCACTTGATCCACTCCGCCAGCCCTTTTTGCTTTCGTTAATTTTCACATAGGGTCTTGCTTTTATGCCCATGTTGGCCTGATCATGACCCTCCTATTTATGCTTCCTGTGTAGATGTCCAGCTTTTTATTGGTTGAGATGGTGGTTCCAAAGACATTTTGTCCAGGATGGCCTCAAACCACAGTCCTCCCGATCTCAGCCTCCAAAGTAGCTAGGCTTAACAGGTGTGAGCCAAATGCAGCTGCTTTTTCCCAAAAGTATTTGCAAATATTACATTGCCTAGATGAAATTTAGGCTGCTGAGAATGCAGTTCCTTAGGAAAAATCTGCTAGTTAGGTTGCAAACTCATTTGGGTGCCCCAGTTTTGAGATGATTTTCTTAAAGGTCCCAGAACAAATTCCAGAGTCAGCACCACTGCCACCCTTCTTCTCAGTCGAGGCACTTATCTTTATCTATCTATCTATCTGATTTCCCTTCCTCCTTCCCTCCCTCTCTCTTTCTGTCCCTCTTTCTGTTTGGGGATGGAACTCAAGGCCTCACCCATGCTAGTAAAGTACTCTACCACTAAGCTGCACCTAAGTCCCTATCTCACTTATATTCACTCCCTCACAGGACTCTGGCCAGAAGAGTGGTACGAGGGGGTTTGTGAAATAGCCACCAAGTCGCCCCTGCTCACCTTTCCCAGCAAAGAGCCGCTTCGGTCAGTCCTCCAGTACAACTCAGCCATGAAAAACGACACAGTCACCCCCGTAAGGACTCTCTTCTCTATTTTTTGCTAAACTTTCTGGAATGATTAGGGAAAACCCTTTCAGTGTCCTTATATACACATGTTGCTGGCCACTGGGTCTCCTTTCTCCTGGCAAGGTACCCTCATGAGCCCACAGTGTTTCTTTCCCTCCAGGCTGAACTGAGTGAGCTCCGAAGCACCATCATCAACCTGCTGGACCCTCCTCCTGAAGTGTCTGCCCTCATCAACAAGCTGGACTTTGCCATGTCTACCTATCTCTTGTCTGTGTACCGGTTAGAATACATGAGGTACATGAGCCTCCACCAACACATCCACATTGGAGTACAGTTTTGTGTGTCATTAATTGTCAAACTTTTTTTCAACTTCTTCCAGACCTGCAAGCTTTCTAAAAAAAAAAAAAAACCTAGCAGAACACCCTCAGTTTTTCTTTTGTGCCCCTGTTTCATGAGTACCAAATTGCCATGTCTGATAACACATCCCAGTGTCTAGACTCCATTATCATCTCCTCTCTCATAGGAAGTAGGCTTCTGAGCAGTCATACTGGCATTGCCAATTCAGTCCATTGACTGTTTGGGGGCCTAACCTGCTCACTGAAGTAGTTTCCAGGAGCACCACTAAGTATAGCTGGCTAATGCAGGAGTCCACCTGCAACATGGTCCTACACATAGCCTGATGCTCAGGTTGGGTCTGTAGCCACAGCAGTCCTAACCACTATGACTGCTGTGATCTACAGTTGCCATCAGCATAACAGTAGGTAATGTGGGTTGAGAGAGTGCTTCTGCTGTGCTGTGTGCTGAGCTAAGTTACATATACTGACACTCCAGGAAGCCCACGAGGCTGGTACTATCATATATCCATTTTGCAGATGAAAAACTGAGACAATGAGAAGTTAAGTAAATGGCCCAAGATAGGAATCCCTGAAGTGGATTGAAACCTAAACAGTCTCTCAAACACTATGCCATGCTGTGTCTTATAAGTGAAGGCCAGAAGCAGCAGCCAAATAACTGGAGGGAAAAAACAGCTGACCTCACCACCATCCCCTGTAGCATGTTACTACAGCTCTTTTTAGTCTTGCCAGGAAACTGGGGATATAGCTCATTGATAGAGCATTTGCCTAGCATATGCGAGACCCTGGGTTCAATCTCCAGTGCCACACCAAGAAAAAATGAAAAGGAAAACAAGCCAAACTAAAGCAGAGCAAAAACGTAGTTTTAGTGTTAGCATGCATGATTAGAAGGATGTCTTCATCCTTCTGTGTTGAAAGCAGGTCTGTCTCCTGCTCACCAAAAGGGTCCCCTGACTATCCTCAGGTTCTCAGCCCTGTGCTGCATGCAAGCCTGAGTGAGCATGAAGAAGCAGCCAGGCACAGTGACTCAAGCCTATAATCCTAGTGACTTAGTAGGCAAAGATCTGGAGGATCACTGTTCAAGGCTAGCCTAGGCAAAAAGTTCACAAGACCCCATCTTGACCAATAGCTGGGCACACTGGTGCCTGTCATCCCCAGCTACACCAGAAAGGAGTATTGCAGTCCACGCCAACCTAGGCATAAATGTGAGACCCTATCTCAAAAATAACCAATACAACAAGGGTTCAAGTGGTATAGCACCTGCCTAGTAAATGTAAGACTCTAAGTTCAAACCCCATATCATAAAAACATAGTAACTTGGCTTAGATTGCCAGCTACTAGTTATTGGAAGAACTAAAACCACAAAGTGGAAAATGAGAAAAGTCAAGTAAAAGCCATGTTCATCTAAGCCCCCACAAATGCATGTGCTTAAAGCCACCTGGCCTATGGGGCTTACCTGTTGACAGGCTGGTGTGGAGGTAGATAGACAAACACTGTAAAGCACTGCTCTCTTCCTGAACCCCTCAGGACACTGAATGGCCCTTCAAAGCAGCCATGGTTCCTTTTTCTTCCTTTTCCCTGAAAATTAAAGGTATTTTTTTCTATTAAAGTAAAAATGTCTGTGGTGCATGGAATAAAAATAGAGAATAAAATCCTGGGAATCGGACAGAAAATGCTAAAGGTGAAGACATACTGGTCTCATTTTCCTAGCCCAGAGCCCCTCATTCCTACCAGAGATACCATTATTCATGGTTTTCCTGCAGAAATTTTTCGTTCAGAAGTTTCCTGCATAAGCAAATGCATATTTGATATCATATACATACATATGCACAGACAGGCCTTTAAGAAGAAACCTGTCAGGGGATTCTGCTGTACCTATTTCCCCTCCACCTTGCTCTTCTCACTTAATAACATGTCCCCAATGTTTTTCCCTTTCCTTTTCACATCTGTGTATGTTGCTTTGGCTTATTCCACCAGTCTCCTATTGGTGGGCAATTCACATTGTTTCTGTTTTGGATAATGCAATCAGCACTATGTTGGGAATCCTTCTGCACTTAACCCTTAAGCTGTGTCACTGGTGGTTGGATTGCTTGGTTGAAAAATAAGGAAATGTTGTGATAGATGGTGCAAATCACCCCCCCAGGAAGTCCAAGAGAATGTATGCCCTATAAATGGCAGAGGGTGGTTGTCCCTCGTTGCCACACCAATTCTGAGCAGTGTCAGATATCTGATAGGTAGGACCTGGGTTTTTCAAACTTTCTTTAAAGCTGTTCTCTTTGTCAGGGTACTGCGTTCTACAGATCCTGATCGCTTCCAGGTAATGTTCTGCTACTTTGAGGATAAAGCTATTCAGAAAGACAAATCTGGTAAGCTTATTATTATGGTATTCTCATGATGAATTGAGCTTTAGTAGGATAATAAGGAATACTCCTTCCTATTTTCTGTCCACATGGAGAATATAGTTTTATGAAGTAACATACTGCATTGGAAAGATCAGTATAAAATATATAACCTTAAAAAAATACATCTTCCTAGTTCTTCTGCTATAAGGAGTCCCAAAACAGAAGGAGTCCTCCATCTCTGCACCCAGATTTTGGTTCCTAAATCATTCTCTGCTAAAAGGAGCCAGGGCTCCTCAGATGGCCTTCAAAAATGGACCTGGAGCATCTTGCTGTTGCTAGAGAGCAGTCCTGCTTTTTAAATATCAGGAGCAGGCTGAGAGAACCAATGAAACAACTTAAAGCAACTCCCAGTAGACATAACTTACATTCATAACTTGAATGTAAATTTTTTTTTAATTTTACTTAATTGAAATAAGTTGAGATTATGAAAAGTATGAACTCATAATGATACTCTAAAGAACAAAATTTAATATCAAATGTAGAAGAAATGGTTATAAGTACAAGAGAAGGATGAATACCCTATATATAGTTTTATATATGTGTGTGTATGTGTATATATATATACATATATATATAGTCATCCCTTATAAAAATATATACTTAAAATCATTTCTAGATTACTTATGATATCTAATACAATGTAGATTGCTTTGTAACTAGTTGGTATACCATACACCATATTACTTAGGGAATAATGACAAGGAGAAAAGGCCTGTTTATGTTTAGTTCAGATGCAGTATTTTTCCCTCTTTTACTTTTGGTCTGCAATTGATTGATTCCTCAAATATAGAACCCATAAAAATAGAGGAACAACTGTATATGTAATTCCTATTTCTTGACAACTTTATTTATTTTTGGCAGCACTGGGGTTTGAACTCAGGCCTTCACCCTTGCTAGGCAGGCACTGTGCCACTTGAGCCATTCCCCCAGCCTAATATCTGTTTCTTCCAATAAGCTTTTGTGAAATAGAGACATGTGGTTGTTTCTCTGCATATGTAGGCAAGAGGAAACACCAGGAAAAGGTCAAGCACCAGTAATATGGGGACTGATCACACCTAGTCTCAGAGAGTAACCAGGCATAGACATGGCATCTAGTGGGTAATGGACAGAGTTCCACAAATCAGCTGGTTAAGCGTATTCCATGAGAGCCTGGCATAGTGGGCCAAGACTGTAATCCCAGAACTTGGGAGGCGGGAGGATCTTAAGTTTGAGGCCAGCCTGGACTACATAGTGAGACCCTCTCTCAAAAAACCAGGGCTGGAGATAATAGCTTAGTGGTAGAACCCTTGCATAGCATGGTCAAGTTCATGGGTTCTATTCCCAACATTGAAAAAAAAAAAGTTGTTCCATGAGGGAGTCCTCCAGAGAGGGCTGGCTGCAGGCACAGCTACCATGAGGAGAGTCTTTCTCCACAGTTGGAGTTGTGATCAGGCCAGCCTCTGTGGGCCATGTCCAAGCCAGGGCCTGTATTGTTTCTAGGAACATTTCTGAATATGAAAATCTGAACACACTTCTTAAAATGCAGCATATTCTCAATCTCTGAGTGCAATAAGGACTCAGCTGTCACAAGTTCCAGGCAAGAGGGCTCCTAGGAAGACAGAAAAACAGTGGAAACTCTAAGAAAGCATAAAAATGTTACAATTACCAAAATCCCTAATAAATCAAACCCAAGAAAGGACTAGAAATAAAAAGAAGAGATGGAAAACTTGAATGGGGCACAAAGGAACTCTCTGGACCAATGGAAATGTTCTGTATTTTGGTTTTTTTCATGAGTATATACAGTTAAAGAGTTTGGCAAAAGTTTATTTAGCCAAGAAGAAGGAGGTGGGGGAGAAGAGGAGACATTTAAAAAACGGAAAAAAAGTTAAATGCATAACTACTTTTTGACTGGTTTTAGTGTGAGAGCACTGATAAGTCTGATTAATAAAATATAACAAGCAGTGAGCAGGCCTTTCTATGCTGGAAGCCACTGGCACACTGATGAATCTGTCAACTCTTTGTCAGTGGAGAGATCATCCCCACATACTTCTGGTATTTTTTTTATCTTTTGTTGAAACAATGTTTTCCAGGCGTTGATGGCGCATGCCTGTAATCCTAGCTACTCAGGAGGTAGAGATCAGGAGGCTCATGGTTCAAAGCCAGCCCCAGCAAATAGTTCACAAGACCCTATCTTGAAAAACCTTGTCACAAAAAAAGGACTGGTGGAGTGGCTCAAGTGGTAGAGCACCTGCCTAGCAAGCAAGACCCTGAGTTCAAACCCCAGTACCACCAAAAAAAAAAAAAGGAAAGAAAGAAAAATCAATGCTTAAAGAAATCAAGTGTGGGAGTGGATAGGGAGGGGGTGGTGGTACAAACAATGTACACATGTGAGTAAATGTAAAAAGGATTAAAAAAAAAAAAACAAGCATTTTTAAAATCATCCCAAGGCCTCTGCAATGTTGCTTTGTGTAAGACTTTTCATCCAGTAAGTCCTTTGTAGAGCACATCACACTACTGCACAGCAGTGAGGAAATTAGATCTGACTGATTTACTTTTGTAGTTGGGAACCAGTGGGGTTGGCAGTCTTCTGTTGGCAGTGGGGAAAGAACTGGAATAAGCAAAAAGCCCATTCAAGGCCAGAGGTGAGAGGTGTAGACATACAGTTTCTATGAAGGAAAACTCTTCCAGGAGGGGTGTAGGATACAGGAGAAGAGATGGCATGCTCAGAGGATTTCAAAAACATGCCCCACAACCACTTGCAGGGGGTTATAAACCCATCAGCCACTGGCTGATTGAGTCACCTCATCCATACACCCATCATTCATTTGTGCAGGAACTGTTTATACTCTTTTTGTGCTAGACAGATGGCTCACTCTGAGAGCCATCTCAGAGTGAATAAGTAACAACAATAAGTAACAACAATAAGTAACAGGAGAGTGAATAAGTAACAACAATAAAGAAAAAACTGCCAACCTCTAAGAGACTTAAGAACCTGGCACATTTGGCTAGCCTTCTAAAGAAATGGAACAAGATCCTTTCTGAAGCTGGATGTTTAGCTTACCCTTTTCTCTCTGAGCTTTGTTTTTTTGTTGCTGTGCCATCAGAGAAAATCAAGTGGCCCTGGGACTGGGGATGATTTGCTCTTCATAGACACACTTCATTTTCAAGGACTCTGTCCTCTTACAGGAGTTCAAACTCATTATTTTTATTATGAGCATGACACTTAGACTAAGCCAAAAAGGGTGTACCTATTGAGTTTCCTTCCCTCTTTTCTCTCCTAAAAGAGATGGAAGGAAATATCTTCAGAGACATGTATTATTCATGAATTTTCAGAACCAGGAAAGAGTATATGAAGTACCTAGCAGTCCACCTGGAGATGAGGGCTTCTACCTCCTCCATGCAGATGTAAGCCAAGCCTTAACTCCATGTGTTCCTGACTGTGCAGGTACCAGAAGCCTGCTGCTTGTCTGCCTGCTGCCTACTATACTAGTAACACAAACCTAACCAGTAAGGAAGGTAGCTTTTTTTTTTTCAAATAAAAATTTCCTTAGATGCTACCTCATGTTATTGGTAGGCATCTGGCCACTAACTGATCATTTATTTAGAAACTTAGCTCATATATAGAAGAACTGGATATATGAAAAACACTACACTGAACACATACCCCCAAATAACATTTCACCTACCCAAGCCAACCTCTTCAGAAAGCAGCCTCTATCTACCCTTGGGCATCTGTCTACTATTCACTTTGATAACTGTGTTGGGACCCTATGAATAGCCTCTGTGTGTTAGGCTCCATGCTGGGCCCCAGGATACAAAGCTGCCTAGTCTCTGCCTTTTGTTGAGCCATCCTAAAGGCACTGGATAGGGGGAATTTTAAGGAACAGGAATTGACATTTTCTTACAGTTCTGTCGTTCATATTGTGACTCTCCCTGTACAGTAAGCACACCCCTTGCTCAGATCTTGGTTCTAATTCCCATTCTTCAATAACAGAATAAGAACTCCATGGAGAAATGGTTGATTGAAGGAAGGGCTGGACCAAGGAAAATGGAAGAAGAGCTTGAAGCACCTTTGTAGAGCCCCTTATCTGACATGCTTGGTACCAGAAGTGTTTCAGAGTTCAGATCTTTTTATATTTTGAAATATTTCCTTAGATTGTATTAGTTGAACATCCCTAATCCAAAAATCTGAAATCTGAAACTTTTGTTATTGTTTTTTTGAAGCAGGATCTCACTATGTATGTAGCCCAGACTGGCCTCAAACTCACAATCCTCCTGCCCAGCCTCCCTAGTGCTAGGATTATGGGACTGTACCACAATACCTGGCTCTGAAATCTGAAACAGTGTTAACATCATGTTGGCCCTCAAAAAGTTTCAGATTTTGGAGCATTTCAGATTTTGGGGCATTTCAGGTTTCAGATTTTCAGATTAGGGATGCTCAACCTGTACCAGGAAGTAACAATGTTCTAAAAAGAAGAAATGGAAAGAAAAATCATGAAGAATGTGTCAGAAGTCAACCTGAAAGCTCCCAGTGGCCACAGCTGGTACAGTTTGAACCACAGAACAACAGTGGTATTGAATTATAACTCAGTAATAAAATGTCTGTGAGTCTACTACTGATTAGATTATTGAATAAATAAAAAGTGGAGAAGGGACAATTACTAAAAGTAGTAATGAGGAAATTAGACAATTCCCACGGCAGCCACAATACTGTGCATTCTGACTGCAGAATCTACTGAAGGATGCTGAATTTAGTGAACAAAATTTTAAAGAGAAATGAGGTATCTTCATAATCTTAAAGTATCTTTTCCTAGATATTTACCAGTTGCTATGGTGGTCTTAACTCATCCATAAATCCTCTTGAGGAGGTGGTACTTAATTCTTTGGCTCAGAGTGTGAGTTTTGTGAGTCAGTTCTAAAGAAAGAGTTTGGAAAGGAAAAACAGTTACTTAAACACTGGTATTTTGTGCAAAATGCCCGTGTCCTTCAAAAGTGTCAAGACCACGAGTTCAAGGACAGACAGACAAATTAACACAGATTTAGAAGAGACCAGGGAACATGATGAGCAGATGCCACGTGGTTCAGGATTGGATCCCAGAATAGAAAAGGGACATGGAAAATAAGCAAGAAAGAAAAGGTTACACATGTGGGAAAACTGAGGAAGTCCAGATAAAGATTGAAGTTTAGGTAAGGGTGTTTTATCAGTCTCCATCTCGTAGTTTTGATAAGTATGGCCTGGTTATAGTAGATGTTAGTATCCTGGGAAGCTTGTGAAGGGTGTATGAAAATTCTGTGCTTTCTCTTCAATCCTCTGTAAGTCTAAAATCATTTCAAAAGAAAATGTTTGGAAACAGTGGGATTGTGCCTTTCTGTTGCACACCTGATCTGTGGAAACTGCCTTCTCGTTTCAGGGATGATGCAGTGTGTGATTGCTGTGGCTGACAAAGTATTTGATGCCTTCCTGAACATGATGGCAGATAAAGTAAGCCTTGTCAGAGCACAAGCATGTTCCTGCTGGAGGTACACAGGGGCACCTTCATATTCTCTTCTGACTCTAGGCTAAGACCAAGGAGAACGAAGAGGAGCTAGAGCGGCATGCCCAGTTTCTGCTAGTGAACTTCAACCACATTCATAAGAGGATAAGGAGGGTGGCTGACAAGTACCTGTCTGGTCTAGTGGATAAGTAAGTTACATCTTCCACTAATACTTTGTGTGTATGAATATATCTGTTTGCAATTTGGAATGCAAGGGAAAAATCATCCTTACATCATAAGTCTGAAAAAATATCAGGTGAAAACTCAAGGGCAATGCAGCCTCCCCCAGAATGTCAGTGAGTTTGCTGTAGTCTGAATTTTAGTCTGGAACATCTTCATTCTGAGTATCGATGTTACTTACAGTACTTTGACAAGACAGGCTCTTTACTATCTCCCAGCCCAGGGCCTAGCCAGAGGTCCTTAAGTCAAATCAGTATCCTTCAGGTTTCTCAGTAATAAAAGCCCTCAGTAACCCTTCCCCTCTGCTTGTGCTGGGAGCCAAAGCAGATCCTCACGGGACACATCCCCACGCTAATGGGACACTAAGAGGTGAATTGGGCCAGATTTTGTGAGTTGTAAAGGCCAGAAGTGGCAAATACCCACACTGAGCCTGCCTACAGCTCCGCAAAGGTATCTAGAGGTTCTCCAGCCTGCCACAGATGCTGCATGCGTGGTCCAGGCAGCCACACAATCTGAGGATGGGTCAAGAGCTAGTCTAATACTAACTACTCAGGAAGCAGAGATCAAAAAAATCACAGTTTGGAGCCGGCCCCAGGCAAATAGTTTGTGAGATCCTATCTCAAAAAATTCATCACAAAAAAAAGTAAATAAAAAATAAACATGTCTGGTGGAGTGGCTCAAGTGGTAGAGCACCTGCCTAGAAAGCATGAGGGCCTGAGTTCAAACTCTGGTGCCAACAAAAAAAAAAACCCAGTCTAGCACATGTGTGGCATGTGTCTGACCAGGCCTCTTGTGCAGTGGGCCATGGATGACTTACAGTTTGCACAAAGGTGCTGGGCTACCAGAGCCCATGACCTATTGGTTTCAGGAGCAGACACCAGGGTTATGCAGATACTGTTGTTTCCTATTTGTGCCATAATGTGAGAAATACTGGGGAGCTCCTGTTGAAATCTAGGAGACTTGCTTTGGGGATGTAGAGTGTGCGATCTGTCCAGTGCAGGGTTGAGCAGACCATCTGTGTCGTATCTGGTCCTGAGGAGTGGGACTGGTTCGACCTGAGAGGATTGCTAACCAAGCACTGCCTACCTCGTTGTGAAGAGCTTGAGGACTTGTACTGGTGTAGGTAAGGCCTCCAAGGTAGCACAGGTTCCTGTGAGGCTCCACTCTTGGGTTCTGAGAGCCTGCTTCTGGTACAGGTTTCCTCACTTGCTCTGGAGTGGGACTGTGCTGAAAACCATGCTGGACATCCTGCAGACCCTGTCACTGTCGCTGAGTGCCGTGAGTGTCCTTCAGTGACTTGGAGTTGGCTCACACACCTGCCATTCACTCTTGTTCTGTATTACACTCTTCCGGTGATGCTCCTGAGCCTAATTTATGCCACCAGTAGTGAATTGGGGTGGGTTAATGTGCACAAGTCCCACCCTGGTGTCTCCCAGAACGCTTCATGAAGTTTAGAAGCCCATAGATGGCACGTGGTGGGAAGGGGTGGCAAATGTGCTGCTGCCTATGTCAGAGGCATGGCACCTTAGGAAGATAGATTAGAAGAGGGAGTCTCTCTGTGCTTGCAGGATATTCACAAGGACCAGCCTTACTATGACATCCCTGATGCTCCCTATCGGATCACGGTTCCTGACACCTGTGAAGCTCGGGAGGTAGGCCTCACTCACCTGGCCCCTAATTCCCTGAGTATATCAGGCACATGCTTGATATACATTAAGTTCCAATTAGAAGTGTAAATGACCTTGGTCCCACCCCAGTGTGAGGACACTGAGCAATACCAGGGCCCTGCTGCACAGAAGTGACTCATTCAAGTCTTGTCTGCCCTCCAGGCCTGTGCTAGCCACGTGGCCACCCTAACTCTCACTGTGTTCCTACTTTAACTACCAAAGGGGTTTCCAGGTGTCCATCAGTTTATAGCCCTTCAAATCTGCAGTAAGCAAATGTGATTTTCAGATGACTTCACTCCTCTATGATAAACTAACTTTGTTACTGTGGTACACAGTAACTTTGTTATTATGAGATGCTTTGTATTTGCTATACCCTTGGCAAATAGACAGAATAAGTCTCCAAATGAGGAAGATGTGTGCAAGACATCTCCTCTCCCCAGTTCAGTCTAACTCTGGCTTCCCAGTCAGAGCAGCTGTCAACAGGTGGTTCTTGGCACAGTGATGTGTCACCTGTGAGGAGTTTTTCCACTTGGAATCTGCCTTTTCATTAGGGCCCCCCTGGAACATACTGCACAGTGGTCCTGTAATGTACTCTTCTGCCACACAGCCTTGTGCAAGAATTATAGTCCACAGTGTGTGCATAAATTCTGTCCCATGGAGCCTTGGTATTAGAACATGGTCATTTCTGGTCTGCCACAGCCAGGTACCATAGACTGGGTGGCTTAAGGAACAGAAATTTATTTCTACATAGTTCTGGGGGCCAGAAGTCCAAGATCAAGGTGTTGGCATGGGTTCTTCATAGGCCACTCTGTTCCATTGTTCCATCATGAGGTACTGGGGGTTAGGGCTCCAGCATAGGTTTCTGGGGAAGACACAGTACAGCCTTGACAGTCACTACAATACCCCAGATATGCTGACTTCAGGTTGTTGAAAATTGGTCTCCCCCACTTCCAGAGCATCGTAAAGGACTTCGCTGCACGCTGTGGGATGATCCTGCAGGAGGCCATGAAGTGGGCGCCCACAGTCACCAAGTCCCACCTCCAGGTACTTTCTCTGAGTCATCAAAAGGCAATCTCAGGCCAGGCATGGTAGTTCACATCTGTAATCCCAGCTACTTGGAAGGCAGACATCAAGAGCATTTCAGTTCAAGACCAGCCTGAGCAAAAAATTTGGGAGACCCCCATCTCAACCATTAAGCCAGGCATGGTGGTGTGCACCTGTTACTCCATGGGAGGTATAACTAGGGAGGTCCAACATGAGACCCTATTAAAAAAATAACTAAAGCACAAAGGGCTGGCTTTAGTTGTAAAGAGCCTCCTAGCAAGCGCAAGGCCCTGAATTCAAGCCCCAGTACTGTCTCTCACACACACACACACACACACACACACACACACACACACTCTCAACTCCTTCCAGCTGTCCATAGAGCTTTTACATAGGCACAGAGTATGCAAAGGCCCTGAATTCAAGCCCCAGTACTGTCACACACACACACACACACACACACACACACACACACATCTCAACTCCTTCCAGCTGTCCATAGAGCTTTTACATAGGCACAGAGTATGCAAAATATTCACAGCAGTCATATGACTAAGTGGAGACCAAGGACATCAGTCTAGAGCCTGAGAATAACAGGTGCTCAAGGACTGCTCTGTTGGAAGCATCTTGGAGTGGGGGGAGTGTGCTGGCCAGGGCAGGAGGAGTACAGGCAGCGGTTCAGACAAGCCTGACCATTCACCCCAGGTAAGGGACCAGGTCTGTGGCAGGACTTGGAGCGCTTGCAAGATGGTTGGGGGTGGTGTAGTGGGAGGGGAGACTGCAGGGCTGAGTGTATTATGTGCACCTATGCCAAGATTCAGGACTTGGAGGGACTGGTGAGCAGAGGCACAGTGGGATACTTGTGTCCCAGTAAAGCTCTATTTAGGAAAAAGGGAAAAAACAGCTCTATCTAGGTGCATGTGAGTTTTTTCAGACAAAAGCACTGGCTTGTAGGACTGGAGGTATGGCTCAAGTGGTAGAGCATTTGCTTAGCAAGCACAAGGCCCTGAGTTCAGACCCTAGTACCATAAAAACATAAGTGCGGGTGACTGGGAAGTGATTCATTGTTTTAGAGAGACAGACAAAGCAAAAATGCCACAGTATATGAAAGGAAAGAATTGCCTTAAAAGGGGTCAAAGATAAAGAGAAAATGCCACTCGAAGGAATGTGGATTAGCAAAGAGCAGGTGTGTTGAGAGGAGCTTGTGAAGTTGACCTCAGTATGACTTTTCAAAGGGAGGCCAGTTCAAAAACGTTCCTGAGGTGGAATCCAGGAAGGGTAGAGCAGATGACTAGGAGACCCTCGAGGCTGTTTGGGAATGCATTGTGCTTGTGCCTAGGGTTGCTGTGAGGCTCCTTCAACAAAGAGGCTGAACCCCAAGAATTGAGCTGTAGGGGGAGCAAGACCAGAGGGGCTGATATGGGGCAGACCCACAGGCTAAACTGAACAAAGCCAGGGCTGGTTACTAAAGCCATTGTAGCTTTTGAATTGGCACACTGTGTCTTATTTCCTTCATATTGTGTAGAGGAAAAGAGCCTCAGCTCCTAAGGCTGCAGTCTAAAGAGACTTTAATGCCTAAAAGGTTTAGTGAACTAATGGAGTCAATAGAGAGAACCTTTTATTTTGCCAAGTATTTTCTTTTCTTTTTTGGTGGGTCTGGGGTTTGAACTCAGGATTTTGAGCTTGCAAACAAAGCAGGCACTTGCTTGAGCCACATCTCCCATCCATTTTGCTCTGGTTATTTTGGAGATGAGGTCTCCTGGACTACTTGCCCAAGTTGGCGTCAAACCTTGATCCTCCAGATCTCAGCCTCCCAAGTAGCTAGGATTACAGAGGTGTGAGCCACTGGTGCCTCGCGTCCCTAGCATTTTCTTAAGCAGGCCTGCTTTTAAAAGGATATGGAAAATCACAAGCTTGAAATGGTTTTAATATTTCTGCCATGTGTTCCTCTTTTCCCTTTCTTCTAGCAATCCACCCTTTCCAAACCCCCAGCTTTGTGTAGCTCTCATTGCCCAGCCTCACTGTCCTCCTTTTGCCCCCAGCATTCCTAAGTCTGTCCTCTTCTATGCCCACCAGAGTAGTACAGTTTTAACAGCAAATCTGGTTCAGTGTACTTCCTTTTTAAACTTTACCATTAGCCACTCCCTATAACCATGAAGTCCATGGGTGGATTTCTGAGGCTGCACAAGCCCCCAGACTATTGGCACAATTTTATGTGAATGTGCTCATGTGTATCCTTCTTTGGGGACTTATGTGGTTCACCCTAAACTCTCTTGCCTAGCTCAGGGGGCCTCTCAAACCTGACTGTCTCTGGCTCAGGCTTAACCCTGCCCCCTTATGCCTTTATGTGGTACTCCAGTGGTGCAGAGCCCCCTGTAAATCCCAGAGCAGAAGGCCTCCCAACTACCTCCAGCCTCTTCCAGGTGTCCCGCTGCACCAATACCCTCCTACTGGTTAGCCAGGCCGGCTCAGGTGCTTGCTCTGTCCCCCACCTCCAATCCATCATGCTGCCTGCATGTTGGCTACAAAACTGAGGCTTTACTGCTTGTTTTCCTGGTGGCTTGCATAGCCCTTAGCAAATAGCAGATGCTTAGCAAGGAATGGTCTTCTCCCCTTGACGTATGACACTGCTCACACCAACTGGGTGACAGCCACTCTGGGAATCAGGCCTCATCCTCACAGTAAGTGAACAGTTACCAGTCAAAGGAGGGCTTGACCATACTGATGGTTCCACAGTTAGCAAGTGAGGGGCAGAGCCAGCATTGAAACCCAGTGTTTGCCCTGCTACTTCATACCTTATTTATAAAATTATTTTTCCCTTTAAATGAAGTAGAATATTTTAATCCTGTTTCAGGAATATCTGAACAAACATCAGAACTGGGTGTCAGGATTGTCCCAGCACACAGGGCTGGCCATGGCCACTGAGAGCATCCTTCACTTTGCTGGCTACAACAAGCAGAACACGACTCTTGGGGTATGTATGAACCTGTTGTAGAGAAGTGAGCCCCTAAACTGTGAGAACACCATTGATGGGGGGAGGGAACTGAAGCTTATGTATAGCTTTTCATGAAAGGCCCCTTGGCAACTATTTCCCACATGCATATGGGGTGTATGCTGTGTCTGTTGACAGATGGAAATTAGGTCCAGAGAAGTGGCCACTCAAATGGGCATTTCCTTATTGTGCTTATGTTTTGAACATACAGGTTTATGGAGATCACAGCTTGATTCGTTAAAGAGATCAGATTTTTATTTGAGTATCCATATCTGAAAGGACAAGAAACTGACCTTTCTCAGACATCATTTTACAGTAAGGCTTATTTGGAATATTCACGGGACTTGCTGATGATTCTGTTTTCTGCAGGTGCTGACCTGCACACATATACCTTCAGCTACACCTTGTTTTGTTCAATATTAATTTAGAGGCCAAGGTTCTCAAGGTAGTACTTCAGAATTAAATTGAAACTGAAAGTTAAGTTAGGATCAGGGCAGGCAGCTGTACCTAATGATGAGACTGGTCTAGCAATGTTGTTTTGGCATCTCACAGCCCCAACCCTCTTCTAGGACTTGGTTGGTTAATCTGAACCTGAAACGTCACTGTACCTGCTGTGTGTGCTGCTAACTCCCTGAGTGGGATGTGGGGTGTGATGTGTGGAAGTGCCAAGGCTGAGTGCCAGGAGGAAGGACAGCAGGGCTTCTCCATCACTAAGGCAGGAAGAAAGGAGCCAAATGCAGGCCTGAGTGCCCTCTGTCTTCTATGCAGGGTTTGTGGCAGTGCCAGGGAGGCCTGTGTCCTCTCACATCTCATTGTATCTGGAACTCCTCCCTCAAAGTCTCTACACTTTCTCCAAAGACATACAGCAGCTGATCCATGAACAGCCAGCTCTGACCTAGACCCCTCTACCACTTGAAGAACACAGATAGGCCAGAGGTGGAACTCAAAGATTGAGAGTGCTTATGACAGAATTCAGTCATTTTCTAGGTGCTAGCCAGCTGACTTGAGAGATCTCTTTTGCCTAAAAGATTTTAACCATTGTCCTCAGAAAGTTAGATGTAAGTTAGGTTTCCCATTCTCTCCTGCTATAAAGGAGAAAGGATACTTTTTGTTCTGTGTCTGATTGTTGATTGTGCTTAAGATCCTGACTAAGATATTCTTGCCTTGTGAAAAGCACAACACACACACACACACACACACACACACACACATGCACACATATGTACACTGATGTCTCCCATTGTAGGACACAGGGGAGGAGTGGGCTCCAGGGTTGGTCCCAGAAGCAGTATTTCAGACCAACAGGACTGGAAAACTGAACGAGGAAACCTTTGTAGGGCTCTCCCGCAGCACCTCTCAGTGTCTGCTCTGCTGTTCTCAGGCCAACTGTCCTCTGATTTGGCCAGGGCACAGGAGAGCAATTGGAAGCAATTTTAGAGTAAGAGAGGAGTCTACATTTTGGCCCACTGGGTGCCATCTGTGCTTAAGGATTTAGTATACCTTATTGAGCCCTGTGACAGCTTTGTGAGAGGGGCACAATTATCAGAGACATCAAGTGAGTTCTCCAAGTTCTCACAGCTGGTTGGTGTCAGGCCAGGTTTGAATGCAGGCCTGCTTAATACCAAAGGCCACACTGTCTAAAAAGTGTAAAGCGCTTTATATGGTTTTTTAAAAATAAATCAGGTTAATGTTATACAAGAATCACATATTTTCATTCTTGCTTATGTTTTAGTTTTTCTCCAATTTTATATTTTCTTCTCCTGACTCTTTCTGCCCACTGCCCCCTACCAAAAAAAAAAAAAAAAAAGTCCCTTCAAACACCAGCAACTGAAATTCACCCTCCCCAGTGGTATTTATTATTTCAAGAGGTGTGTGGATTATATCAATTTGTAGTAAATGATGCTAAAGGAAAAATGAGAAAGGCTGCCTTCCAAATGTGTGGTATAGGCTTCACTGCCACCTGGCTAAGCAGGAGCGACAGAGCTGGCACAGCAAAAAGCCCAGATTAGGAAAAAGCTGACAAAGCCAACTAATAAGGCCCTGGATGCTGAAGAGAGGGAGGTGAAGCTGGAAGGCTGAGGCTAATACTTTCTAGAAAAAATAACTGTATTTGACTTTAAAAATAGGGAAGCTGATTTTGTTGTTTGAGTATTGAGTTTATCAACCCTTATATTCAAAATATAAGCTCAATAAGGAAATGCCTATTGGATGGCCACCTCTTTGGATCTGGGTATCACCCAATTCCCATCTGTCAGACTCTAGAGGGCATTCTAAAATATTTCATTGTCTTAAGTTACCCCTGGATCTGAATTTAATTGCACTTTGGTTTAACCAAGATAAATATGTGAAAAAAAATGATGTTTTGACAGTCTAAAATAATTGTTTTTTTGTAGGCAACTCAGCTAACCGAGCGCCCGGCCTGTGTGAAGAAAGATTACTCCAACTTCATGGCGTCCTTGAATTTGCGCAACCGCTATGCAGGCGAGGTGCTTATCGAGGCACTTCAGAGCATCTTGTTTTGATGCCAGTGGCTCTTTTCCAGTGGAACATGAGTGAGGGATCTGGGCAGTGTGGAATTTACTAGTTTTAGGTAGCTTGAAGAGCATGGGTCCCTGGCACCCATTCACACATCCTGGAGCATTTATGACAGTTACTTATCACACCCATAAGAGAGTGACTTCATGTACACACATTTTGGCTATGCTGAGGCATACTGGTTTTTAGGTTTTTTGGGTTTTTTTTTTTTCCCTTAAGTGGTAGCTAATGCTCATTGAGTGCCTTGCATTCTCCTGGACACGCTGAGATGAACATACTATGATATTAGTTTTATAAAGAAACCAAGGTTTCTGAGATTGAATAACTTGCCAAAGTTACCCAGGAACAGAGGATTGGATTGGGAACTACATCCATCAACCACATTGAGAGCTTCAGTCACCATACCAGTTTTTTCCAGATAACCAAATCACTTCACTTTTCTGGCCTCAGTTGCCTCAATCTACAAAACTTAGAAGCTAGTTGACACCACTTCTGAGGCCCCTGGCAGCACTGAAGGTTCTTCAGTGGTCTGAGTGGGGGTGCTCAACTCCTGAACACTCTGCTGCTTGCTTAATCCAGTGGCCACTCTCCTCCCATGGGCCTCAGCAGGTGGGTCCCATGCTTTGATCAGCAGCCACTGACCACATACTGGGAATTACTCTTAAGAGCTTGTTCCACACTGGTTTTTTCTTTTTTCTTTTTTTTTTTACTATTGTTATTATATAATGTGATATGCAGAAATTTGGGGTTTTTTTGCATTTGTAACAATATTTTATCTCAAACAAATATGCAATTCAACATAGCAGAGTTCATTTTCATCTTTTGATATTTTAAAGATACTAGCACTGTAGACTGATTTTAGTGAATGCTTAAATATTTTACCTATTTTTTATTCTTCAGTATATTTACTAATATTGTTAACTTAGTTATTCTTTTTTAAATATTGCTGTCTTTGGATATAGTTTTTTTTTTTTTTTGGAAGGAATCATATCTCCTGTACAGTCATGTTTTTATGAATAAGAAAGTAATACCTTCTGAAAAAAATATTTTTGACTTTTAAAATCTTGGAGTTGATTTTGTTCTTTAAGTCATTAGTTGAGTGTAGAGAAAATTTACTTACCTGTCTCACATTCATGCAGTCCCACCATGGGTGAGACCCTGGGCTTAGTGCTGGGTACAAAGATGAGAGACCAGGACCCTACCCTCAAGGAGTATCTGTAGCAGTAGGAACACCAACAGGTATTTCTAGAAGAGAAGTTCTTTGAGAAAAAGCTGTGAACAGTGGTAGGATTACTGCAATGAGCTGTGGTTGGGGCAGTGAAGCACTCACTGGTCCTGTTGTGTGAGCATGGTGAAGTGGCTGCCAGGGCCTCATCCATGTGCCTCACTTTATGTGCAAGGCTGCTGACAGATATGCTATTTTGCAGGTGTATGGAATGATTCGGTTCTCAGGAGCCACAGGTCAGATGTCTGACCTGAACAAAATGATGGTTCAGGATCTGATTACAGCTTTGGACCACAGTAATCCCCAGCACTACACTCAGGCCATGTTCAAGCTGACTGCAATGCTCATTAGCAGCAAAGGTACTGAAGCTCCATGGAATTCTGGGTTTGTTTCTAAATGAGTGTTTGCCTTAGTGATCCCTGGTAAGCTGGAGTCCTGGTTGAAGAAAGCTAGAACTCTCCCAGTAGAGATGTCTCCCACGAGTGGAAAGTAAGTCAAAGGCCATTGTTGGCCTCAGCCAGAGCCAGCAGGATCAAAGGCCTCTAAAGTATGGTGGCTTATGCCTATAATCCTAGCTACTCAGGAGGCAGAGATCAGGAGGATCTCAGTTCGAAGCCAACCCCCCACTCCTTCCCCAGGCAAATAGTTCAAGAGACCGTATCTCAAAAAAACCCATCACAAAAGGAAAAGGCTGGCGAAGTGGCTCAAGCAGTAAGAGCACGTGCCTAGCAGTGAGTCTGTGATTTCAAACTCCAGTGTCAAAAAAAAAAATGCATTTTGGTTCCAGATTGTGACCCGCAGCTCCTCCATCATCTGTGTTGGGGTCCCCTCCGGATGTTCAATGAGCATGGCATGGAGACTGCCCTGGCCTGCTGGGAGTGGCTTCTGGCTGGCAAGAATGGAGTGGAAGTGCCGGTAAGACACTGGCCACAGGACAGCTGTCAGGATGGGTGGGATAAAAGATGGAAAGAGGAATCAAGCTTCGGAAAAAAAAAAAAAAAAAGAAGATGGAAAGAGGCTTCCCTGGCTCTGCAGGGTGACCTGGGCAAGCTCCTCACCCTCTCGAGTCTTGGTCTCCCTTGTGTATTATGTCATTCATGCCTGACCACACAACTGTTTTGGAAATAGAACAGTGTGTGTGTTAAAAATCATGGTGCTTATAGAGTAGTATTTTCAAAAGCTCAGTAGGGGGAGCCATTTCTCTACTGAAATTGGAAAGCTGTCTGTTGGCATTGGACTGACTGAAGTATTTGCTTTTGGCCACAGGTACATTTTTCTTGGCTTACTAACTTTGGGAATAGCTACCTTTCCCTGTATCTGTATTTCTGGAGTTGCTTCTGCATGGTGCATACAGGCAAGGTTATACAGGTTGAGTATCTTCTCTGAAATGCTTGGGACCAGAAGTATTTCGGATTTCATATTTTTTCAGATTTAAAAAATATTTGCATATTTAATGAGTTATATTAGATGGAACGCAAATTTAAACACACAATTCATTTATGCTTCATATACATCTTATGCACATAGGTTGAAGGAAATTTTATACAATATTTTTTATCCTTTTTTTATAGTGCTGGGGTTTAAACTCAGGGCCTCATGTTAAAGCTATGACCCCAGCCCTTTCTGCATTAGTTATTTTTCAGATAAGGTCTTGCATTTACGCCCAACTATTCTGGACTGCTGTCATCCTATTTACTCTTCCTCTGTAGCTAGGGTGAAAGGCATGAACCACCACACACACAGGAAGGGAATTAAACAAAGATGTTGGTATTGCCATCATATCCACTCAATTGCTATTATGTATACCTAACTTCTCCCTCCCACCTCTGTGTGTTGTTTTCATCTATTTTATTACTACATGTGATATATCTTATACTTTTTTTGTTCTGGAAATCAAAAGGTATCCCAAAGAAATAAACAAAAGGAATTTTTTAAAGCTTAATAAGTTTATACAAATATTTTCCATTTCTCACATTCTTCACATCTTCCTATGGACCCAAACTTTGCAATCGTTCTCTTTACCCTAAAGACTTTCTCTTAAGCCAGGCTCCGGTAGCTCATGCCTGTGTATCCTAGCTACTCAGGAGGCAGAGATCAGGAGGATCGTGGTTCAAAGCCAGCCCAGGCAGCAAATGGTTCTCAAGACCCTATCTCGAAAATACCTACCACAAAAAGGGCTGGTGGAGTGGCTCAAGGTGTAGGCCCTGAGTTCAAGTCCTGGTACTGAAAAAAAAAAAAAAGACTTTCTTTTAGTATTTCCTGCCACAGGTTTATGGGAAATAAATGTTCTCACCTTTATTCACCTTCATTTTTGATGCATGTGGATATTTTTCCTGGTTCTAATATTCTAGGTTGACTTTTTTTGTTTTTTTGCTTTTTAGGTTGTACTTTTAGTGTCTGTCTACTTGCATTATTTCTAAAGAGAAGTCAGCAGTCCTACTATTTCTTTTTTTTTTTTTCATTTTTCTTTTATTATTCATATGTGCATACAAGGATTGGTTCATTTCTCCCCACTGCCCCCACCCCCTCCCTTACCATCCACTCCGCCCCCTCCCTCTGCCCCCCCTAATACCCAGCAGACCTACTATTTCTTATTACGTGCTGTTGTTTTTGTGTTGGCTACTTTTAAGTATGTTTATCTTTAATTTTTAATACTTTGACTATGATGTGCCTAGGTGTGATTTTCCTATGTATTATCCTGTTGGAATTCATTGACCGTAAATTAGAGATTTAGGTTTTCATCTTTTTTTTTTTTTCACCCCATTCTGTCTTTGGAGGCTTCCAGGTATACGTATATGTTAATGACTTGATATTATTCATAGACCACCAACATTCTCTTGTCACTTTAGTTTTTTGATTGGGGTTTGAACTCAGGGCCTTGCATTTGCCAAGCAGGTGCTCTACCACTTGAGCCACACTCCAGCCCTTCTCATATGCTTTAAATTATGTCTGGATTCCTTTTAATACCTAGTAAAATGTAAGTGCTATATAAATACTTACTGTTCTATATATTCTTGGGAGAATAACAAGGAGTCTGTCCTTGTTCAGTACAGACACAATTTCTTTCCAAATATTTTCAATCTATGGTTAGTTGAAACCACGGCTATGGAGGGCAAACTGTCAATAGAAAAACTAGTGATTGTTTTATTTTCCCAGAGACTAAAGGTCTTTCTTGTGTCTAGTGACTGTTGCCCCTCCCCCACTGGAGCAGAAAAGGTGGAGCTTCCTGCTTCCTACTTCTGAACCCACTTTCATTTCTTTTTTTGTTCCAGAATAGTTGGAAGAGGGGTCATGGAAAGCTTTTTGTGTCATTTTTGGGAAGTCTTATCCACACCCATCCCTGTTGTGGGCTATTCTGAGCCTCAGCCTGGTACAAGGACTTTGTTTTCAGGACCATCAAATGTTCTGGTTTATCAGAAATTCTCTGGGGAACTTTAGAAGCTACTGGAGTTGTTTTTAATTGTCTGTGCATATCCTGGTGGCTAAGGGGGTTAGTGGTACCAAGGACACTTGACCTGTGAAAAGTAAGACATTCACACAGGGTAGCATTGCCTGTTTGCAGCCTGATAACCCCAGCAGCACCTGCTCCTGCTAGAGCCGACAGGGTACAACCACCTGCACTCTGTCTCTCTTGGGGAACTCCCCCTCCTCAAGAGGGGCAGGGATGGCCCTTCTTATAGGTCTCTTCTCAAAACCCTGCTTTTTCCCACAAATGATGATTCTAAAGACATAGCACTGCTGTGTTCAGGATTCCTCTCCACACACTGCTTTACGGAGTCTGTTCCTGTTTCACAAGGCAAGGTGGCAGTTCCTGACCACTGTGGCCAGCCCTCACATGTGCCTCCTGAATGTGTGACTTCCCTGTTTGTCCTCAGATGTGATGGGTGGTTGGAGGGTCTCCTGGAGAGCCCTGGTGACAGGGAGGATGGAGCATAGCCCTCACTTAGCAGGTCCCAGCAGTAGTGACAGATTAGCCCAGGGAGAGCTGCTCACAACCCCCTTCAGAGCAGTGGATCCTGAAGGCACTCACTATGGGACCCTAACTGTTCTTTCCAAGGATTCCTCACCTGTGTAACCTTTGTAACCTTTTCATCTTTCTGAATAGAGGGCGCCTCCTGAGCTCAGTAGGGGCCTTTCAACATGGTGTGCTCCAGGGCCCCTCTTGTGTGTCAGGGATCTCTCACCAGTACAGTTACCCATCCTGGCCCTCACACCCCCAGTCTGTGCATATCCTTCTGGCCTCCTACCCCCAAGCTCCATGATCACCACCTCCCAGTTGACTTGGTCACCCATTCCCTATCCTTTCCTCTACTCCAACCAAACTCCTTCCAGCCATCTTTAACTCCACGTTTTCACACTTTCTACAAATGACATTTAGCAAAACATACCAGCTTTGTCTTTTTAACTTTTAAGTAGATTCAGAATCTGGCCATTTCCTACCATCCCAGCTGTTCTCTGTCCTGCCGTCGTTTGTTTCTCCCCTGAAGCTTGGAGGCAGCCCTGGTTTGCCTGCTTTCCTGCCACTCTCTCCACACATAGTGTGGAATGTGCCAGTAAAACCTGGGCCAGATTGGGTCCTTCCCATGCCTCAGACCTGCCAATCCTCTCCACCCTGCTCAGTCAGACTGAAAGGCAGAATCATGTCTGTGACCCACAAGTCCTCCTCATTACCCTCCCTTTGTCCCATGCTGTAGCCACCCTGAGGCCTCACTGCCCCTGCCCTCCTGGGCTTGTTCTTGCCTGAGGTGTGTCCTGCTTCCTTTCCTCAGATGCGCATACCTCACTCCTGGTGCCTCCAGGACTTTTCTAAGATGTCCCCTTCCCTGCAGGGCTTTCCCTGGCTGCCCTGTCAGAAACATTGCCCCTTCCCAATGCCACATTCCCATTGTTTTCTCATTCCCAGTGTTCCATGTCTGTAGCTTAATTTTGTGTGGCCCCCATGCAGATTGTGCAGATGTTTGTCTTTGTTCATGGCTCCAACTCTATTCCTGGGAGGCCCTGGCCTGGAGACTGTTGTTAGATGAATGAGTGGGAATATGGCTCCACTTGGCTCCTTGACCCTGTGAGTTCTGGGGTTCCCTCTCCTCCACACACACACACCTTTTTGCTCGCTCAGTCTCCACTGCAAGATTTATATCTGGCTGCAGGAGAGAGAAGCTGCAGTCAGGGTGGTTCCTTGATATTCTGGGCTCCTGTCTACAACAATGCCGTCCTGAATGTGGTGGCCTTTGTCTTCATCCTCATCATCTCCAGTTGGCTTCTGTGCCTCCAAGCAGAAGGGAGGGCAGAAAGCAAAATGCCTTTTTGTTGTTGTTGTTTTGCAGTACTGGGGCTTGAACTCAGGGCCTACACTTTGAGCCACTCCACTAGTCCTTTTTGTGTTGGGTATTTTCAAGACAGGGTCTTGTGAACTATTTGCCCTACCTGGCTTTGAATCGAGATTCTCCTGATCTCTGCCTCCTGAGTAACTAGGATTACAGGCATGAGCCACCAGCACCCAGCCACAAGATGCCTTCTTATGAAACATCCTAGCCTTCCTTAGAGCCTTACGTACTTGGCACCCACTTTGCTCGTTTAAGCTAATGAGAGCCCAAGGCCAGCCCAACAAGTGAGGAGCCCAGATGAGAGTGCTTGTGATTGTCCCCTTAACCACTCTGACCCACACAAGGGAAGAGGACAGATGGGTGCTGGAGAAGGAGCCAGGATATCTACCCCACTCAGGAGACTTTGTTGTCAACCACTGCACAGGGGTCTGGAGCTCTTTACAGAGCTACCTGGTGGGACAAAAACTTTCTCTGGTCCAGTTCCTTCTTGTCTTTCATGTAAAAAGTCTGAAAATTGTTGGTGCCTCACAGGTGTGAGCTGGTATCCCCTTACTTTGTCCAGCACACACATCTCTGCTTGGGCACCCCTCATGCCTCCTCACTAAAGGGCCCCTGGCTGAGTGTGATTGGGCCATTGGAACTGCTCAGCCCATGGCAGTGGCAACCTCCCATTAGATCCCTGAGCCATTCTCAGGAACCAGATAAAGGCATCTTGTGGGGTCCATGTAGGATAAAGAAAAGGAACCAGGCTCTGGAACCAGAACCACAGTCCTACTCCTGCTGACTTAGGGGTAGGCAGCTTTCAGAATTATTGGGAAGATTCACCAGGACAGGACCTGTGCAAGGCGCACACAGTATCGGGCACATGACCTGCCCTGCCTGGCACCACAAGCTGAGGGATAAACAGAACCTGCCTGGACAAAGGCTAGAAGGACATACACCAAACACCAAAGTGATGAGCCCTGGGGAGTAAGGTTATGTGATATTTACTTATCTATTTATTTGTCAGTGGTACTGGGGTTTGAACTCAGAACCTTATGCTTGCTAGCAGTCACTGAATCACTTGAGCCTCTCTGCCAGCCCAACCTTATTTTGTTTTCTGAATTTTATTCAGTAATTTAAAAACAAAACAGAAATACCCTTCTGCTTCCTTAGAGGCACTAACATTTGTTTTGTGTTTGCAGTTTATGCGAGAGATGGCAGGGGCCTGGCATATGACAGTGGAGCAGAAGTTTGGACTATTTTCTGCTGAGACAAAGGAAGCAGACCCCCTGGCAGCATCGGAAGCAAGTCAACCTAGACCCTGTCCCCCTGAAGTGACTCCTCACTACATCTGGATCGATGTATGTGCCTATCCCTATTGTTCCCCCTGCTTTGTTGTGCTCGCTCCTCTTGATCATGGGGGCCAAGGTCCACATCACATGCAGTGAGATCCCAAACTCTGGTGTTTATCCTTTTTCCATCACAGCTCTGAGGCAGGACTCTTGTTTGAAACTCTGTGCAAACATATCTCCTATGAGACCTTTTGCTGAGTCTCATGCCCTAAGAGCAGTAGGAGAAAGAGAATTCAAGAGAATTAGGAATCAGTGCTGTTATGCAAGGTAGAGAGGAAAAAATATCAAAAGCCAAGGTTCTTAGTCCAAAATATCCCTCCAGGAAGCTCAGTGAAAAGTTTTCCATGGAAAACAAGAGATGTGTCTTATAAATAATGAGCTGGGCAGGGCTGTGGGTAAGACAAGGAGCCCATGGAGAAAGAGTGGTGGGCAGCCAGCCTGGGAACCCTGACCTGTAAGAGGAAGTGACTGTCCCAGCCATCTCTGTTAGCCCTGCCTGCCCTCCTGTCAGCCCAGAGCTCCAGCTCAACAGGCTACCCTGACCCCCCAGGGTCAGGTTGGCCGGGCCGCATCACCACGGCATATTTTCCTTCTTGTCCAGTTCCTGGTGCAGCGGTTTGAGATCGCCAAGTACTGCAGCTCCGACCAGGTGGAGATCTTCTCCAGCTTGCTGCAACGCTCCATGTCCCTGAACATAGGCGGAGCCAAGGGGAGCATGAACCGGCATGTGGCAGCCATTGGACCCCGCTTCAAGTGAGGACTCCTCTTCTGCAGGGCATCCCATATCCAGTCACTGACATTTGGACCCTGTGTGTGTCATTGGTCATGTCTGGTGTGGTGTGCTGTGGAGTGGTTGTGTATGTCACAGTGCTTCTGTACAGCTTATTGCATTGTCTTGGAATGATTAGGAAGAACTTGGGAGATATCCTTCCTGATTGTAAGGCATTGTCTAGTTAAAGCATCCACTGCCCCCAACTCTTCCAGCCCTGCCCTTCTCCCTAGAATCTAGCTTCTGCTGTCCTCTGGGCAGGGCTGCTCTTCCCCTGAGCTCTTGTCCCATGTCCCCTTATAGGCCACCCACTAGGGCTGTACTTCTCAAATCAGCTGCAGGGAAGGGCCAGTTCCCTTCTTGTTAATATCCAATCTGTCACAGGCCTATACTTTTATATAAAACACAACAGAAAGGAATTAACCAGAAAATGGTCCATACTGACCATCCACTCAGTGAGCAGCCCTTACCTGGAGGATCAGCCAGCCTTTTTAAATGCACTTAGAAAAATTGCCTTGCCCACAGTGTGCTCTCTTCCTACCCTTCAGGATGACATCCTGTCCTCTTGTATGGCCAGACAGACACTTTTGGTTCCCTTGCAACATCTGGCCTCTGTTGCTTCCTTTCACATCTACATCCTCACTTCTCTCTCTCTCTTTCCACTTTCACTTGGACCAGCCAGCTGCCTTGCTGTGACTCCACTCCCACTATAGGCTGTCCACTGGGGCTCAAGTTAGGAATGCAGGGTGGTGCCTCTGCCTCTGACTGGTTTATATGGCTTCTGTGAGTGGCTGTGTTGGGCTCTCCCCTCTTCCTGCTCCAGCCCTGTGCTCAACCTCACTATCCATGACATCCTCATCACCCTCAGCCTTGGCTTCTAAGCAGTCACTTCTGTTTGGACCCCAGTTACCCTGCTTCTGCCACACAAGAAGCTGTTCCTCTTCAGGGCTCATCTCACTGCCAGGCCTTCTAGACCTCTCAGTAGCTGGGATCTATACCTGTGAGAGAGCCACTCCCTCCCCGCTATTGCAACTAGACCCTCTTTTATGGGGCTTCTGTGCCTTTTTACTCTATGGAATCTCTGTGTCTCACCCAACAATAGGATTCCCAGACTTCTCACCTCACCCTGTGTTATAAACTCCCTGCAGGCAGGAGGAAGAATATTATGCCCAGTGCCTCCCCCATCACTCACATCACTGCACTCCAAGGCCTGGCATAGTATAAATCAGCTGCTTGGGAAATTATTTTGTTTTTTTTTTTTTTTTTTTTTTGCAGTGTTGGGGATTGAACCCAGCACCTCAACAAGCACTCTCACTTGAGGTATACCCCTAGCCCTTTGTTTTTTATATTTGTGATAGAGTCTCACTAACTTTGTCTGAGTTGGCCTCAAACTTGTTGTCCTCAGGCTTCTGCCACTTGAGTAGCTGGGATTACAGCATTCAGTACCATGCCCAACCATTTTTTTAATTGAACTAAGTGTTTTCCTTTCATCACACCTTCAGGTGACTGTATCAGAAGGATTAATTTATAGATAGTTTAACACTGAAGTTTCTGGTCCAGGCAGAATAACATAGATTGTTCACTTTTTTTTTTTTTTTGTCGTACTGGGAGTTGAACTCAGGGCCTTGAGATTGCTAGGCAGGCCCTCTACCACTTGAACCACTCTGCCAGCCCTATTGTTCATTTTTCAACCTAAAAAAAAAAGAAGTGAAAGTTTTTAAAAAAAAAAAATCTTTTCTGAGCCTGGTATGCATGGCTCACACCTGTTATCCTAGCTACTTGGGAGACTGCAATCTGGAGGATCAAGGTTTGAGGCCAGCCTGGGCAAATAGTTTGAGAGACACCCATCTCCAAAAACAACCAGTGTGAAATGGACTGGAGGTGTGACTCAAGTGGTATATTTGCTATAGTTCAGTCATAGAGTGCTTATCCAGCATGAGGGAGATCCTGGATTTCACCCCAGCACCATAAAATAAATAAATAAATAAATAAATACAAACTCCTGAGATTTTTTTGGATAAAAGAAATCTGTGACCTGTAATCACAGGACTGATACTTAGGTCCAGCCTTTGCTATCCAGAAATGTGCCCTAAGTTCAAGGGCTTTGGGGTCTGCATGGGAGACTGACGCCCCACAAGGCTCAGCCCTAGGCCAGTTTCCAGCTCTGACTCAACCATGGGGCTCTCTCTTAGACTGCTGACCCTGGGGCTGTCCCTCCTACATGCTGATGTGGTTCCAAATGCAACAATTCGCAACGTGCTTCGTGAGAAGATCTACTCAACCGCCTTCGACTACTTCAGGTACCTGCACACACACTCAGTGCCCCCTTGACCCAGACCTCCAGGAAATCATTCACAGAAGGACACAGTTTGCCTGGTTCATGCTTACTGTTCTCATTCTTCACTGCTAGATTTGAATATCCTTAGCCCTGTGTTTATATCTGTCTGTTTGTATGTGTGCATCTGCATATGTGTGCCAGCTTCTCAAAATACATGCAATTTTTCCCTTGAGTCAGTTGATTTAAGAGATTAAGTGTAGCCAGGAGCAGTGGCTCATGCCTGTAACCCCATATGTGAGGCTGAGGTGGGAGGATCACTTGAGACCAAGACCAGCCTGGGCAACATATTGAGGCTCCATCTCAAAAAAAAAAAAAAAATGTGGACTTCGTTGTTGTACATACGCAGCTTAGTTGTCATGATCTTTCACAGCACACCACTTAGCCAGAGCTGTAGACACTTTAGAGGGTAGTGATAGGGTGGGCAGAAGAGGGCTCTTAAACCACCACACCTTCCATAGGAATCAGTGAGAACACCTTGCTCGTGGGTCATTCCAGGCTAGCCTCTTCGCACTAAGAAGCCATGTATGTCCCCTCTCACTACATTATGTGACTGTCTCTAGTCCCTGGCTCCAGACACTCAACTCTTGTCTTCCTGTGGTTATTTGAAGTTGTCCCCCAAAGTTCCCTACTCAAGGAGAAAAGAGGTTGCGTGAAGATATAAGCATAATGATTAAATTTTGGACTGCCATGTTCTCTGATAAGAAGTACCTGACTGCCAGCCAACTGGTTCCCCCAGGTAAGCATTGCTCTCAACAGCACAGATGCTCCTGGCAGGGTGGGGGCAGGTAGGACAGGGACACCCCTAGAGGACCAGGCAAAAGAGCACTTAGGACCCAGGTGAACCCTGGCCTTGGCCATGCTGCACATCATTGGAGGCCCAACCTGGCTGCTGCTTCTCCAGCCCAAGCTGAGGCATCTGACAAGCACAAGAGGCCTGTGAGCAGACTCTTCTTCCTGTAACTTCTCCCTGCACTGGCTTAGTTCATGGGTGCCCACTGAGTGGACTAAAGGCCAGTATGCCCAGCTGAATTCATCCATTCCATTGTCATCTGGTAGGCAGTCAAATGAACATAGCTTAAATAGAGAGGGCCGTGGGAGCACCCCTCTGTAGGCACTAAGCACAGCCAGATTAGTTGGGAAGTCAGAGGTGGTTTTCTGGGAGTAATAGCATCTAAGCTGAGTCTGAAAGGATTCATAGGAGCAAGCCAGGAACAAAGAGCTTTTCAAGGCCAGAGACAGAACACTCTAGAAGAAACAATGATGCCTTCACTAGCAGCAAACCTCTAGAAGGAAGGTCCTGTTCCTCTAGCATGTAGTTGACTACAAACCACACATTGGTTAGTGAGGAGGGGCTTTCTCTAGGCAGACCCATAGTTGACTGTCTACTTTCGAGAACAGGAAAGGACCATTAAAAAGGCACTGGTTCATGGGTCCCCAGTGGCTCACGCCTGTAATCCTAGCTACTCAGGAGGTAAAGATTAGGAAGATTGCAGTTGGAAGCCAGCCCCAGCAAATAGTTCAAGAGGCCCTATCTTGAAAATACCCAACACACACACCACGCACAAATACCCAACTTGGCAGAGTGGCTCAAGCCTAGCAAGCATGAAGACCTATATTCAAACCTCAGTATCCCAGGAAAAAAAAAAGGAAAACACTGGTTTTTCGAAGGCACCGTTCTGGTTTCATTTAGAATAGGTCAAACAGCCTGTGCAATCTGCCCCACAGATTGAGTTCCTGCTGTGTCAGAGGACAATACAGTGCCAGTGATTAGATAACTGCCACCATTTATCAAGAAAATTATATTTGTTTTATTCTATTTTAAAGGCTAGGAGGAATATGATAAATTTTAGAAAGTTTCCTATCTAGAATGATTGGAATAAAAAATTCCACAGGTGTTTGGAAAATTTGTCCAAAAGGTTTTATTCTGCAAAGTCCTACTCTATTTCTCTTTGTGATGCCTTTTCTTGAGCCACCTCATCCCAAAATCAACGATATGTTTACCCACAGATAACCAAGATACTCGGAGTAACCTAGATATAACCGTGGGCTCTCGGCAACAGGCTACACAAGGCTGGATCAACACTTACCCCCTGTCCAGTGGCATGTCGACCATCTCTAAGAAGTCAGGTTAGTGAGAGGTTTGCTCCTACATCCATCAAATCTGAATTCCCATCCTGGCGGCCTAATGAGCCTCACTCAGATGACAGAACAGAGCACTAAGAAACAGCTTCTTCTAGGTTCTAGAAACAGGGTAGGCAGGTGGCTTCCAGGGACTGTACCTGTGCTTTCTCTTTCCTCCCTAGGCATGTCTAAGAAAACCAACCGAGGCTCCCAGCTGCACAAATACTACATGAAGCGCAGAACACTGCTTCTATCTCTGCTGGTGAGACCCGTGGCCACAGCTGCTGTCCACCATATTCCAACATAGCACACATGCCAACACAGCATCCTAGGGTGGGGTGGCATGTGAGTACCTGCAGAAAGCACAGTGAGCATTGCGTCTGGTCTCACTAGGCCACTGAGATTGAGCGTCTCATCACTTGGTACAACCCACTATCGGCCCCTGAGCTGGAGCTGGACCAGGCTGGAGAGAACAGCGTAGCCAACTGGAGGTCCAAGTACATCAGCCTGAGCGAGAAGCAGTGGAAGGACAACGTGAATCTTGCCTGGAGCATCTCTCCTTACCTGGCCGTGCAGCTGCCAGCCAGGTGGGCCCCTGGGTCACCCCAGCCTCACCAGAGCATAGGGCCCAGCTGGGTTATAAGTGCTAAAAAAACATGATGCGGTACCCACCATTAGACACACTCATGCTGTCTGTCCCGGACACTCAGGTTTTCTGTGCAGAGGATACACAGTGACCCTTATGATCTTGTCAGACTCCTACCTGGAATGCCACAGCACCCAGAGCCTAAGGAGATAATATCAGGGTGAATCAAGGGCCACAGTGTGATTTGTGAAGGCCACAGCTCCCAGGAGACAGGCTGCAGAAACAGGCTTGGGAAGTTTTGGGTTTGGGTTGGATGTCACCTTTCAGTATAGTTTACTCCAAGGAGGCACATGCAGAAATCAAGTGTTCTGTGAGCTTTTCCTGTGGTAACTCTCACAGGGACAAAACTCTTAGACTGACAGTAGTTGAGAGGGACTACAGCAGCCCCTTGTAGCACAGTTCCATCAAATAGTTCCTCAGCCCCCTGTGGCTGCATGTAGGGCAGACATTTCTTTACTGGGAGCCCAAATTTGCCTCCTTACTACTTCCTCTTTCTGATCCTGATCTGATCCTTAGGAACAGGACCACAGGCTGGTTCTCCAGCATTGTTTCAAAGCATGAAGTTTATGGAAAGTATCCCTTGCATTAGCCTGGGACTGTAGCACCTGCAAACTCCTATGTCCCCTCTCATGAGGGAAGTTGCCTTGTGGCCTCAGACTGTGGGCTGAGGCACTAACCCATGGATATGCTGCTGTGAAGGGCCAGAGCAAGGGGCCAAGGTCCTGAAAAGTGGGTCATAAAAGGTGGGGGTTCTAAAAGCAAGGACTCTAAACCCTTTTAGAGCCCTTTGAACAACAAGTTTAAGAGAATTCCTATTTAAGAAAGTTTCTGGCATTTCCTCATAGCTGACCTATTATTAATGCTAATATTTTTGTTTTTAGGCAGGGTCTTACTATGTAGCTCAAGATGCCCTTGAACTTAAACGATCTTCCCACCACCTCCTGTTACTTTTGCTATTATACTATACTTTTCAAACACTTGTGTTCAAACTTACTAATATATTAGTCACATAGAACATTTAGGTATCACTTGGTATTGATCTGAACCCCTCCAATTGTGCATTTCCTTCTGGCCCCACTCCTGTAGCAGTAAGAGAGTGTGTCTGCTGGGAGGCCACCCGACCTATCCCCTTGTACACCGTAGGTTCAAGAATACAGAAGCCATCGGGAATGAAGTGACCCGTCTTGTTCGGTTGGACCCAGGAGCCGTTAGTGACGTCCCTGAAGCTATCAAGGTAGCATAGCTGACATCTAGAACCTTATCCAGAAATGCCTGAAAACTATAAATCTTATGTATTAGTTGTTTGTTACTGTGACCAAAAGCCTGACAGAAACAACTTATGGAAGGAAAGATTCATTTTGACTCATGGTTTTAGAAGGTTCAAGTCATGGTTGCTTGGCCCCCTTGTGCTTGTGCAGAACATTGTGTCATGACATTTTGTCATATCAATGAAGGCACGTGGAGGGAGGAGTCTGCTCACGTCATGGCAGAGAGGACATAGAGAAAGAGAATACAGAAAGGGGTCTGGGAAAGATACAGCCCCCAAGAACACATTCCCCAGTAGCTTATTTCCTCCAAGGCTCTATCTACTTTTTACCACCTCCAAATAATGCCTCCATATTATGAATCCATCAAGGGATTAATATATTAGTCACGGCCCTCAAGATCTGATCCTTTCTGGAACCCTCATAGACACATCCAGGGGTATGTTTTACTAATCACCTAGGCATTTCTCAATCCAATCAAGTTGACAGTCAAGATGAACTAGCACACTAGACAAAAACAGTGACCTTGTGACCTCAGTGATATGAATTTTTCTAACTCCCTGTGTTTTCCACTTCTAATATGTAGCATTTATTATGTTTATGACTGGAAAATAATTCTATATACTTGCAATTATGATGTTTTACATAATGCATCAGAAGCATTTTCTGCATTGTTATAAATGGTTTGTAAACTATTTCTCCCCAGTTCCTCGTCACCTGGCACACCATTGATGCTGATGCACCAGAGCTCAGCCACGTGCTATGCTGGGCACCCACGGACCCACCCACAGGACTCTCCTACTTCTCCAGCATGTACCCACCACACCCTCTTACAGCACAATATGGTGTGAAAGTCCTGCGGTCCTTCCCTCCGGTGAGCCCAGGGCCCTGCCAGAGCCGGGTGTGGGGCTATCTGGGTGTGGTTAAATGAGATTCAACCTAGGAGGCACCCAACTTTGTGGGTCCATTTTAGAACACATCTTCATTTCTCTTTTTTTGTTGCAGAAGACTAATTTAGTTCTTATTCAGATATGTTTTCTAGCCATATTTGGTTTTTAGCTTTAATTAGATGTTTGAGTGCAAAAAGAAAGCTTGAGTTTGGTTCCAGAGGTGAGCAGACTTCCCAATACACCTATGTCTCTTACCCCAACAGCAAGCTTATCAGAGACCCTAGGAACCTCACATGACAGCCATGATGGGGGAGGGGAAGCCTGTAGCATATTCTAGAACCTGACTCACTGCAACCCCAAGCACCACAGTCTGCTGTAACCTTCAGCCCATTTTCCTGAGACAAGCTCCTCTTCTCCTAGGCAAGGCAGCCTTGTTCCTTTTACTTATTTCAAGGCTTGATCATTTTCAAGGCCTTGGTAATTTTCCCTGCTGTCCCTCTAGGCCTTCCCCAGTTCTCAACCCCACTGTGTTGCTCAGTGGAGGACAGTGTCCTGTGGGCAGGTCCCTAGTGCCTGCCACTGTGTTAGACAGGGTCCTGGAACATCACTTGTGTTAGTTGTTCAAACCCAGTGGTCACAGTCATTCCTCCTTTGCAGGATGCCATTCTGTTCTACATCCCCCAGATTGTGCAAGCCCTCAGGTATGACAAGGTAAGTGTGCTGACTCAAGCCATCCTCTTCCTTCCCAGAACTGTGCACATTACTGTGCTCACACCCCACTTGATCTCCAGCTCCCACAGGCTCTCTGGGCTTTCCTTGGGAGCAGGGATGCCCAACCATAACTGTCGTCCCCATGCTTCTACTGCCCAATTTGAGACCCAGTTGTGATCTGCACAGTGAGTGAGTTCTGGGACTGTTGCCAGGCACTTCCTTGCGGTGGCTGGTCTGGGTCCCCATAGTTGGATGGAGGGAGTCTCAACGCATCTCATGAACCCGTCTCTTCAATGTGAGTGGAGAGGATTAGATGAGATGTGTGGATTAGTCTACTCAGGCTGCCACAGAAAAGTGCCACAGACTGGGTGGCTTAACAGACATTTATTTTCACACAAATCTGGAGAATGAAAATTCAAGATCAAGATGTCAGCAGGGCTGGTTTTTTGAGGCCTCTCTTCCTGGAGAAGGTGGCTCCTTCTCCCTGTGTCCTCACATAATCTTCCCTCTGTGTGTCTGTGTACTAATCTCTTCTTATAGTGCATACCTGGGTTAGAACCCACTTCTAATGGCCTTATTTTATCTTAATTGCCTCTTTAAAGAATCTGTCTGTAAATACAACTACATGCATCCGTACTTCAATACATGTTCAGCCCATGGAAGTGTACACGTATAGCCGGACATGATGGTACACACCTGTGATCCCATTATTAGGGAGGCAGAGGTAGAAAGATCATGGTTCTAGCCCAGCCTGAGCTATATAGTAATTCTATGCCAAAAAAAGAAGGGAGGGAGGGAGGAAAGGGAAGGGAAAGTGGAAAGTGTACATGTACATGTACATAAAGTGTGCAGCATAAGTATGGCACAAAACATCCCCTGGAGTGACCACAGCCTAGAGCCCCATACCATCTTTGCATTAGGGCAGGGCCTGAGGACCTCATCCCAGCCATGCACTGCATCTCACATGATACAGCAGGATGTGTTGCTGCCTTTCCCCACCCTGGGTCCAGCCTCATTTCCTGGTTATGCGGGACTGTGGATTCCCTGTGTCCTGACTCAGTCTTGCTGTGCTAGGCAGGCTGGCCCTCACTGCCAGTGAGAGTGGCTGTGAGGCCTGTGGCTGGGTATCCCCAAAGCTGGCTTCTTTTCCACAGACTGGCATGGTGCTCCATCTAGGGTCCATTGACCAAGGTGCTTCTGGAATATGAGCCAGCCACTTAAAATGAAAAACTTGCGTCCTATGGAAACATTCACTGTCATAAAGAGGTAGCTGCCAGTGTTCCAGCTCTGAGTGATGAGACCGTGTAGATCATGATGATACCATAGAGAGCCATATTTGCCAAACCAGGACCTAGCCTAGTTGCCAACACACGGGACTACCTGACACACCTTTTCTCCAGGACTTTGTTTCCTTCTCCCCACCTGTCCCTCCAGCGGTGCTCTCACTTCGTTGCTTGGCGCTCTGCTTCCATATGGCCTAGCAGAAGGATCTGATCCATTCCCGGAGGGAGCAGGGGCCAGTGCCCAGGGTCTCCGTGTGAACTCTGGGTAGTGACTGCCAGAGAACAGCCACACTTCTATATGAGCAGTGGTCTGCACTGAGCATATGGAAGCCTAGGCAGCTATAGTAAGCCTGTAAATGGGCGCTAAGGTTAGCACAGGGAGATGCAGATAGGCTGTGGTTTCTTTTATTTGGCTGGTTTTTTTATATGAGCCAACAGAGAAGGGACCCCAAGCCTGGGCTGAGAGTACCTTGCTCTCTTGTAGATGGGCTATGTACGTGAGTATATTCTGTGGGCAGCATCCAAATCCCAGCTTCTGGCACATCAGTTTATCTGGAACATGAAAACTAACATCTACCTAGATGAAGAAGGACACCAGAAAGACCGTGAGTATTTGTCCTCTCCTCAGGACTCTTTCCCCATCTTCAATGCCTTCAGTGGCCACCAGGGCTTCTGTGGTCTCCAAGGCCCTCTGCAGTCTGTGCTGTCTCAACTGGTAAACCACTCTACTTCCCATCCTTTGGTGGTACTTCTCACCATTTAACATGCAAGAGAGCAAGACCACCCTCTTTTTTTCAAAAAGCCTTTTCCACCCCCCTGCAGGTACCCCCTGCAGCTCCCAGGCTATATAAGAATCCCTACTGGGGAGCCGCCTGCCTGATCAGAACTGTCCTGTGACACAAGAGATTAAAAATCACAGAAATTTTCAAAATTTAAATCCACTAATTACATGTTTTTGTTTTTAATGGTGCTAGGGTTTGAACTCGGGGCCTCATTCTTGCTAGACAGGCACTATACCAACCACTTGAGCCACTCTGCCAGCCCTTTTTGTGTTGATTGTTTTCGAGATAGGGTCTTGAAAACTATTTGCTCGGGGTTGGCCTCCAACCACACCCTCTTGATCCTTGTCTCCTGAATAGCTAGAATTACAGGTGTGAACCACGAGTGCCCAACTCATTATATGTTAACATATAACATCTTTTTGTGAAAATTAACTTTCCCCAAAAAAAAAACCACAGAGGATCAATAAGAGTAGCCTTGATTCCCTTTTTGTCTGGTTCAATAGAAGATAGATAAATTCTCATTCTCTTTCTGTTTCTGTTCCTAATTTGTTGCAATATGTCGTTTGGTTGAAGTAGATGCAGGAAGTTTGCCTCGCACAGGCATGCAGTTGGAAGAGGGAGGGGTATTTTAATCATCTTTCATGCCATTGCCGGTAGTTTTTGTTGCTACAACATCAAACTCCACAAGTAGTAAAACCGCTTCGGGGATCCTTCGGGATCTGTTCCATGTAAGTCTGTTGGTCTCCATCGCAGCTGTACCCAGGCAGACTTTTGTGGTGTTTTGTTGTAGTGCTTGGGATCTAATTCAGGGTCTAATATGCTAGGGAAACATTGTACCAACCCTGGGCAGACTTTCGTAGCAACAGACAGTGGCCATTTATACAATAGAGGTTGGTGAATGATCCAAATCTTCCAAATGTTAGCACTTTTCATTATATGGTGTGATCATATGCTGTATAGCAGTGTTTCCCAGTGACAGTCCACACATGACATTGCTCCCAGAGATTATATAATGGAGTTTGCAAGTTCCTATCAATGCCAGGCACCGGTGGCTCATACTTATCCTAGCTACTTGGGAGACTCAGATTAGGAGGATAATGGTCTGAGGCCAGTGTAGGCAAATAGTTTGTAAGACCCCATCTCCAAAATAACCACAGGAAAATGGGCTAGAAGTGTGGCTCAAGTGGTAGAGCATCTGATTTGCAAGCACAAAGTCCTAAGTCCAAATCCCAGTCCCACCAAAACAAAACAAAAAGTTCCTACCATTGCTGGGCACTGAGAGCTCACGCCTGTAATTCTAGCTACTCAGGATGCAGAGATCAGGAAGATCATGGTTCCAAGCAAGCCGTAGGCAAGTAGTTCTCAATGCCCTATCTCAAAAAAAAAACTGATCATAGAAAAAGGCTGGGGCAGTGGCTTAAGTGGTAGCAAGTGTAAAGCCCTGAGCTCAAATCCCAGTATCGCAAAGATAGATTAGATGATAAATAGATGGATAGATAGACAGATAGATAAAATATTGGTATTGTTTCACAGGGATATTCTCCAATAACACTCACTTCTTTTTTCTCTTTTTGGTGGGACTGGATTTTGAACTTGGGGCTTCACGCTTGCAAAGCAGGCACTGTACTGCTTGAACCACACCTCCAGTCCATTTTGCTCTGGTTATTTTGGATATGGGCTCTTGCCCTGGCTGGCCTTGAGCCACAATCCTCCTAATCTCAGCCTTTCAAGTAACTAAGATTACAGATGTGAGCCACCAGTGCCCAGCTGACACTGGCTTTTTAGAAGTGAGCGGCAGTGAGGAATTGTGACCACTAGTGCGCATGGTTCTTGCCTTGAGCTCTGCTCGGGTGCGCGCAGCTTTTCCACCAGCATGACCAGTGTTAACAGTGAAGGTGGAAATAGTGTGCAGTGGCCTCATGTCAAGTCCACTGAGTACACTCCACACACAGCTAGTGTGCTGGGAGACCCCTGCCTTAGTATTCAGCAAACATCTGTGGGTTTTCCTGAGGGGACCTCTGTGGTGGTTGCAAGAGCTCAGAGTCTTTGTTTCCTCATCAGCTGACATTGGTGACCTCCTGGAGCAGTTAGTAGAAGAGATCACAGGCTCTCTGTCAGGCCCAGCCAAAGATTTCTACCAGCGGGAATTTGACTTCTTTAATAAGATCACCAACGTGTCGGCCATCATCAAGTAAGTGGCAGTGCTTCACAAACTGTCTTCTCGGGTGTCTCATTCCAGTCGTTGGAATTGGCCTGGGGAGCTTTCAAGGTATCTGTGCCATCCCTGGTTGGTCTCCAACCCATCGAGGTGAACAAGAGTCCCGGTGATGAGGACACTGCTGATCTGATGCACAGCCAGGTGGTGAAGCTCTGGTCTGGGTGATTCAAGGCAACATGGATGGCCATGTCATTTCAGGAAACATACCTCAAGTTCATTTCCCACACTGTCCCACAGTCAGATCGCTCAGCCTTCTCCAACCTCTGAGGGACCTTAGTGGCGTCAGGAAAACCAGGCGTCCTTCATGGCTCCCATTGGTGTTGGACTGGGCCCTTCATTTATGTGATTCTCACACCATGCTTGGCCATTGGGGGCATTGCCCATTCACATGGGACTGGCCCAGGAATAGTGGATGTCGGTCACATGGCCAGGGTGGGACAGGCAGGGGAACACCAAGACCAGCTCTTCCTAGCTTGCTCTCTACACAGTCTCCAGTGTACAGGCTTCTTTTACCATGTCATTGTGAGGCCTGCCCATGTCTCCAGTGGTCTCCTCTAGGCTGGGTACTGAGTAGAACAGCAGTGCTGGCAGCTTCTAGCCCACAAAGATAAAAGGTAGGTGAATGTGTTAGTCAATTTTGTGTCATTGTCAGTTTTGTTGATTAACACCTGAGTTAATCAACTTAAAAAGAGGAGGTGGTAGAGCATGTGCTTAGCAAGCCCCACCCCCCAAGAAAAGGAAAGGTTTATTTGGGCTTACATTGTTGGAGGTATCAGTTCGTGGCCTGTTAGCCTTGTTAGTTTTGGACCTGTATGAGCACATGGCAGAGGAAACTGCTCACCATATAGCAGGAATCAAAGAGAGAGAAGAGATTGTAGTCCCATAAGAGCATACCTCCAGTGGCCTAAAATCTTCCCCTTAAAGGTTCTACCACCTTCTGATAGCACCAAGCTAAAGACCAAGCCTTTAATACACGGACCTTTGGCGGCGGCAGTGTGGGGGGTCAGGGGGGAAGGTTTCCAGAGCAAACCATAGCAAGGAGGTACATTTACTGGGTATCACCATATGACAGACACAACTCTAGTTACCTGTCATTATGCTATGGCCGAGGTCTTGGGGCTCACCCAAAGTGATGCAGTGAGTATATTACAGAGATAGCATTTGAGCCCAGAACTGTGGGACCCCACAGTCACCTCTCCTCCAGTACCTCAGACAGTAACAAACACAAATCACACATGGGCGAGTGACAGAGACAGAAAACAGCTCCATGCTAGCCCCCAGGGGCCAACTGAGCTTCTCCATGAGGAATGTAGGGCAGGGCCTGCTGTGACTTGAGCCTGGTGGGCCCTCAGAAGTGACCAGGAATTCACTGAGAAGGGAATTTAGACAGGCGGCGTCTTCAGCTGTCCCTGGAAGCAAACCATTTCTGTCTTGTTTCTCAGGCCCTACCCTAAAGGCGATGAGAGAAAGAAGGCTTGTCTGTCGGCTCTGTCTGAAGTGAAGGTGCAGCCAGGTAAGTAGGCACCCTCTCCAGGTAATGCATGGCAGGGGCTTGACCAGATATGCCATACACTTAGGCCCTCCAGCACCCCAGGAATGGGTTTTTTCTCCTCTTACTGGACATATTAACTGAAAAAGGGGAGATTTTGACTGTGGGGCAAGCACAAGAATGAAAGGGTGCTGGGAGGGATGGTGGGGTGAGTAGAGGCAGGATGGGAAGCACCTACATGGAGAGTGAGATCGTTCCCATGCCAGCCCAAGGAGCAGCAGGTTGGCGTCTGTGAAGCTGAGGCCCAGAGTGTTCTTTGGAAAAGCATCTTCTAGGAGGTCATGGTTCACTTGTGCAGTGTCTGGAAAGATCCATGAAGGTCAGAGTTGGGAAGGTGAACCACAGCAGCCATAGAAAATCAGCAGTGCCACGGGGAGAAGCAGATACCCCTCCACAGGGCAGGAATAACTTCAGGGCAGACTCTGCACTTGAAGTCTGTGGGAACTGGTTGTGACCTCCCCATGGTCACATGTGGACGTCCTGTGTGCCTTTGCCCCTGCACAGGCTGCTACCTGCCCAGTAACCCTGAAGCCATCGTGCTGGACATCGACTACAAGTCAGGGACACCCATGCAGAGGTGGGCTCCTGCCCTGTGCTCTTCTACAGCTGCCTTACTTGGGATTTTTTATTTGTTGTTTCACATGTGCAACATTTTCTTTCCAGTGCTGCAAAAGCCCCATATTTGGCTAAATTTAAGGTGAAACGATGTGGAGTGAGTGAACTTGAAAAAGAAGGTTAGTGAGGATTTCTGCTTTAGTTTGGGATCTTAGTGCTCTTCCTTGCTAAGGCCATTTTCTTTTGGCACATTGTTTGTTACCAGCTCCCATAAAAGATGTCTGTCCATGCATCTGCCTGCTCAGTCCCCCCTTTGGAGATAGCAGGGAGCATGTGCAGTGACTGATGTGCTGCCCTGAATGTCTGCCGACCCAAGTCAATTGACACATCCAGGAGACCCCTTGTTGAGTCTGAGCGGCATGGGCCTTTGTGTGGTATCTGTTAGGTACTTGGGGCTCCATACAAACACCCGAAGCCTGGGCGACTTATGCAACAGAAATGTGTGATCTCGTCCTTGTCTAGCAATTGCAGTGTCCTGAGTTCAACGCCAAGTCCCACCAAAAAAGAGAGAACAGCTAGAAACTTGTGATCTCCCAGCTCTGGAGGCCAGGAGTCTGACATCAGGCCTGAGAGAGCCCTTCCCTCTGAAGGCTCTGGGCAGGGTCCTTTCCTGACTGTTTAGCTTCTGGTAGTTGCTGCAGTCCTTGGGGGTCATGTTCCTTGGCTTTCAGTCATCCCTTGGGCCTCTGCCTGTCTTCACATGACCTTCACTGCCCTAGGTGTCTATATCCGAATTTCCCTCCTCTTATCCAGTATGATTCATTTTAACTTGGTTACATCTGCAAAGACCTGGTTTCCAAATAAGGTCCCATTTGAGGTTTTGTGTATGAATTCTGAGCAGTCACAGTTCAACCCAGTATAAGATGTATGGCCAGCTGCACAGAGGGGCTACTGGCCAGCGTGGGGACATGCCTTCCAGGGCCTTGCCCCTGAGTCCTTACTTTGGGTAACAGTGGAGCTCTATTTTGGTTTTTTGTTTGGGGCTTTGTGGTTTTGTTTTTGTTTTTGGTAAAGCTGGGTTTTGAACTCAGGGCTTCAGCACTTGCAAAGCAGGCAATCTACCATTTGAGCCATGCCTCTAGTCCATTTTACTCTGTTATTTGGAAACAGAGTCTTGTGAACTATTTGCCTGAGCTGGCCTCAAACTCAGATTGTCCTGATCTCAGCCTCCCAAGTAGCTAGGATTACAGGCATGAGCCACAGGCACCCAGCTGGGGCTCTGTTGTTTAGTTCCAATTAAACCTATGTTTTTAGGGAAAAACTCCTGCCCTGTCATTTCACTCACTGACCCACATTTACTGAACCCCTTATTGTCCCCATGGGGTTTGCAGAAGTGATCCCCAAGATCCCTGAAGTTCTTTCCAGTTCCCCTCAGACTTCTCACTGCCCCATAATGGGCACTGCCTCTGTCCCACCCCCAGGTCTGCGGTGCCGCTCAGACTCTGAGGATGAGTGCAGCAGGCAGGAGGCAGATGGCCAGAAGATCTGCTGGCAGGCAGCCATCTTCAAAGTTGGGGATGACTGCCGGCAGGTAACAGGACAGGCCTAGGGGCCTTTTTCCCCCAGGTGTACTAAAGGGAATGAACCACACACGCAAAAACATGAGTCTTTGCTTCCCCTCAATTTGGCTCAGGTGCCATGAATGAATTAGGGCTTCTGCCAAACATAAAGGCCTCTCCTTCCAGCCCCTGCCCACTCTACCTCCAGTGCCCACCCAGAGGGAAGTGCCCTGAGGGAGACAAGGTCCCTGCTCAACACACCCGGCAGGCAGTGTGTCCTCATGCCCAGCCCAGCCCTCCAGACCCCTGCTCAGTTGCTGGCTCCTTCCGTAACTGACCCTCAGCTTCTGTCCTGTTTGAGTCTTGAGGGCCACTGGGAGATGTGTGAACAGGGCCTGCAGGAGGTTAGCTGACTGCATCCCATGCCTTCCTGGTTCCCAGGACATGCTGGCCCTGCAGATCATCGACCTCTTTAAGAACATCTTCCAGCTGGTTGGCCTGGACCTCTTCGTTTTTCCCTACCGGGTGGTAGCCACTGCCCCAGGGGTAAGTTCCCTAAACAGGGGCCTGGCAAGGAACCTGTCAACGCCTCCCACCTGGCCACTTCAAGGTTCGCCCCTCCTTCTTCCCTCCTAGTGTGGGGTGATTGAGTGCATCCCCGATTGCACCTCCCGAGACCAGCTTGGCCGCCAGACAGACTTCGGCATGTATGACTACTTCACACGCCAGTATGGGGACGAGGCCACCCTGGCCTTCCAGCAGGTAGCTGGGGCCTCAGCCCAGCATTTGTCTGCATTCGCGCCCCGCCCCCACTTACCCACCTGATGCTCAGCACCTGCTCCCTCCCTTCTGCTCTTCAGAATCCTTCACTGGGGGCTAAAACCAGCTCATCCCAGGAGAACTCCTGGGTGTGACAGGAAGGTCCTGCTGCCCCTGCACCCTGCTGCCATGAGGTCTGGCTCACTGACCCAGGCTCTGCCTCCAGGGTGGGGGCATAGAGTCAGGGACAGCACCTGCCGGCCCCAAAGCCCACAGCCCTTTCCGTGTAGGCACGCTACAACTTCATCCGAAGCATGGCCGCATACAGCCTCCTGCTGTTCCTGCTGCAGATCAAGGACAGGCACAATGGCAACATCATGCTTGACAAGAAGGGGCACATCATTCATATCGGTCAGTTGGGCCACAGCACCACCTTCTGTCCCTTTGCCCTGCACAGCCCAAGGGAGGGAAGGGCATCTGACAGAGGGAAGCGAGCCTGCCCGGGGCCGTCCAGCCCATCCTGCTGTGGAGGGGACCCAGGTGGGCCCTGGAAGCTGTGGGAGGGTGAGCGTGGCAGCCCACGCTCTGGGTCAGAAGCTGGAGTTGGTGGAACTCATTCTGCTCCAGCCTGGCTCTCACCTGTTTGCTCCCCATCCTCTTCCTGTGCTTGCTGCTCCCTCACTGTCCCCTAGACAATGTGGCCTGCTCATGGTGCGGTGGCTGCTAGGGGCTCTGAGTCCTTTTCTGTCCTATCTGCCCCCACACACCTGCCCCAGTGACAGTGGCTTTGGGGTTTTGCAGACTTTGGCTTCATGTTTGAAAGCTCACCAGGTGGCAACCTTGGCTGGGAACCAGACATCAAGCTGACAGATGAGATGGTGATGATCATGGGGGGCAAAATGGAGGCCACACCTTTCAAGTGGTTCATGGAGATGTGCGTCCGAGGCTACCTGGCTGTGCGGTGAGTCCTGGGGCAAGACAGGAGGGCAGCAGGGTGGGTAGCCTCTCAAAGGCAGCAAAGGGGAGCATTCTCAAGCCCCCTTCAGCAGGAAAAAATTGGCTTGCTTTCCGGTCACATCTTTCTGTCCATCTCTACCAGCAACTTCAGTCTGGGCTTCCAGCTACATCATGCAGCCTCCCAGGCTGAGCACCTCTCAGCCTTGGGCTTCCCTTTCTGGGCATCCCATACGCCCTTTCACCATAGCCCAAGCACCTGCCACCCCATAGGCTGCACACTAGAGATTGTCCTAGTATCACCTGGTAGTCACTTAGCCAAGGCCACACAGCTGGACTTCAGTCCACTTGCTATTCCTGTCCTGCAGGACAAGGAGGACCAAGGCATCTTTGAAACCATGGCTGGATGCCTGACATGTAGGGACAAAGTGAGACCACTCAGCCATCCAGCTGGGGGGTGTGAGCAGGCCCAGCCAGGCAGTATATTGGGGGGGGATACAAATCCCGTGGGACATAGAAGGAAAGGTGCAGCTGGGCCATAGGACTATGGTAGAGACACTGCTCAGGCTGGCCTTATCTTCCCTCCCCTTCTGTCTCTACACAGGCCCTATATGGATGCAGTCGTCTCTCTGGTCACTCTCATGTTGGACACGGGCCTGCCTTGTTTCCGAGGCCAGACAATCAAGTTGTTGAAGTAGGTTCCTCAGTGGGCAAGTGGACTCTTGAGAAAGATGTCTATGGTTAAGACTCCTCCAGAGATGGGACCCTTTTATGTAATTGTGATTGTCATGTCCTTAGAATGGGTTCCTGGGTGAAACTGTGTCACCTGACCACGTTTGCAGGATGTCCCAAACATACGCAGGTGCCCTTTAGTTTCTGAAGGAAGCTACACCAGCCTTGAGCCCTGGGACTGCAGTGGCTTAGCTTTCCTATGCTTAATCCTCTCCACAGGACGGCTCAGGCTCGGGAGATGCTGGGAAGGGAACAAGGCCCACACTAGGCCAGGTGTGGCCCTCATGTAGACAAATTCCTGCAAACGCTGAAGTCAGTCTATAGACAGGACCACCTCACCTCACACTGGGAGGGGCAGTGGCAGCCAGTGGCAATCCTCACTTATCTCTCTCCAGGCACAGGTTTAGCCCCAATATGACTGAGCGAGAGGCTGCAAATTTCATCATGAAGGTCATCCAGAGCTGCTTCCTCAGCAATAGGCAAGTCGCCCCACCTGCCCCTCTCCCCTGATCACAGGAGAGGCTCAGCCTGGGTCAGGTGACAAGTACCCTACGATCCTTCAGCAGCTCCCTTCTTGCAAGACTAGTGTTTACTTGAGCCTTGACGGGAGTTTCAGGGAGCAACGAGTACTGGTTTTGAGTGTCTGGGGAGTGCTAAGGGGAATACATGGCAGAAATCAAAGGCAGGAAGCCAAGCCTGCCTGAAGCAGGACTTGAGATTCAGGCACACAGGCTGGAGAAGCTAGTTCTGGAAGGTTTAAGAAATCCAACCTCAGCTTTTTTCCCTGCACCTACCCAACTCTGCTGCCTCCCCAGGTGCTGTGTGCACAGTGATAAGGAGGGGCAGGGTGGGGAAGCCTCTAGGCTGTTGTGGAAATGGGTGTGGAGTGCAGATGGGGAGCTATGAGGAAGGCTGGCTGTAGGTGCTACAGCAGAGACTCACATGGATGAGGTTCCCAAGTGGCTTTCGGGCATCCAACCCAATAGGAGGTGGGAATGGGAGCAGCTCTAAGAATCTAGGAGTTTCTATAGAAGTGGGCAGGGAGGCTGAGCCCCAAGTCACATGAAGGGCCACTCCACATCCCCTGCAAGTGGCTGGGGGTGTGACCAGCTGCTAGGAGAGCCTGAGAGGAATACAGAACCCACCCTGAATGTCCACAAGGTCTGCTGCCCTAGGAAGGGCAGTTCAAGAAAGAAGGGTAGAGTAGGTTCAGGCTGGGCTTCAAGGCCTGGAGAACACAGCAGAGAAATGGGAGGTAGCTCAGGGCAGGTTTGGGAAACACAGGTGGAAAATTGTCCGGCAACATCTCTGGGTCTGTGAAACTGGTGTGCAAAGCAGAATGAGGCAGGCCTCTCTAAGGTAAAGTAAGGTGGGCCTGAGGTGAGTGAGGAGGGCTGGCAGTGTGAAGAAGGGGATTGCACACCCCCAGGCCTGGACCCGTATTTGGGGTCTACTTCCCTAGGAGGGAAGTAGGGTGAATTGATGGGGAGAGAGCTCCTTACAACCTCCCCTCATTCTCTTCCCTCGTCTTTCCAGGAGCCGGACCTATGACATGATCCAGTACTATCAAAATGACATCCCCTACTAAGGAAGGGCCTTCTGAACCCCAGCACCTCCACCTTGTGTAGTCCCTCTTGAAAACTGCTACACAATCATGGAGCCCATGAGCACCACATCCCCAGCTGTCCCCAAGAAGCTCCACCCTGTGGTCCAAGTGGGTGAGCTGCTGTGGCCCTGCCATCTCACCCAACAGAGTTGTTTTATAGTAAAAAAGGACTGCAGCCCTCAAGCCTGGCAGCTGCTCCTTCCTTAGGCACGGCTCAGGCTCACGTGTGGCCATGCTCCGGTGATGCCACAGAGCCTGAGGTGACAATCATGTGATGGTGCTGCCTATGCACAGGTGTGAATCCTCTGTTTGCACTGGACACATTCCCTGTTTGTTACATAGGTACATGAAGTATTAAAAAAACCAAAAATTATATGCAACTTAAGTTTTAATCCATGTGTATAAAATAAAAACCCTAAAATGTGCTGTGTTGGAATTTAACTGTCAGGGTTGATGGTGCATCTACAGTACGCTCACAGCAAGGACAGTTCCTAGCCAGGCTCCTGAAGGTAGGAGGCCGGTGTTCACCTGGACCCCCACCCCACATCCTCTGCAAAGGATGAGGACGTGCCTCTCTGGCACCAGGATGACAGTTATAGCTTAACTTTCAAACTCACCAAAAATAACACTGTATTTTCCCAAATCACCCAGTGTCTGCCTCTGCTCCAGTCTTTCCCAGGCCATTGTTTCTACCCTGACCTCCCTCTTGTTCATTTTCAGGTGCTGTTCTCTGGCACTCCAAAAATCTTTGCTCAGCTAGCTCCCAACAACCATCTACTCCCTTGTGCTGTGGAACACTAATTGTCTTAAGCAGACAGAAGACTCAACTAGGGGGTAAAAAAGATTGGTTAAACAGATCAGATAAAGGTAAAAGAAAACCAGTCACCTGAAGGATAGGACAAGGGATTAATGAAATGAGATTACCATGAGAAAAAGATGCTGGGTGTCAGTAGCTCATGCCTGTAATCCTAGCTACTCAGAAAGCAGAGATGAGAAGGATCACAGTTTGAAGCCAGCCCGGGCAAATACTTTGAGAGACCCTGTCTCGAAAAACTCATGTAGACCCTGAGTTCAAACCCCCAGTACCATAAGTAAATAAATAAAAATACCCAACACCAAAAGGGCTGGTGGAGTGGCTCACGTGGTACAGCACCTGCCTAGCAAGTGTGAGACCAAGTTCAAATCCCAGTACCACAGGGTGAGGCAGACAAATGTAATATAGTTATTGTTTTTTCTTTTTTTTTTTGTTTTCCAAATGTAATATAAAATCCCAAGAACAATCAAGTTCCTATCTGGATGAAGAGCCAAATCCCTTTTGAGGGCTTATTAGGGGGCCTTAGTCTATACTCCAGGAGAGGCAGGTACTAGAAATAAAGCCAGGCACGGGCTGGGGTGTAACTCAGGGCTAGACTACTTACCTAGCATCCCCAGGCCAGCCTGGGCTACAGAGTGAGTGAGACTGTCTTTAAATAAAATAAACCTAGATGTCAAAACTTCTGCTACACTGAAAAAAAAAGATAAAACCTTAGGCTGCACTACTCAAGGCAGTGGTGGCCAGCAGGCAGAAGACCAGATACGGCAGGGAAAACAGTTTACCAGACTCATGCTAAGGGCGCCAATGGATAAATCACACAACATTTGAGCACATTCAGCAATGTAAGCCAAGGAATGGAAATCCGAGGAGAGAACAGAAATGAAGCCTTTGGTGGGCTTGTTACTAGGCTGAACACACTGAGGGAAGACTGAGCTTGAGAATATCTGAACAGAAACTGCAAGGAGCCGAGGTGTCGCTCAGTGGTACAGCATATGATTAGCGTTTGGGAGGCCCTGGGTTCAGTTTCCAGCAGGGAACAATAAAACAGTCAAGCTCCAGTGGCTCATGGCTGTAATCCTAGCTACTTGGAAAGCTGAGATTGGGAGGATTAGAGGTGCCAGGCCAGCCTGGGCAAATAGTTTTCAAGACCCCCCATCTCCAACTTAACCAGAGCAAAATGAACTGGAGGTGTGGCTCAAGAGTGAAGCGCCTGCTTTGCAAGAGCAAAGCCCTAAGTACCCACCAAAAAAAAAAAAAAAAAAAAAAAAGGTGTGAATTATTCAAATTGTTGAGAGCAAAATCCATCAACCTAGAATTCTGCATCCTGAAAAATTATCCTTCAAAAGTGAACAGCTGGGTGTGTTGGCTCAGGCTTGTCCCAGTTTGTAATAAAAGCAGCCAGAGCTTAAAATAAAAACTCTGAAATTGGACTTGGATTAGTTGTACATTGCACACTGTAGGATAACCACTAAAGTTTTAGAGCCAGGCGTAATGGTGCAAGTCTGTAATAAGTGAAAAATAAAAGTTGAGGCCTGGCAGAGTGGCTCAAGTGATTGATAGAGTGTCTGTCTAGCAGGCCCAACGCCCTAGTACTAACAAAAAAAGTTGAACAATATTTGTGTCATTACTAAGGAGGCAGAAGGATCTCCATTTCAAGGTCAGCTGGGCCACACAGCATAATCCAGTCTCAAAAAAAATGTTTTGGTCTTGTGGAGAGGCTCAAGTGGTTCAGTGCCTGTCTAGCAAGCGTGAGGCCATGAGTTCAAGCCCCAATACCACAAAAAAAGAAAGGAAACAGAAGGGGGGGGGTGGCTAAAGTGGTAGAGTGCTTTCCCAGCATGTTCTGAAGCATCTACAAGCACTGAATAAAAAAAAAACCCAAAAAGCAAATAAAACCCCGTCTGTATCAACTGTCACTTTAAATGTCAGTGGTCTTACCTACACCATGAAAAGTATTCTGCGTGTTCCAATAAAACTTCATGTTAGGAACAGGTGGTGGCCCAATTTGGAGTTTGCTGACCTCTGAACTAACGCTCATGGCAGAACATATTACAGGACAAACTTTAGCTCTTTGACGTATCGAATGATTTTTTGGGGGGGGAACTGAGGTTTGAGCTCAGGGCTTCAGCTTGCAAGGCAGCTGTTCTACCACTTGAGCCACACCTCCAGCCCTGGAATGATCTTGATGGGCCCAATGACTGAAACTTTTTATTTCCATACATGTATCTATTGTACTTTGATCAAATGAGCCCTCCCTGTTAGTCTTTCTTTTCCCTATTCCTGCTCCCATTAAACCTATTTAAAGGGTGGCCTGCATCTGTAGTCCTAGCTACTCCCAAGGTTGAGAAAGGAGGTTTGCTAGAGTCCAGAAGTTCTGAGCCAGCCAGGGCAACAAAAGGAGACCTCACACACACACACACACACACACACACACACACACACACACACACTCAAAACTCTTGCTATTATTATCTAGATTGCCTTCATACTGCTGGACTAAAGTGATCTTCCTGTCTCAGCCTCCTGTGCAGCTGGCGCCACTGCACCTGGCTCACAGCCAATTTTTATTTTTGTTTGGTGGGATTGGCGTTTGAATTCGTGGCTTCACCCTTGAGTGCTCTACCGCTTGAGCCACACCGCCAGTCCATTTCACATTGGTCATTTTGGAGCTGGAGTGGGGGTGGGTCTCTCGAACTATTTGTTCAGACTGACCTTGATCCTTCCGAGTCCAGCTTCCCAAGTAGCTAGGGTTTTCAGGTGTGAGCCACCAATGCCCCGCTAAGATATTCTTCAGGAGTCAACACACAATTCTTAAATTTGGCATACAGAAGTTCATAAACAAATTTAACAACCACTACCACCAAAAAATAAAGAAGAATGCCTACAGAGCGGGCGTGGCGGAGCACACATGTAATCCTACCACTGAGACTGAGGCAGGAAGATGTGAATTCAAGGCGAGCCTGAATTTTCTTGAGACCTTATCTCAAGGAAAAAAAAAAAATCAGGAGCAGCATTAGTGTCAGATTAAATGAAGCTCAACGGTTAATTTCCAAGTAACCAAAACATTTCTCATGAATAATCCCGGCCCTCTGGCCCGCAGCCCTGAGGCTCTGAGCGCACACTACAGCGGTGCTCCGATGCCCAGATCGCGAAACAGCACGGCTTGGAGGACCCCGCCTCGAGGGAACTACGGCGCTGCGGGGACCCGAATGACCACACGCAGCTAGGCAAAAGCAGAAACCTGAGCGAGCAGCACCTCCTCTCGGAGGCTCAGGCCTACAGAACATTTGCCGACCAGCTTCGGAATCAGCGGCTTTACCGCGGCGGAGGCCTGAGGCCGCGCGCCCGCATGGAGGAGGGACAGGCGCCCTCGGACCTAGGTGGCAAGGCTGCTCGCTGGATCGGGAGGGACAGACGAGCCCCACGGCCGGTCATACCCTCCCCCACCTCCAGGCGCCCCAAAAACCACACAGGAGACAGAGGTGCAAGCGGCCGCGGCCGGCGTGATGCGCTCTAGGCGGGCAGCAGCCCGCGCGCGCGCAGCTCGAGCAGCGGGGACAGCGTGTAGCGCAGCCGACGGAAGGCGGCGTCCGAGCTGAGACGCGGGAGTCCGGGGCCCACGGCGTCCGGCTTGGCCAGCACCACGTAGAGCAGCGGCAGTGCCAGGAAGCCGAGCGGGAGCAGCAGCAGCGCCTGCAGCGCGCTCAGCGCCCACAGCCTGCGGAGCGACGGACGGACGGACAGATGGGCGCTGGCTAGGGAGAGAACCGGGAAGGGGATCGGAGCCCGCGCGTCCGCCGGCCGGCTCACCTGATGCTCCCCGAGCCTCGGAAAAACCGCTTTTCCTGCGGGGAAAGGGAGCTGCATCCAGCTGCGCGCCGGGGACGGCGGCCGCTGCTAACCAGGTCTCTCCCGGAGGGGGCGGGTCCCCGCAGCAGCCCGCCCGCCCCGGCCCGCGCTCACGCAGTCTGCCCTGGCCACCTCCTCCATGAGCGAGCCCGCGCAGTCCTGCACCCGACGAGGCTGCGAGTCCCACCTGCGGGGCGGGCACCAGGATGGGCGATCTGCCGCGGACAGATCCCACAGCCGCCCCGCCGCACCCTACGCTCCTAACTCCCTTACGCTTCCAAGCCACCCCGAGAAGCGTCCAGCGCAGCCGCCGCCTCCATCACCTTCCCCTGCAGCTCCTGGACGGGGCGGGAGAGAGGACTTGGGTGGGGAGAGGCCTCGGATGCCGGCCGCCGCAGCTCTGAGAGAGGCGGGGACAGGCTGCAGTGGATTCGCAAGTGACCCGGCTCTCAGGGCCGTGGGGCCGCACCTGCAGGACTCCGCACTGCTCCTGGAAGCTGGCCCAGGCCTCCTCAGTCCGCTGCGCGCCCTGAGAGTACGAGGAGCCGTATGAGACTCGGGAGGACACACCCGTCCCCAAACTCCACTCACACCTAAAGCCGACCCTCTCCCCAAGATCCAGGCTCCACTCGCACCTGCCTCAAGGCCTCCGCCTGCATTGCGTACTTGGCCTCCGCCAGCTCCAGCTGTTTCTTCCCGAGGATCCAAGAAACGTCAGGAAGCCCCGCACGCCTCGCAAGGGGCAGAGCCTGGTGGCTGCACACGCGGCCGACGCTCCTCCCCCAGGTCATGGCCCCGCCCACGACGCCCCCCTAACCCCGCCTTCCGGGCTGCACAGAAGTACCTGCAGGGCGGCGAGCTGTGTCCCCTGTTGCTGCTCCGCGCGCTGCTGACTAAGTTGTTCACCTCCGTAGTAAAAGAGCTGAGGACCAGGCTTGTGAATGCTGGGTTTACGGGACTTCTAGAGGCTGGGGGCATCTTGGGGATCAGATGCCCCCAGCCTCTAGACTTGGCAGGGACAGGGACCACAGCAGGGACCTCCGAGAGGAGCTGAGACAGAAGCCATCCCTTCTCCTGCACGTACCTGACTTGACAGCTCCTCCCACTGCTCTTGCAGTTGCTTATTGTGCTGCTCCTGCAGACAGAGTGCTGAGAGGTTGGACCAGGTCTCGCCCTGGCCCCGCCCCACCCTGGCCCCGCCCCTCCAGGGCTCCGCCCCCACCAGCTCCAGCTTGTGCCTCTCCGCAGCCTCCAGCAGCCCACGCGCCCGCTCCGCGCGTTCCCGAGCCTCCTCGCGCGCCTCTCCACGTAGCGCCCGTGCCGCTTGGCTTCGCTTCCGCTGCAGACTAATAGGGAAACTGACGCCAGTGTTACGGCAGGATGCGGGGCGCTCAGGACCCCGCGGCCCTCGCCACCTCCAGGAAGGACCAACCTCCAGCTACTCCCTATTCAAGGCAAGGGAAGATCTCAAGTCCCCGGAGTGCCAGACTGCGCCCTCCCTTTCCGGGTCCCCTGGGTGAATCGCCGAAGTCCCAGTGGCCTAGAAGGTGCGGACACGGGCTGGTCGTGCACGCTCCCGCCCCGCCGAGCGGCGCTCTCCGCGCACCTGCGCTCGCGCTCGCGCAGTTCCTGTAGGCGCTCGGTGAGGCTCTCGCTCTCGGCCTCGAGCCCACGCACCAGCTCCTCCAGCTCCTGCTTCCGCAGGCGGCCATCGCGGTTGTCCTTCTGAAGCTGCAGCAGCTGCTCCTGTGGCGCGGCCATGCCCCCAGGGCTCTACCTGGACAGCAGCAGCTGGGAAACGCGGCCCCGCGGCTGGCGTCACAATGGGCGGCAGGGGGCGCCCGAACGCAGTCCCGGGAGCCTGACCTGAGGCCGGTCAAGCAGGATCACAATGAGTCAAAATTTTTATCAAAGAGCCACAATCAGATCAATAAAAGGTTAATAAAATACAAGTAGAAGGTTAATAAACTACTAATACCTAATGCAGGCAAATTGAAGCAAGATTGGTTTCCCCATATTACAAATGGCCAACTGGTCAGTCTTTCTTATGGAAAAGACTTGAAACCATATATCAAGATCTATAAACATGTCCGTGTCATTTTTTTTTTTTTCAGACAGGGTTTCACTATGTAGCCGAGACTGGTCTCCAACGCTTTATCTTCTTGTCTTAGCCTCCCTAGTGCTAGGATTCCATGGCGCACCAAATGATCCCACTCTTGGGATTTTTCCCAGGAGAAGAAAAATTGTTACACCCACTATGCATTAAATGGTTACAGTAAGCACCTAATAGGAAGCAACGGTGATGACTACAACGATGTATGTGAGTACTGCATGACATACATAGAGTTATGATGACATCTAGTGAAAAGCAGAACGTGATTTACCATTTAAGCCGAGAAAACTAAGATTATAAAGTACGCATTTCCATAAAGGCGAAAAGACTATTTCGTTGTGTAATGAGACTATCAAACTTTTTTGGGGGGTGGTACTACAAGCCTTGTTTGGGGTCTCCTACAAATGTTATGCTGCTTTCAAATAGGTTTACCACATCATCAAGGTCATGTGTATGTAGTTTTAATTTCCTGTTTCTATTACGAAAAGACTTCTTAAAAATTGTATTTTCTGGGGCTGGTAGAGTGGCTGCAGTGGTAGAATGCCTATCTAACAAGTGTGAGGCCCTGCAAAAAAAATTTCGGTACCGCAAAAAAAATAAGTAAATATTGAATATTCTAACAGCCATATGTTATGGGCTAACAGTGTTTGAGCTGAATCATGTCCCCCATATTTTTACAGTCAACATTTGTTACTTTTATAATAAGAAGGTCACAGAAGGAGAAGGAGGGAAATGAAGAGGGTAAAGGAGGTTGAATACAGTTGATGTACTTTCTATGCATGTATGAATATGGAACACTGAAACCTGTCCAAGTCATTGTAAGAAGGATAGGAGAAGCAGAGTAATGGGGGGATGAGCCAAACCTGGGTGTAATCATGCATATATGGAACTATCACAAAGAAATGCTCTGTATAGCTATCATATACTAATGAAAACATTTAAAAATAATAAAAAGCCAGTCGCTGGTGGCTCATACCTGGAATCCCAGCTACTTGGGAGGCTGAAATAGGGAGGATCACAGTTCAAGGCCAGCCTGGGCAAATAGCTCAAGAGACCCCCCCCATCTCCAAAATAACCACAGCAAAATGGACTGGAGGTGTGGCTCAAGCAGTAGTGCTCCTGCTTTGCACTTGCAAAGCCCTGAGTTCAAACACCAGTCCTACCAAAAAAAGCCACCCAAAACAACACCAAGAAATGGTCTTGCCACTGACAAGTTCCCAACTTACCCATGCCAGCACTACAGGGAGACTTGTTGGTTTCTCTACAGGAGACTCATACCTCCTCAGTCATCTTGGCTATGGATGCCAAAATTCCACTACTACTTGTCCCACCCCCATAGCTGAAGCCAAGCTCTCCCTTGGCTGTCCTTACCTCCTGGCATAGCCCTTCTGCCCAGGCATAGGATGGCACCAATAAATTTTCCAGTGTTCATTCCATTGTATTCCCCTTCGGGAAACTGCCAATTCTCCATCCTCCCTGACCTGCCCACTGGCCACATTCAGCATGGGTGACCATGGCTTTCCTCGATACTGGTCCCTCCAGCCTGCTGGCCACTCTTCAGGGCATACTCCTTGTCTCTCAACTGGTGTCCTGGAGCTGAGCCACTTGTGTGTCTGTGTTTGTGTGTGATACTGAGCTTTGAATGCAGGGTCTACACCTTGAGGCACTCCACCAGTCCTTTTTTTTGTGTGTGATGGGTTTTTGAAATATTTGCCTGGGCTAGCTTCGAACTGTGATCCTCCTGATCTCTGCCTCCTGAGTAGCTAGGATTCCAGGTGTGAGCCACTGGTGTGCCCAGCCTGAGCCACTTTTTTACTGTGATGCCCAGATCCCACATCAAGCATGGAACCCACCTATCCACTTGTCACCTTAGGAGGCTCACATCACAGCTCCCTGCCGGCCCCAGTATAGGAACAGGGCCCTCTCAATGGTCCTGCTCCATCTCCTTCAGCTGCTGGGCCTAGAAACTACACACTGCTATCCATGCCTCCTCCTACCCCCATTCTCTCTCTCCCCAACCTGTCCCTGGGCTTGAGGTTCCCTCTGCTACCAACTACTGACCTACCTGTCCCTCCACCTCCTTGCCTGTGAGCCAGGGTCACCTGCTTCATGGTATTGTTCCAAGGAGTAATAAGCTGTGGCCTGCCACATGCTGGAACCTCACTGCTCAGTCAGTGACAGGGTGATGCCAGCTACCCCGGGCTGCTCTCTTCTTGCATTTTCAGTGCCACCACTCTGGACTGGATCACCCAAGACCCAGCAGTCTGCCTGTGTCCTATCTCCCCACAGAAGCTAGAGAGGCCCACTAAACCTTCCAGTGACTCCCTCCTCATGGAGCACAAATCCAAGTTCTCACATGGCTGAGGCCCTGCCTCATCATCCCAGTGATGGGTCACAGGGCCCCAGAAACCACTTCTGGCCAGTCCTCAGACATTATGCCTGTCTTTTTGTCTGTTCCAGGACCCCCTGATCACTTTCTTGGGGCCTTACCCCAATGCTGGTTTCCTGGGTCCTTACCCCAAAGCTGGTTTCCTGGAGAAACCAGCCACCCCAAAAGACAACTCCACCTACCCAGCACCATGTCCTTCTGTCCATGGTTGTCAGCATTGTCCACACATAAGAACTCAGGTAGCCTGGCTCCTAGCACATAAATAGGTATTGGATGGACAAATGGTTAGCCTGTTTCTACTACAGAGACCTGGCTTTTTTTTTTTTTTTTTTTTTTGCAGTACTGTGGCTTGAACTCAGGGCCTACACCTTGAGCCACTTTACCAACCCTTTTTTGTGATGGGTATTTTCGAGATTGGGTCTCACAAACTATTTGCCCAGGCTGGCTTCCAACTGTGATCCTCCTGATCTCTGCCTACTGAGTGGCTAGGATTACAGGTGTGAGTCACCAATGTCCTGCGAGACCTGGCATCGTGAACAAGGATATAGGCCACTTTTGGGAGGTATTGGGATTCAAAGTGCAGGCAGGTTTGGCCCTAAGCCACTTTTTCCCATGACCCCACAGCCAACTCCTTGCCCATTTATCAGAGCTCCCCCACCTCTTGTCTCTCCTGCTGTCTCTGTGGGGACATGCCTGGACACCCGTGCCACTGACACTTGCATGCCTTTTGGAGCCCACCACCAGAGACACAAATATGTCCTTCCTGTCTACGAGGGCCCAGGCCCACACCTGCCTTCACCAGCCCCTCCCTGTAGTGGCTACTGCAGGTACCTGGTGGCCTCACTATGGGCCAGGTCCCTTGGGGATGCCATGATGGGGGCAGGAAGGTATATCTGATTCCTTCAGGCTTGGATCAAACCCAGCTGTGACTTGGTTTTGACCTCATGACCCCATTGATGCCTGTCCTTCAGTCCCTCACTGCCCCCTCTGATCACAGGCAAGTTTTCAGCAGTGGCTAGACTATTTCACAAAAGCCAGTCATCCCATTGTGGAGGATGCCCCCACTCACACAGTCCCCACTCTTACTGCAGGTGGTCAGAGCCTTTGGGATGAGGAGCAACTGTGAGGCCCTTCTCAGGTGACTTCAGACAGACACTCCTGCCAGCTTCATCACCGAGTTGGAAGTGACACTGTAGACCTCACAGTGCTGGCTAAAGCAAATGAGCGCATGCTGTTAGTCACCTGGGACAGGTGAGGCCCCATGGCAGTTCTTGTCCCCTTTGTTGCTGTCATCCATCTTTTGGGCTCTCCCACAGCACCCCAGGATCAAAGAGGTCAGGGACTACATCTGTGCTTCTTCTCTCCATTAACAAGTCAGACAACACATGCAAGCCTTCCTAGATGACCTGGACACACAGCTTCTGACACAGAAACCAGTGATGACGTCCCAATGGTGCTGGCCTATGAGAGCGACATTTTCTGAAATTCACTGGTTAGCAGCTTAAGGAGAGGCTGCACAGAAGCTGGGTCAAGGAATAGCTGAACTTAATCCACCATGCCAACACAGGGGACAGGACTCTTATCAGTGCCAAGGGTTTCTGTACTGCTACGCAGCACTCTGCTGACTCCTGGCTGCTCTGCATCCTGTATGCTAAGGTCCCCAGGACAGGCCAGCTTCCAGCATAATGCCAATACCTGCTAAGGTGCTTACTGGACTATCCTGTCCAGTTTCTATAGCCCACAGGCCATTTTTGGTCTTAGCCCCTGCATGCCTTGGGCCAGCTGGGGCAGGCAGGCCACCTAGTCCTGGGGAGCCTGTGTCCTGTGGACCCGTCTGCACCTGCTCTTCCCACAGCCTGATCATCCTTTCCCAGCCCTATCACCACTCTGCTACTCAGTGATCTCCCCCTTCTGTGCAGTTTCCTGGTCTATGGGAGCTTCCTGCTGCCTTGCAGCTGGCTCCCTCCTCTCCCAGGCCCAGAGCTGAGGAAAGGCCCAGGCTGGCCTGAGATAGGTGCATAGACAGCTTGGATCATGGCACAGCACACACCCAGGCTAGGGGCTCCCAGGAGCACAGAGCAGGACGCTCACGCTGGAGTCTCGTACAGGTCTACGCTTTCTTAGCTGGTGGAAAGGGGATCCCTGCAGATGCCACGCTGAGGAGACAATATCCTCAATTAGCAATGGTAACATTGTGTTGCTCAATACCTTCAAACTTTTAATGATACCACCTGGATTTTACCAGGTTTAGGAAAAGAGCACTTCAAA